CCTTAATATACTATTCTAGGTCTCTATTAGTATAGATTAGAATATTATCTAGATAGGTAACTACTATCTTATCTAGGTATTTCTTTAGTATATTATTAATTATTATCTAATAGGTAGCTAGGGCGTTAGTAAGTCTAAATAGCATAACTAAGTACTTATAATATTTATAGTAAGTATAAAATATAGTCTTCTATTCTTCTCCTTCCTTTATTTAAATAAGGTTATAGGCTCCTTTAAGATTAATCTTTAAAAACTACTTAGCCTTTATAAGGCAATCTTATAGTTCTTCGATATTTAGTAATAGGTAATAATTCTTAATAGTAATATTATTTAACTTTTAGTAATTAATATATAGTCTTAAGCTACTATCTTTCTTTAGTATAAATAGAATTAGGTAACCTATAAAGGATTCCGATTTATAGATAAATCCTTATACTAAGTTCTTATCTAGGTATTCTTAAAGCATCTTTAGTTCTTTTTTAGATAATATATAGATAGGTCTAAATATAGGTTACTTTTCTAGTTTAAGTTATATTTTATAATCTTATAGCTAATACCTAGGTAATGCATCTATATTTACCTCTTTCTAAAATAAGCATATCTATTTACTATATTATTTAAGGATATTAGAAGATATATAACTTCCTTTACTAACTCTTACTTAATAGCCTATCTAACCTCTAAGATTAGTGCTTATAGAGCTAGTATCGTAGTTCTTTACTAATGCCTTAGTTAAGGTAACTATAATATATACTATTATAGCCTAGTTTTGCCCTTTTCTCTTATCTACTACTAAATGCTACTAGTATATAGGTTGTAGATTAACTATATAGTCGTATTTTTAAAATCTTAATACTTTTAACCTCTAGTTAATAGTTAGATTATATTATTTTAACTAAGGTATTTCTAAGATAATATAGTAATTAGCTATTTCTATAATATCTAGAATAATATCTTTATAGTATAATTAAATAATAAGCTTTATTAGTAGAGTCTTTTCTATAACCTTAGGTAAAGCTAATCTATCTATAGCTATTAATTTATACCTATATTCTTTTAATTTAGTAGTAATCCTAAATTAAGTAACTATAGCTATTAATATAAAGTTTCTACTTGCTCTAGAATCTATTATTATATATAGTTATCTTTTATTAATAGTAACTAGTATATAGAATACTATTATTAATAATATAGATACTAGGGCTTAGATTATATTATATTCTTATTAGCTACCCTTACTATAAGAACTTACTCTTTTTCTAAAATCTTACTAACTATAGAGTTAAACCTAACTCTATCTTCTAGTCTATATTCTTTATAGAGGTATCTTTTATATACTATATACTATTATTATTATGCCTATGCATACTAAGTTCTTAGTAATTAAATACCTTTTCTTATACTATTAGTAATATATTCTCTAGTAAGAATAATATATTCTATAGGTATAAAGGTACTACTAAGTAGTACTTACTTAATAATAAAGTTATTAAAGGCATAGTTAGTAACTATAAGTTAGTAATCCTTAAATATATTATAGATTTAATCTAATATTTTATTAAAGTTATAAGGATATAAAAATCTTTAGTTTCTAACCTTTAAGAATATTTCTTTAGTATTATTAATAATAATACTAAACATTTTTTCTATATATAATAGAATATATGCATATAAGTCTATAAAATAGTTATTATAATTATATAAGTATTATAATCCCTTATTATTAGAAGATTCTTTATTACTACTTTTCTTATTGTTATTATCTAGTTCTAGATTGCTTTTAATATCTCCTACTTCGATTTCTCCTTTTTTAAGATTATCCTTTCTAGTAATAACATTAATCTTATTATAGCCTTTTTTACCCTTCCTTCTTAGTTAGGTAGAGAACTATCTAGATTCTATTTTATTGCTATAGTAAGTAAGGTAACTATCATTATAATATATAGTCTAACTAAGTAATGCATATTTATTAATAGTAACTTTAATAACTTTGTTTAGGTTGTCCTATTTAGTAAATAGTTCCTATAGTTTAGTCTAATCCTCCTAATTAGCCTTCTAGAGTTTATTTAGCTCTATAGGCTTTTTAGGATCCTTCTAAATAGACTTCTTAGGTTCTTTATGCATCTAGTTAATATTCTCTAGTTTATATAGTGTTATATTAAATTATCTTTAAGGTACCTTATTCTTTAAATAATAATTCTTTACTATATAGCCTTACTTACTATATCTATAGTAAATTATTAAACTCTTTTCTTTATACTACTTTCTACCCTTTAATTATTAACCTTTAGTAATATCTAGTTCTATTAGCTAAAGTCTATAAGGATCCTAATACTAGTTATTATTATAGTTAAACTTTTTTTCCTTAAAGTTATTATTGCTATAGTATAGAATATAACTAGACTTACTATATAGGGCTATATTATAGTACCTTTTTATAGTATGTTTATAAAGGTTATTATTAATTTTAATTAATATATAGATAAGATTATTAAGATCTTCGATTTTTATACTAGCTCTTATAAGTTTATCTTTAATATTCTCCTTTAAACTATATTAGTATATAGTTATAAGAGTAGAGTTATTCTAATTAGTAATCTAGGTATACTTCTAGAACTTAGTAATATAATTAGATACTAAAGTATATTAATAGATATACTAAATAAGGCATATAGTAACTTTATCTTTATTAGAGATACTAAAGATATAGTAGATCTCTTCCTTGAACTTAGTAAAGGTAGTAAAGATACTATTAGTATTCCTCTTACTATTAAGATACTTTATAAGTATTAGTTTTATCTAGTACTAGGCTCTTCTATAGAGGTAGGTTATAGCAAATAAGGTCTTCTTATTAGCTTTAATAGGAGTAAACTAAAAGTATATCTCTATCTAGGTAAGCTAATTATTAAGTCCTTAGTAGTCTCTATAGTAGAGATTAGGCTTAGTAACCTTAGTATTATTATAGGTAGTAGTATAGGTACTACTAACCTTACTAGGTATACCTCTTAAGGTATTACTTAAGTAACTTATTCTAAGAGTATTTAAAGTTATTATAGCTAACTATTCTAGGGAGAATAACTAGTTATAGGATTTATACTTATAAAGAGGAGTATTAAGTAAGTAAAGTAAGTAGTATATAGTATAAACTAAAGAGACTATTAGAATAACTATTTAAGTTAAACATAGGACCTCCTACTAAGTTCTTACCTACTTATATACTTACTAGCTAATAAGTATATATGCATATTACTCTATATACTCTATTACTCTATCTACTTTATAGAAATTAAAAGGAATAAGAGATTAGAAAGAGTAGAGTATATTAGGTAGCTACCTACTATAGACTACTCTATAAAGAGGGCAGTCCTTAGTAGAATCCTTAGAGTAGGATTCCTAATATAGTAATAATTAATAGTATATAAGCTAGAAGCTAGTATACTTAATACTAGATTATAATACTATAATTAAGTAAGGCCTTATATGCTAAGTAACTATCCGAGCTATATAGTAGGATAATAAAGAGGAATTTAAAGTAAGTATACTTAGAAACTTATACTAGAGGTTTCTTAAAGAGCTTATTAAGTTTATAAGCTCTTTTAAAGAGGTAATAAAGTAGTTAGAAGGAGATAAGACTACTTTTAATTAAGTAAGTACCTAATTACTTAGCCTAAAATTTAGCTGTTTTTCCTACTATTTTTAGTCTAAAATAGGTAGGTAAGACTAATTACTTATATCTACTAGGTTTTACTATCTATAGATTTCTTATATAAATATTATAATAAGGTAAAGGTCTAGTATGCTTCTAATCTAGTCCTATCTACTACTATTAAGACTAGTTATTATATTCTTAATAAATAGTAAATAATTAATAAGTTTACTTCTACTTATGCTACTACTATACTTTTCTATCTAATCCTTTAAAAAAGATATATTACTAACTATTAGTCTTAGTTATAGTAATAACTAGCTATTACTACTATATAAGAGCTCTAGTTATTAAACTATAAGGATAAGAGTAAGCCTTTACTAGAGTAGTAAAAAGAGGAGGATAATAGCTTAAATAAGCTAGCTAAATAGTAGGCTTTAATATAGTAGATAAAGACTACTTAACTTAATAATAAGTTTATATACTTTATAAAGACCCCTACTATTATTATAAGCATACTAATTTAATAGTAGCTTAAGCTAAGCTAATAGGCTAACTATCTAAACCTCTCTTATATAGCTATTAATATCCTATCTATTAATCTAATATCTACTAAGTTAGAGAGGGTATTTAGTAGTTGTTAAAGGATATTAATATAGGATAGAGCTTAGCTCTTAGTAGAGAACCTTAGCTATATTAAGTGCCTTAAGAGCTAGTAGAAGAACCTCTACCTTAAGAGGGTTAATATACTATAGGAAATTAACCTTAAAGAGGACAAGGAACTACCTAAGGAAGGATAGGGTAATAGCTTTAGCGACGATAGTTGACACGTTTCTAGAATTGACATTAAGCTAGAAATAATTGAAATTACATAAGCTACTAGCTGGCATACATGAAATCAAGCCTATATTTCAAATATTTCATGTAACATCCACACTGTCTACAGCTACCAGATTCTGCTAGAGCAACCCTGGCTTTGTTCTACTACATCAGACCTTGGGTTGCAGATGAATATCAATTTTCAGGATGAGCTTTGATGACTTCAAAATCATTCATAAAGGATACGTGTGTGATGTAGTTGTAGCAGTTGACGTGGTGGATGCGATCACTTGAATTATACTTGGATCCAATGCTGTCACATTGCGATCATGAAATGACTTTCCACACTGCTGATCGTTGTACATGCGACCTTCGCATGCAATCCTATCGTTCGTTTTTATTGAGTATGTTGTAGATCAGACCGGCGATTCTACACTGCCAATTCTGCAAGCGCGTTTACCACAGCATCAAAGCCGCGTGTCCAATAAACAACCATCTGTCCGTTCGCTGCCCGTTTCGAATCAATGTCCTCATCGATGCACCTAACGTCCACACCGATCCTGTGAAGCGTCTCAGCCAATTCCCGCTGACTGCTTCCCATCGGATCATCCCTGATGCAAATGCCCACGTCTGCAGCAAGTAAAGCTTCGAGATCGGTGACGGAATCTCCGATGTAGACCACAAGATCATCCTGCTGCTCCTCCAGTCCTCTCTTCGGTGCACACATCTCAACATGTCGCTGGCATCGAAGGGGAAGATGCGATAATTTGTCTGCGGAAGTACGTATACCGGCGCTCGAGTCTTTGGACAGTCTACCGTCACTTCCTTCTGTAGATTCGAGGTCGGAGATCTCATTTGCTTTGATGTCCATGTTAGTGACATAGGAGTGCAATGCCTCGCTCGCCGGAGATGTGAGTTTTGAAGATGCGGCGAGAAGAGATTGGCGGATAAACCTTTCGCTCCAGTTCACACTTAGGATGCTGATCTTATTGGTTGGGTTGTCAAGCAAAGTCTGGAATAACGAATACCAGTCGTTGCGGAGCTGCAAGTCACTATTTTCAATGGATGAAGCAGCAACTTGGTCGACATGGCTAGCTTTGACACCTTTGAATATGCGACTGGATTCGACGCGTTGCACGCTTTTGTTTTCGATGGGGGTCAGGCTGGCCAACCATTGTCGTTCTTGATCGAATGTGGTTCTAGCAGATGAGGAAGGTTCGTAGCGGGATGTGTGTTCGGTGTAGTCGTTCATGTATCCATTCACAAAGTCTGACCATGGTGGTAGAGATCTAGAGGAATTGGCATGATATGCTATACTGCCGACTAAGGACAATGTATCCTTGCGAGTCAGGGTGCCATCCCAGTCCAGGATCAGATGTATTGGCCGTCGTAACTTCATGTTTTTGATGTCTATGTGGCAAAGAATACAGAAAGTGGTGTTTGTGAATTGTTAGTCTATAATTCTTGGCTTTGGAGGACGTCTCGTGGGTTTAGAGTTCGTTCGGCATCGGCATAAGCATAAATACACACAACGTCTTAGAGAATTTGGGTGCTTAGCACAAGCATATCTTATGAAATTAATAGGAAGTGCTGCGAGTGATGTACATTCGGATTATGCTGGAGAGAGCATGATATTGATATAGCAATGGAGATGAGATGTATGCATGGTGCATAAGGTCGTATGCAAGGATGCACAGACATGGAACGCATGGCTTGTTCGCGTCATGGAAAAGGGTTTTTGGGTAGCGGGGCGGTCTCGGTTGCGGCGCTTGAGCCTCATCCATTTGATTTGATAAGAGAGTGAAGGCAAGGCATCATGACACATGCTGCAATGACAATACAAGACCAGGGTCTGAGGAGGAGCCAGCGCCGTCCAACCCTTTGGTATTCTTGACGTAATTTTCCAGATGCCCTCCGCCGTTCCTAAACCTCGAATGCCAAAGGTGCAGGACATCATGGCATCCGACCCCTCGCTCGACGTTTCAAAACACACAAAGTACTTCCTGCGCACTCTCAAGACCTTCTTGCCGACCGCATACCAGAGCAATGACAGCAACCGCATGTCCCTCGCCTTCTTCATCCTCAGCGGACTGGACTTGCTAGGCACACTGCACAAAAACACAACAGAAGAGCAACGGAAAGACTACATCGACTGGATTTATACCAACCAGCACCCCAAGGGCGGCTTCCGCGCTTTCCCTGGCGCAACTTTTGGCGACGCAACCACAGAAGACAATATCCACTGGGACCCTGCGAACCTGCCTGCTACCTTCTTCGCCTTGTGTTCGCTACTCATCTTGGACGATGATCTAACCAGGGTCAAGAGGAGAGAATGTCTACAATGGCTCACGCGACTCCAAAGACCCGATGGTAGTTTTGGCGAGACGCTTGTCAAGGGCACCATCAACGGCGGTACAGACTCGAGGTTCGGATACTGCGCGACCGGTGTCCGCTACATCCTGCGAGGAAACCATCAGGGTGAAGTAGAAGGCTGTCCAGACATAAACATCGAAAGCTTCGTAACCTGTATACGGAGTGCCGAGGTGAGTGCAGCCAAGACAATTATACAACTCTACCCGTGCTAACCAAGAGCGCTAACGCAGACGTACGACGGTGGCATTTCAGATGCACCCTACCACGAAGCTCACGCCGGCTTCACCTACTGCGCCATTGGTGCCCTTAGCAATATAAACCGCCTTCCATCGCACGCCCACTCCGCCCTTTCCACTCCTTCGCCAGACGCTTCCCTTACGAACCCCTCGCTCCTGATAAAATGGCTGGTCTCGCGCCAGACTGCAACTATAAGCGAAGAAGACGAGCTAGACACCTACGGCGACGAAACAGACACACCAGAGACCTGCCACGATGCTCATACCTTCGTCTACCAAGACAAGTTCGTGAGCAAGCAAGGGAAAATGAACTATGAAGGCCGACCGAGTGTCCACTTCAGTCTGGAATGGACGGGCTTCAATGGCCGCTGCAACAAGATCGCCGATACCTGCTATGCCTTCTGGGTTCACGGCTCACTATGCGTACGTGCTTGGATCAACCCTACCTTTGCAAATGAACACGAATGGCTGACACAACACCCACAGATACTAAATCAATCCCAACTTCCCAACATAGAATCTGCTCGCCGCTGGCTCCTGGAGAGGACAGTCCACCCTCAACTCGGCGGATTCGGCAAAGTCGCTGGCGATCTGCCGGATGTCTATCACTCATATCTCGGTCTCGCCACCTTGAGTTTGTTTGGCGAAGAAGAATTAAAACCTCTGGATCCAGGGTTGTGTATTAGTAAAGAGGCTAAAAGTAGACTCGGGGCCATTTGGAAGCGATGGGGCATTGAGCAATGATATGTCTGTCGCTTATGACACCCACTCAGCTTGTCTTGCCTTACGATAATATTGTTTTACAGAAGCGCGGCTTAGATGTATATATCTCGCATTGCAGGGGCATGACTGTGGACTAAAACATGCTTCTTCTCCCAAGAGTTTTGTTATCATGTACGACCCCAGAAATATCTAGAGACACCAATATATCTTGCCCAGAGAAATGCTCCTCCCCAAACCGCTGTGTCCAGCGTGAATTCCAATGCCAGACACAAGCCTATCTTGTTCATCCTGGCCATCCTTGATGCTGCAAGCACCGGTACCAGACCTGCAGATCTGCCAGGCTCAACACTGGTTCTTGCTGATGAGCTCGAGGCGAACGCCGATGAGAGCGAAGTAAGATGCAATGTGTCGAGAGGTAATAAAATTATGGACCAGAAGAGGTAATCAAGGTTCAAAGCTAGGAGGTTAGAGGGTAGAGTTGAGAGCTCGGTGACCCGGTGTCGTGTTGCCTTATTATGCTGAGGCCTTTCTGTCCTTGTTTCATGGCTGGCTGCCCCCAACTCTTGCGTCAAATCTTGTGTTTCTTTCTCTGGCGCATCAGAAACCGGTGCCCAGCCCAAGGATTGCAGCAGCTTGTCCCGAAGCCACGAAAATGGCGTTAGATAGCTGGACTCTGAATCGCTGATTTGCGATGAGGAGGTGGAGTTGTGAGGACCTAAAATACAACTGTATTCGAACAGCGGAACATGGCCATAAGCTGACGCTGCAGAATGTTGGAGCAAGGCCATGATCAGCCACATGCCTGCTGGCGAAGCCAACAAGCCCAGGAACTTCGAGTCCCTCATCGGTCCTTGGTTGAGAAAAGCCCAACGGAGAGGCGATGCGGGACTCCAAGGTGCCAACCAGGATCTTGGAGGCAAAAGGGGCTTCGAGGATATGAGGCCTAATTGTTGCAGACATGAAAAGGAAGCTAGAGGGTAGACTGAAAGATGGAGCAAGGCGTTGATGGCTTTGTAGCTGTAGTTTACGCATCTTAGCAGCAGGAACCGCTTCCTAGTGCTGGCTTTCAGGCGGATAATCTTCTTGCTGGCCTTTAAGATCTGTTCACCTAGATACCAGTCGACAAAGGTTATGATGAGTTGAGATGTGACTTCTGCCAGTCCGCCGACTGTGAGAAACCGAACAGCGCCGAAGAATCCATTGCCGGTCAATGATGCCCATTCGACTGACAAGATGTCCATGAAACTCAGGTCGGATGAAACAAGACCGATCTGTAGTCTCCTCCTCAAACCCAGAAGCCACCATTCCAGGACATTTCTCGAGGTCTCTGCTGTCATCCGGATGAGTTCACCATAGTCGTCTTCGCCCTCTTTGATGATTCTCCATTCTTCGTCTGAGAGATGGACTCTATCTTGACCATCAGGCAGTTCCCCTCTCATGCGGTCAATGAGTTTGTCTTTCTTTTCACAGACACCCACAGCCGCCAAAACTTCGTTTTTAGCTGCTATCAAGGCTTCATTCTGGCGTGTGGTGGCTAGACTGATCGGTTCGCCTCTGGCGTTGTATTGTTGTTCATTAGATCTTGTTGACTGAGAAGCTACCTCTGGAGTTTCTGGGAGTGCCTCGTACAGAGATCGACCCTTAGATGAACGCTGTCAGTAACGATGATCATGTCGTCTAGCCCGTGGACCAAGATGGAAGGTTCCCAATGATTTTTTTTAAGGAACGCAACGGTCCCTTGAACATGATGAATGCTCTCTCTCAGTGTATCCTGGAAAACTTCTCGGGTTCTTGTGACAATGTACGAAAATTGAACCCACCAAGGCCATACGAGCGAGGAACGCATCTCGACTCATGCTTAATAGCGAAGTTGATCATGTACTTTATGAGAGATTCTCTTAAGATGGATTGAGACAACACAGATCTTATGAGCCTAGACACGACAAACTTATGACAAATGTTGTCGGGTGAGATATAATAAGAAAACAGCTTTGACAATGCAAGAGACTTGCAAGTGCTATGCGTGAATGGAGAGGGAGGAAAGTCGAGATGTTGCTTCCCAAAGTGGAAGGCGGTCAAGACAGATGGTCCGGGCGTAGCTTCCGGGTCCAGCAAGCAGCGGGCAAAAAAGTTTCTAGGAAGTCGCATTTTGCTGCAGCAGAAGGCGTAACTTGACAGTCACGCCAACAATGTCGAGTTTCTTCACCAAACCTGCCTCTCTGAAGAGAAAGAGACCCGAAGGCGGTGCACCACGACCTCAGCGCACAAACGACCGTTCAAACGCTCGACCGACTAAGCGAAGAGAAACTCGTGACAATTCCGTGTCTGGCAGCGATTTTGACGACGACGATGATGTAGGCCCTCGCCCACCTGCCGACTCTGATGACGAGTCTTCAGAATCAGAATTTGAGGGCGAGGATGCGGCAGGACGAAGAACACGGCTGGCAGAACGATACCTTGAAAACACGCGACAACAAATCATCTCCGAAGGCTTCGACGCAAAGGACATTGATGCCGAGCTACTGGCTGAGCGCATGGGCGAGCGCTTGAAGGAGGATTCGGCAGAGAGCAAGGGAAAAATCTATCGCTGGATTGCAGACGACTACGACTACCAGAACGCCCTCCACTCGCAATTCCGCGCAGACTCGCAGACGCTGACAGGCGTAGCCACATGCGCTCCCTACATTTACACTGTCTCCAAGGACATGACTCTGATCAAGTGGGAGATGCCACAAAAGATTGATGCTTCATCCAAACACACGCAACCTACAAAGCCTAAGAAGCTCATCTATACACGCGGCAACGGAAAGAGAGAGGACGATATCGAGTTCAAGCATCACACCGATGCTATTCTTTGTGTGGCTGCCTCATCAGATGGAAAGTTCGTAGCGACTGGTGGCAGAGACAGAAAACTCATCGTCTGGGATGCCGCAACACTCACACCCTTGAAGTTCTTCCACCACCACAGAGACGCCGTTACCTCTCTTTGCTTCCGTCGCACAACAAACCAACTCTATTCGGCTAGCAAGGACAGAACAATCAAGCTCTGGAGTTTGGACGAGCTGGCCTACGTGGAAACACTCTTCGGTCACCAAGATGAGGTTACCGATGTCGCCGCTCTGAATCAAGAATTGTGCGTTACAGTAGGCGCTAGAGACAGGACAGCAAGATACTGGAGAGTCGTCGAGGAAAGTCAACTTGTCTTCCGCGGCGGCGGTAGTGGTGCATCATCGAAGCAAAGAAAAGAGAACGCTGCAGCTGGTATTCCTCAACCACGAGAGTTCCACGAAGGATCCATTGACAGAGTGACAATGATCGATGACGAGCATTTTGTTACTGGTTCTGATAACGGCACTCTCTCGCTCTGGAACATTCAAAAGAAGAAGTCTGTATTCACTCTACCCCTCGCACATGGTCTTGACCCGCCACCAAACCCCGAAGATGTCAGCGCGGAAGCCGATCCTTCAGCAGACGTAAGCGTATACACCGAGCCTCAGCCCCGATGGATCACAGCACTCGCATGTGTGCCGTTTAGTAATATCGTCATCAGTGGCAGCTGGGACGGTCAGCTTAGAGCCTGGAAGATCAGCGAGGACAAGAGGAAGCTGGAAGCTTTAGGCCCCATCGGCTGTGTCGAAGACAGTCAACTCATTGATGGAGAAGCGATGTACATGGACGACTCGATACATGCTGTGCCAGAGTCAAACAAGACGGTCAGGGGAGTCATCAACGACATTGCTGTGTTTGAACGTGGTGACAGGGGCAAAGACGGCCTGGCGATTGTTGCAGCTGTTGGCAAAGAGCACAAGCTTGGACGATGGATGCAAAATGCTGGAAAGAACCATGCCATGCTATTCCGTGTCTTCAAGAAAGTGGCCGAGAATGGCACGATAAAGGAAACTGAAGAATCAGAGGACGAGTGATGTATTGCATAAAAAGCGTTTCTGTACAATTTCCATATACCCTTCTTGATCTGCTTAGAGGAAGAAGCATTTTCATACGTCCAAATCTGCCATCTCTTAACTTCTCAAGTGTTGTACCAACAGGTGTCCAGATGAAGGTATGATAGGTGTACTTATGCATAAGTGCATGGAGCGCATACCTTAGGAGAAATCCGGTACACGCAGCTTGTGCAACAACTTTATTGCAGCATCGAGCCGACCGTGGATGTGGAATAGCATAGAGGGACATCGACACACAGTAGAACTTGGGAGGAAAGCAGAAATTTCGATGACAATCTTTTTCATTTTTTATTGAGAAATTTTTTTTTGACAAAGTGATATGTACTCCTTCTTGGACACCGAGACTCACAGCCCTAAGTTAATAAGACCATTACGAGAATCAGCTTCCTAAATCCAGAGAATTTTTCTCCCAGACCACGCCTCACTGCCCGAAGACAGAGAGACTGGCAACTCAAACGCCGTGGAGGAAATGTTAGTGAGATGGTATTGCCTTGCAAGCAAGGGTTCCAGAGCTCGACAGAGGCGCCGGTCGTGGCAGGTCCGGTTTTTTTGATCGAGGCGTAGAAGAGGGTGTGGGAAGGAGCGGAATTTATACTGCGAGGGAGGTGCGATGCTTGGCATTCATTATGTAAGCAACTCTTGCGAAAGTGAGTCGGTGATAAAGTGATAAGGAATGGGTGGAACTGAAAGTCAGGGTCAGGGTCAGGGTCCGAGGCTCCACTGAAGCTTGTAGGCTATCGGGGTCCCCCGATGGTTCGTTAGTCGCTGCTCGCCGCCTTCGAGACCATCGGTCGTGTGGTTCGTGTTTAGGACCTTGTCTGTTGCCCTCATGGCAGTTTGCTCTGATCTGTACACTGGGCAGAAGACTGTTGTGAGAGTCGATGACTTTGGGTGAAGATGGCCGCCTTTGTCAACATGGACGCTACACAATACGACGCTTACATTGAACGCATGAGGGAGACTGAGTATCCTATGCTCAAAGGTGTGTCCCTTTCGTGCCTCTGGCAGCGGATCTAGACTGACAGAACTTCAGATGCAACATATCTTGACCATGCAGGAACGACTCTATACAGCAAATCGCTTCTTGAGGCTTTCACAGCCGACATGCTAGGAAACTTGTACGGCAATCCGCATTCTGCTTCGCAAGCTTCACAACGATCTACCCACCAAGTTCAAGATGTCCGACTACAGCTTCTGCGGTTCTTCGATGCCAATCCCGACGACTTCGATCTGGTCTTTGTCGCCAATGCCACCGCAGGCATCAAACTAGTTGCTGACGCTCTCCGTGAACACGACTCGGGGTTCTGGTACGGTTACCACAGAGATGCGCATACCAGTCTCGTTGGTGTACGCGAGCTGGCTAAGGAACACCACTGCTTTGCTGAAGATGAAGAGGTTGAAGATTGGATTAGAAATGGAGGACAAGATACACAAACTCGCCTCGGACTCTTCGCCTACCCTGCCCAGTCCAACATGAATGGCCGTCGTCTACCACTTGATTGGTGTGGTCGACTTCGAAACAAGGGGATGTTGACTCTGCTGGATGCTGCTGCACTCATCTCGACGTCTCCTTTATCCTTGGCCGACCTTGACACAGCCCCTGACTTTACAGTTCTCAGCTTGTACAAAATATTTGGCTTCCCGGATCTGGGAGCTTTGATCGTCCGTAAAGATGCAGCATGGGCTCTGCAGAAGAGAAGATATTTTGGTGGCGGCACAGTCGACATGGTCGTGTCGTTGAAGGAGCAATGGCATGCTGTCAAGTCTACTCATCTGCATGAGCAACTTGAGGATGGCACTCTGCCTGTTCACAGCATTATCGCTCTGAAGTCTGCTATATCGGTTCATCACGATTTGTTTGGCACCTTGGAACGCATTTCTGAACACACCTCCCTCCTCGCCGGACGCTTGTATTCTTCACTGAAATCCCTCCGCCATGGAAACGATGAGCCAGTGTGTCAAATCTACAAAGATAAAGCTTCTACATATAGCGACAGGAGCACACAAGGTCCAGTCGTTGCATTCAATCTTTGCGACGCCAAAGGTCATATGGTCAGTAATCTAGAAGTAGAAAAGCTGGCCCATGTTCGCAATATCAGTATCCGTACCGGCGGTCTTTGCAATCCTGGAGGCATCCAATCCGCACTCGATCTCTCCCCATGGCAGATGAAGAAAAACTTCTCGTCTGGTCAGCGTTGCGGATCTGAGAACGACGATGTCATCAATGGTCAGCCCACCGGCATGATACGAGCAAGTTTGGGTGCCATGTCGACGATCAAAGATGTCGACACTTTCGTTTCTTTCGTCAAGGAATTCTTCCTCGAAGAAGCTTCGGATACGCCATACAAACGAACCGACTCTCCTCTTTTATCGTTGGACGTCCCGGTGTCAGAGCAACTGCACATTGAGAGTTTGACAGTGTATCCAATAAAGAGTTGTGCGGGCTGGCAAGTCCCTGCCAATACTTCATGGGAGGTGCAACCGCAAGGCCTGGCATGGGACCGCGAGTGGTGCATCATACACAGTGGAACCTCTGTCGCACTCTCGCAAAAGAAGTATCCACGCATGGCGCTCCTCCGTCCAATACTGGATTTTTCTGCAGGACTTCTACGTATTACTTGTGCAGTACCTATCAAAGACGCAACGACCACCGAAATCAGCGTCCCACTTTCTGCCGACCCACGCTGCTTTACATCTTCGAGCAAAACCTCCACACCAACAAACGTTTGCGGTGACAATGTAGCAGCAAGAGTCTATTCCTGTCCCAAAATCTCATCGTTCCTATCTAGTGTGCTCGGTGTACCCTGCACACTCGCCCGCTTTCCAGCAAGCTTTGCATCCAGACATGCCAAAGCACACCTCTCCACCAGCAACAGCAAAACCTCAACACCACTCGCATTCTCAAACGAGAGCCCCGTCCTCTGCATTTCCAGAATGTCAGTAAACGCACTGAACAAAACCATAAAAGCAAAAGGAGGAACCGCAGTCCCAGCATCTACTTTCCGTGCTAATATCGTGGTCTCACAACCTTTGCACTTGCCTCCAGGCACAGAAACTCCGTATGTGGAAGATTCTTGGACAAGTCTTGCTATCACGGACAAGAGAGGGGGTGCAGGACAGCAGAATGACGGCTCGAAAGCTGATTTCAAAGTCTTGGGGAAGTGTAGGAGGTGTCATATGCTATGCGTCGATCAGCAGACGGCAGAAACCAGACAAGAACCTTTTGTCACATTGGCAAAGACCAGGCGAGAAGATGGAAAAGTGTGGTTTGGCGTGCATCTAGCTTTGAGCAAAGGAGAAAAGAAAGGGTGGGTCAGAGTAGGCGATCAAGTCACCGCTATGTAGGTTATCCTATGCAAAAGTGGAAGAGGACCCATGACAGGTTGCCAAACAACAGGAAGAAGAGTGCATAGTCATTGAATGGCGTGTGGTATCATACTAATAAACAAAAAAATAAAACTCCGCCACGAAAAGATGCAGGCCTGAACGCGGATTTCAATTGTAAACAATACAAAACGGAAAGGTGAAAAGAAATAGACCGCATCGAACCTGGTCTCACCGCGACCGTCAATGACAATCATCCAGCTGAGTAAGTTTGTAAAAGGCATACCACAAGAACAATGTGGACGTCATGCGCGACAAGCAGATACTGAATCAGCTTCTAGAAATTGTCTAGGGTCTGGGATTGTAGGGGATGATTAGGTCGCGTAGGACTCTACGGGCGTAACTTGTAGAGCGTCGTGAACGGAGAGATGCTTTGAGAGAGCGTCGTGAGTCGGAGCTTCGCAAAGACGGTTGTCTCAGAAATCGTGTGCGCGCTGATTGTGTCCTTGAACTCATTGAAGAACGATCACTTGCTGGCGCGGAACGTCCTCGAAGAACATTCTAGGGCCGACGGAGTTGTCTCAGAGAGCGCCCCCGCTAAGAAGCTCCCGAGGGAGAATTATCACCTCCTCCATTACCACCACCGAATGCATCTCTCATGCGAGCCCACGCAGCAGTGGCGGCTCCTGAAGCAGCGCCGGGAGTGGATGTAGCATTGTTGGCTGTACGAGAACGTTCGGGACTTTCAGGGAAATTTATGGGATCATCTCTGGTACCTTCACCTTGACCCCATGTTCTGTTGTTTCTTGCAGTCTGACCAGGTTCTCTAGGTCTTGTTGCATCCTCGGGGCCATCTTGAGGCATGATACCCTGTCTACAATGGGGACATGTGTCGTGCTCGCCCAGCCAGGCTTTGATACAGTCGGGGTGGAACCAATGACTGCAGGGTAAGCAGGTGACTTGACTTCCGATGGGAGCCTCATCCATGCAGATGGAACAGTCGGCCTTTCCGGTTGTTTCGTCCAAATCATCCTTGGTGATGGCCTTCTTTGGCAGAGAGGCAATGGCTTCGGCCGAGGCAGGGCCTGGGGCGTTGGATTGATTCTGCTCCATGAGCTGAGATATTATTCGGTCCAGAGCTTCTTGACTATAGACAGCATCGCCATGTTGCATGTTGGCAGGATTGAAGAGAGTGTTCAGCAAGTTACCAAAGCCAAGTGGCTCGAAGTTAGGATCGGGACCAGCTCCTCGTGGAGGGCCACCAAACATGTGGTTGAGAATGCCCGGAAGGTTATCGATGGCCTGGGCGTGGGCTTGGGGACTGTTGGCGTCGCGAGGAGCAAGACGGGCCGTGTACTGGAAGTTGGGACCGCCGCCGGTGAAGACGCGTACGTTGGGTTCGCCGTCGGGAGATTGTGGTGCGGGATTGCGAGTAGCGGGATGTGGTTGACGTCCGGTTCCACCGATGATTTGGTTCAGCATTCTGAGGATGGCGTCGGGTGCTTGTCCGTTCTGAGGACCGGGTGAGGCAGGATTACGAGGGCTGTTGGAAGAAGAGAAAGTATGACTGAAGCTCATAGAAATGCCGCCTTGGGGATTGGTGCGGTATTGGAAGGTGGGAATGTCGCTCTCGTCGGGATCCGGGGCGTCGAGGGGAGTGTTTGCCCACGGATTGTGGTTGTGGAAAGGATGCGGCGGGTCTTGGTGCTCGGCATGGGCCTGTCTAGGGTCATGTTGTGCCTCGATCTGAGGTGCGAGTCAGTAAGAGGCGTTTGGTGGAAGGTGTCGAGTGAGGCGCGCGGCTTACGATCTCTGTAAAGTCGGAATGGCAGTCCGGACATGTCAGGCCGCCCTCGTCTCGGAACCACTCGTTCTCGCACTCGTGGCAGAAGACCAGGTCACGCTGAGACTCCATGATGAGTGAGGGATGGTAGGATGCGCGCGGTAGAGGCGTGTCGAGGTAAAAGATTGTCGATGGCGAAGACAGTGATTGAATCGGAACTATGCGTTGCTCTGCATATGCAATGTCGTGCGGTGCAGTGTTTGCTGATCCGTCACTTTTCTCCAAATAGATCCAATGCCTGTTCTTAGGTATGAGTGTTGACTGAGAACAAGACGTGTGCCATCCAACGACAAGGCAATTGCTCCATCACCAACACAGCGACTGCCGCTTTGTGCTGTCCCGAACATGACGCATTGTTTAGTCGCCGACGCCACACCCATGTGGCGCGTGTTCATGGTCATGTGGCTGACCGAGGACTTCTTCGCGCTTCCATTGCCAACTGCCTCGTGGCAGCGTTTCTCCAGAGAACATATACTTCTTTCGGATCGAGAACCTCGAGAGACTCATGGTGTGCACCTGCAATATAAAATCCTAGTCTTTACACGTGAAACCCGAGCGCTGTGCTCGCCAGCCACCCCAACGAGGCTGAGCAAACCAGCTTTCCGGTTTTCAACCAAACATGCAAAAGCAAATCTGAATGCAATTGATCTTTTTCTCCTTCGCACTTTCCTAAACTTTTGTGATTTCCGTGTAAACTGTGCCGTGGTCCCCTACACGATGAAGTGGAGGTCAATGTTCAATCGCGACAATGATGGAGCGACACGCATGATTGATGAAGCCAGCGCTCTATTACCGTCCCACAGCAGCGAACACATCCCTAGCGCTGTCCCGGCCAAAGAGGTCACGAAAATTGCCCTGCGTCTCAAGCATCAGATTGAACAGGTCATCCCCTGTGAGCTCGAAGAGGACAGAATCACTGCCGCCCATTCCAATGTCATCACTCCATCCGTCGTCGAAACCGCCCGCTCCGCTGGCAAATATGGACGATCCGGTTCTTCTGATCAGGACTACTCTGCCTGTGTTGTCTTTTGCTTGCTGATCTGCAAGAAATGGTTCAAGCGACAGGCTCTGCTGGAACTCTGGGATGCTGACATGCATGAAGTCCGGGCTGTCGCCTGTGAGGTGATCGCTAAGCATATCATCGAATCCGAGGAAGACGCCGGCTTTCTGCTGCAAAGCATTCTTCTCAAGAGATACAGCATTGTCATTGACGGAGAGGAAACTGCTCCTAACAATGTCATCGAAAAGGCTGTTGACTTGCATGCTCTCAGAGTCATCGGAAGCTCGGGTTACCAGAAATGCATTACCTATCTGTGGCGTGGTTGGTTGGTTCAAGACGAAGATGACCCGACTCGCTTCATCGACTACAAGCTGAAGACTTCAACGAGTTACTGGGATCATCTTGACCCTGATCGTATGCGAGCGCCTCTGTACCAGAATGCCCTCCAGGTATTCATCAGTCTGCTCTATCTAGGATTTTATACTGGTGCCATCAACACTATCAACCCTACTGGTGACCTCGACGTTATTGAAGGTCTGCTTTATATCTTCACCCTGGGCTTTGTCTGCGACGAGCTTGCCAAATTCTGGAAGGTCGGAAAATACTACTTTGGATTCTGGAACACTTTCAACAATACCTTGTACGCACTGTTGACCGTCTCTTTCGTTACAAGAATGATCGCTCTCGGTCACCGTATTGGAACAGAAGATAGAAACAAGTTCAACGAGCTCAGCTACAACTTCCTGGCTTTCTCGGCGCCCATGTTCTGGTGCCGTCTCCTGCTCTACTTTGACACCTTCCGCTTCTTCGGCACCATGCTCGTTGTGCTCAAGGTCATGATGAAGGAATCGCTCATCTTCTTCGCCCTTCTGTTTTTTGTCAGTATCGGATTCTTGCAAGCATTCATCGGTCTGGATCAAGAAGATGGCAAACTGGACGCTACCAACTTTGTCGTTCAGGCCATGATTAACGCCGTCATGGGAAGTCCTGAATTCGATGGATTCGACAACTTTGCTCCTCCTTTTGGCTTGATCCTCTACTACATCTTCACCTTCATTGTCATTGTCTTGCTGTTGAATATTCTCGTTGCCCTTTACAACAGTGCCTATGAAGACATCACTGACAACTCTATTGACGAATACATGGCTCTGTTTGCACAAAAGACTTGCCAGTTCGTGCGTGCACCCGACGAAAATGTATTCATTGCACCTTTCAACTTGATCGAATTGGTCTTTTTGGTCTTGCCTTTCGAATGGTGGATGGACAAAAAGACCTACGAGCGTCTGAATGACTATGTCATGGCAACCATCTACAGTCCTCTGTTGATCATCACCGCCGCTCTGGAAACAAGAATGGCCTACAAAGTGCGCTTCAACCGCAACAGAGGAGAGGTAGATGAAGACACCATCGAAGAGTGGGAGCAGCTAGACGGTGAATTTGACTTTGAAGGCGATGGCTGGGCCAAGAAGTGCGACGAAACCAAACCCAATGTCGAGGTCGACAGCACCCTCGTTGAGGTCAAGGCGTTGAGAAAAGAGATTGAAGAGTTGAAGGAGATGCTAAGGAGTCTCAAGAATTGACGGAACTGCAGGATGCGATGTTGGACTTTGTCTGAAATTCTTTATCTCTCACCGGTCAGTTTCAATCATATAAAAAGTACTATGCATTTTTACAGGCCCTGTTTCCTTGCATGCAGTGTTTGAGAGAATCGAACCTACATCTGTGAACGATCAGGAATCAAGGCAACTTCTAGCTGTTCCTACATTGTGATACGTGTCAAGCACAGCATGGGTTGCCATATGTATAAAGGAATCAAGACCAGGACTTTCATGTTCAATGACGCCGTTCGTCACGAGTGTTGTGCCCGCAAGAAGTCAAAGACCATGTTTCCCATCTCATCGCATGACCAATCGCCCAAACGTGAGTGCAGACAATCAACGATCTTGGTAGTCTTCCCCAAGAGAAATGCCCCGGAAAGCCTCATGGTTATGGACGTGAGGGCGAGACTTGGTGTCCCATACACTCCCTGACCGAGCGACTCAAGCAGATTGATATGCATATTGCCCTGAGCACAGTGATTCCAGGCGAACGAAGTTGATAGAATAGTCCAACTCTTGGTGATCCGATAACAGAGTCAGGAATGACGAGAGGACGGGGTTTTGTAGCTATGCTTTGTGGTCGCAGCTCGATCAAGTGAGAATGGTCCATTGCTTGAAACAACACGATAATTATCATCTAGCGTGAAACGGTTAGAATACTGTCACTACTCCTTATCCGTTCTCTTCGTCATGTCATGATCGTCGTCCTTTGCTCATCATCAGCCTGCACTGCCGCAGAATCCTTAGAAACCTCCAGCACCTCTGACTCTTTGCACGGCACCCACGATACCCTTCGCCCAAGCCATCTTTCCAGCGTCCACACCAATGGCTCCCTTGGCCTGATTACCGCTAGCGTCGCGCCAGATGCCATCCACGTTGCTGGCTTTGCCTAGTTTGCCAGTATTCTGGTTTCTTTCGACTCCCTCACGCCACTTGCCGACAATTTCAGCGCTGTCAACCATGATGTTGACTTCCTGGCTGTGATACCAAGATTGTGTGTCTTGGTTGCCATTGCCCATGATACCGAGGTGTCCGTCTACAATCATGAGTTTGACGTGGCAGGAGCGCTGTTTGAAGCTGTCGTGAATAGGAGCGACCTGATCTTTGGCGGTGTAGTAGTGTATGTTTAGAAGATTGCGCGCTGCATCTTCATCTTTGGTGAGAGATGTGTATAGCTTGTTCGCTACGCCTTCATTATGTCCTCCTTGGAAGGGGAGAAGCTCGCCTGCATCGTTGTATCCCAGACATACGTAATATGTCACTTCGACTCCGCGACGTACAGCGGCCAGGAGTTCGGGAAGTAGAGGCGCGGCATTAAGGTCGGGTGTTTGAATGAACACATCGCGTTTGGCGTTGCGTACAGCAGACAGCCATGCCTCATTTTGTGGCATGAACACACCATTGTGGTTGGTTGCGCCGTATGGCTTGCGATTGACCACTGCCATCGGAACGAGCTCATGCACCTTGTGTGGGATGTAGGGCGTCATCTCCTCGCCAGGGGCATACTCTCCTTGGATCGTGGCTTTGACGTCTAGACGCCTGCCACGATTGAGATGACGGGCTGCGACTTCCGGGCCAGTCTCACCATCTCGAGGTGACATGACAGATTGCATACGAGTAACCTCAGCTGCAATGTCTACATCATAGTGAGGATCACCTGGAGCATGCAATGGCAATTCCGTGCGTTTTCCGTCCTCCGCAACTTGATCCAGCGAACGACTGTTGCCGCGTTCCGGAACATTCAGGTTGCCATTCGCGTCAAACATACCACGGAACGAGGGTTGGTCGAATGCTGGTAGACCGCCTTGAGCGGCTGGTGTATCGAAGGATGGTAGAGGTGGGTCGAGTGGGTTGTGCCAGGAAATCAAGAAAGTGTCGTACAGAGAGTCAACAATAGGGCCTTCGACATGGCACATCTGTCAAAAGCGATTAGCCACATCGCCGTAGTATATAAAAACCCTTGAACTCACCATTTCCATATTGGAGTTATCTTGAATGTTGTTTGAGCTCACAATGCCAATCTTTCTATCCACAACCATGAATTTGGAGTGGAACGTGCCCAGCATTGGTCTGTGATAGTTCAAAACTTGCATGTCAAGATGGGGTGCTTCTTGAACAGATGGAAGGCGGATGTTCTTGCCAGTGTACTCTTTTTCGGATACCGTCTGGTGGTTTTCAACAACCTGTGTGCGACTTTAGAATCTTGATCCAATGTGTCGAGATTGTCGCTTACCTGTTTGACGTTTCCTCTATCGTACATGATTTTCACGACTGCTCGTACGCCTCTTTCACCAGCACGTCTTGAGAGCTCTTTGAGACTGTCAGTGATGAGTCGCGAAGCATCGGAGTCCATCCAGTAGTTTGTTGCAAGCAGAACCTCCTTGTCTGCTCTTGCAATCAGATTGGACTATGGACTTCGTTAGTATTATGCAACTAGCCATTAGAATTGTGTTGCACACCATGTGTCTGCAGATATCAGGCAGCCCAGATACTATGGTCAGAGGACATGTTCCTGTGGAACCAATCAAGGAGGGACTGCAGCATCCCATGAGAGGATCATGTTCGAGCGGCATTAAGCTGTCATGGAATACGCGCAAGAACAACTCGCTTGGTGGTGTGGTGAACTTTCCACATTGCAATGCGCGCTCGAGCTCCTCCTCAGTTGCTGGTCTTCTCACAGAGGGCACATGTCCTTCGCTGATTGAGATGTTGTCAGGGTGGTAAAGCTTCTTTGCGGCTTCGCCAGGTGACAGTGAGGGATTCTCAGCTAGCGCCTGTGAGACACTGTGAGGATTGCGACAAAGGCCTTCGACTTTTTCTGACAGCGACATCTTCGTTCGTGGTGTGTGTTGATGAGAGTGCAAGTGTAGAGAGTGCGGCATTGAGAAAGGTAGCTCCAAGCACGGCAGACACCCTCGTGTGGCTGACATGGTTCTACATAAGAGCTAGACCTCAAGCCACAATCGATCCTACGACCGTAACCCCCGCTGACGCGGCCTCGCTTGTATGTGTATTTGACATGGAATTGGCAATGGCAAGCGCGCTTGGAAAAGACCTTGGTCCCAAACTGGTTGGGCCAGCGGTTCGGACGGATGCAATGACGACAGAAAATCAGGGATTTACGGTGGATCATCTCGATTGACACGAACAACAAGCAAATGCCAATGTTTGACAAAGCTTAGCAAAGGCTTGTACATGTGGATCATTCCAGGGGAGAAACCCTGATTTCTTGCACTTTTTGCTTGGATGGAAGCGAGCCGCGTATGTCAGGGCTCGGTGCTGTGCAAGATACAGGTTATTGGTGAAACAGTGATGACATGTGTCCGTGGTGTATGGTAATCTTTGTACGGGCGTAGCTCAAATGATGGAAACAAGATCGTCCCCGATTCTAGATGGCTCAACTACGCGACACTGAACCTAGAAGCAACGCGTCGTGGACAGGTTCTGGCTCACGAGCCTGGCTTAGGGCCGGCCATGTCTAAGACGAGTCCATGCCTACACTGCACGTCCATATCTTTCATTATCGTTCGTCATAAATTATTGATCCCCAAACACCCATGATCTATTATGGGTACTCTCAAGATTGTCTGTCTGTCATTAACTGTTTGGCATGGCATTCCCTAGTCCATTGAATACACTTCGCCAGCCTTCGTTTTACGAAAGGAAACAGGAGAATCTCCACCTGGCCATCAGCTCGTAAGCAGGACTGGTCTATGCGCCAACCCTGCCTGCCGAGGGAAACCTCTTCGCGCTGAGGAGCACGCCTTTTACACCTCTGATCTCTGCCTTCAAGGTCACAGCTGCGTCAGACTTCTTGTCCTTGGAAGCATCAGATGCATTGAGTGAATTGTCTGCGTTCCATGAGTACGATGGCGGGGTATAATAGAGGCCGTCGAGATAATGTCTTGTCTCGCTGACGCTTTCTTGCAATGTTTGGTTACTTGTGCCATTGCTTTCTGCGCCCTCGAGCAGCTCCGAAAGGTGAGATTTCATGATGTCAAGACGACTGGCATGCTTCAGAGGCATTGCTTCAGGCTTGACGAGCTCAGCATCAGAAGACAGACTGGTGCGACGAGAGAGTGAAGGCGAAGTCTGCGTGCCAACATCGCGGTGGAAGAGCTCGGTAGGGTCTGAGGTAATGCTGTCTGTATCAAAGTCTGCCAGATCAGCAGGTGTAGATGGTAGGGATTTCGCCGATGAAGGGACAATGGAAACCAGCTTTGATATTTTGTCGTTGAAGTTGGTTACATGGTCTCCTGTATGCTCAAATAGATCATGACGAGCTTCGTTCAAGTTGTCGGCCATGGGAGCAATGATGTATTTGGACAAGGCATAGGCAGAAGCAGTCAAAGCACCGGCTATATATGTAGCATTTATGAGGCGGCCCACGGTGACGAGTGGGGGAGGTTTTTGAGGCTGAACGAGAAATTCTGGATAAGTAATGATAGGAGGCATATCCCTACGAGGCTGGGGAGTGGTGGATGGAGCTGTTGATCTAAAGTCGGCGGCGGAAAAAGAGACGGCCTTGGAAGCATTGAACTCTTGGTTGGCAGCTTCTTGTGAGCCATCTGTGGTCTTGACGTAGCTCTCTGGTTGTGGACTCCTTTTACTTGCTTCGAACTCTTGTTGGGCAGCTTCTCGCGAGCCATTGGTTGTTTTGGCGTAGTTGTCCAATTGCTCATTCTTCTTGCTTGCTTCGAACTCTTGATTTGCGGCTTCTTGAGAACCATCCGTGGTCTTGACGTAGGTCTCGGGCTGCGGGGCTTTCTTTGTTGCTTCAAACTCCTGCTGAGCAGCTTCGGACGAACCGTCGGTGGTGGGGGTAGTTTTGCTGGCTTGGAACTCTTGTTGCGCGGCTACATTGGAGCCGTCGGTGTCTGAGTTGTGCTGGGCATCTTCTGGACCCATTACTTGGTATATCATGTCTTCAGAGACGTCTTTGGACAACAGAAAGGTCTTCTTTTTATGGTAGGGAGCATCCTTCACGGCGGGATCCTGGAGGAAGCGGCGCACGCGATCAATGGCGGCGAGGCTCGCATCGTGTTCTTGTGTGGCAGCTTGAGTGGAGGCGTCGGTAGCATGGCGTTGCCAGGCTGGAAGGTCTTTCTTGTCGGACATAGTGATCGAGAGCAGATTGTGCTCGAAGTAGTCTGTCGAAGCAATACCGATTGGATTGCTGCATGCGAAGCATGTGGGCGAGCATTGACGACCGGGGCCGATGCCTCGGCATGTCTTTGTGTGGAGAAGTGGCTCAGTTCAGCCACAAGGGCCGAGTGCCACAACTGCCTGCCCGTGGATGAAGGAAGCTTTAACTGTGAACAACCAATTACTGTATGCGCCGCCTATCGTCCGCCTCAAGCTCTGCGCATACGAGTCCCACCCATAATCATGTCTGCGCCCGCCAATAAAAGGCAGAAAACTTCAAGCGGAAGTCCTGCAGGCCCGTCACATTCAAACAGAAACACGCGAACTCCTCCAACGAGTCGGCCTGCGAATGCCAACAGGTTGGTCCCCCATTAATCACAGACGGTCAAATACGAGCATGCTTGCTCCAGCCAAGAGACTTCACGTTGGAAGTAAGACGTGATGGTTGGGAAGCGGCAACCGGCAGCATTCCACGAGCCACACACCGACAAACGCGCAATCATTATCCATCATTCCATCTGCCCTGCTTATCTTTCTACCAAAATATCGCTGCACTTCATCCAAAATGCCTCCAACCCGCTCCACGAGATCAACAAGGGCCGGAACTTCTCGACTGACACAACCTACCAGCACATCCGCCAGCATCAACAGGCAAACTTCCGATCCTCATCACTTGCGCATCACCGTCAAAGCTCCCCCAAGTAAGCTACGCCAGGCCATCTCGGGCGATGACAATGAGTCCGACTATCCCGATGCCGACGACTCTCCTGAACCTCCTGTGAGGACCGCTCGCTCGACTCGCAACCCGCGCACTGTCCTCGATAATGAATCCGACGATGACCAAGAAGAAGATGATGATGAAGACGAGGATGAGGACGCTGAAGGAGAGGACGACGACGTCGACAACACAGAGATGGTGGACGCTGAGGGTAGCGATGATGACGCCGACGCCGATGCTGACGATATGGATATGGATTCTCCACATCCAGCAGCTCCTGTCATTCGTGTTTTGCCAGCAGTTTCCACTGCAACCTCAAAATCAAAGGCCAATGTCGCCGTCTCTGCACCTCCACACAAAGGCAACCTCAAGAGCGTCGAAGCCAAGGAGTTAGACGATGATGATGAAGACGATGACGATGAGTTGTCTGACCTACAATCTGGAGACGAGGATCTACCTGGGGCAGAAGATGACGACGAAGAGCTTGATAGCGACCTCGACGGCGAGGAGGGTGATGTGACCTTGGATATGACCAAGTTGACTCGCCGCCAGCGTGCCGTCTACGATGAAGAGCAGGACGAAAGTCTGATGGCTCTGTCCAATGAAGCACAGAAAAAGAAGCATCTCACTGCCGAGGAACACGCCATGCGCAGAGCTGAAATGGCGAGACGAAGGAAGAATCTATCTGAGAAGCGCAATGAAGAGGAAAAGGTTTGTACTCATTCTACTGCTACACACTTTCTGCAACTAACATGCCTTTCCAGATGGATACCATCAACAAGCTGCTCAAGAAACCTGCTCCCAAGCGTCGAACGCGCGCTGAAATTATTGCTGCTCAGAACGCTGCGGAGGCAACTCCAGCATATACTGAGGACGGGGAGGAATACTTCCATCCTGCAAGCTCTCTCTTCGTTCGCTACGTCAACAATAAAGACGGAAGCCGGATAGGTGTGCCGTCAGAATGGCTGGAAGAAGGTCAACCTGTAGGACAAGTCTTGAGGAATGGATGGAAAGCACCGTCTAAGATGGTTGAAGAGGTATCTTGAGAGGTCACTGTCATTCGATCAATGGCTGTAGCCACAATAACGATATACGCGCGTCCGACCATCTGCATTTCTGTTTCGCTGCGCCATTGCTGTACAGCATGATGTGTGTTACAATCCTTGTCGTTCCAGAGAGCCTGTGTCGGACCACAACGCCTACTCGAGTACGACACAATGACTTCGACATTAGTACGCAACCACACTACAGGCTGAATTCGCAGCACGTTTCACGATCGACGGAAGACGCAACATTCGATCTGCAAGGAAGAGCACGGGAGAGCCGCTTCTGCCGTTGTGCTCGCACCTCCAACTCGGTTTTGACAGGGTGTTCCCCCAGACTTTGTGCCTGAGATGAGGAATGATCTGCATGTGACGTCTTCGAAATGCTATCTGCCGTGGGGAAGAAAATGAAACATTATTCATTGAGCAATAAACATTTGCTGCTCCCATTGGCGATGATGTGACGCAGTCGTTGTGCCGTCGTTGCATGATGTACGTAGGTAGCGTTTCTGTCAGTCTATATATTCTAACAGTCATGCCTCTCCATTCCGGACCTCAACTCCATTCGCCAAAATGAAGTACCTAAACTCCCTTCTGTTGTTGGCCACTGGTGCTCTTTCCCAGCAGGTCACTTATGAGAATTCTTCCTCTACTATTCTTCGAGTGGACAATGGCACCTACGGCCCTGCAATTGAAGAATATCACTATTACTATGACCAATGGCCGATCGGATTAGCCATCTCCTCGAAAGGACGATTCTTTGTCTCATACACTCGAGGAGACTATGCCTACACTGTCGGAGAGGTGGTCAACAAGACTGCTGAAGCACCATACCCATCCCAAGCGCTGCAAGTGCCAGTTGCCGATCTGAACACAACATGGAACGGCATTGCTTTTGGCAGCGGCAACAGCACTGCTTTCATCTCTGTCCAGGCTCTTTACATCACTCCTGAGACTAGTACACGTCCCGAGACACTTTGGATTTTGGACACCGGAAGACCTACCGTCCACAATGCAGCTGGTGACCCAAGCATGCCCTACGCTCAGCCAGGAGGCCCTAAGCTCATGGCCATCTCCCTTACAAATGACACCATCTACCAGACCTACACTTTCCCTAGCACTGTCCACTACCCCGATTCCTACCTCAATGATCTACGTTTCGATCTGAGAGCCAACGTCTCTGGTACTTCAGGAGGTGGTATCGCCTACCTGGTTGACAGCTCGAACGAAGGACGCAACGGTTTCATCATGGTTGACCTCAAGACTGGTGAATCGTGGCGCAGACTCGAACAAGACAAAAGCGTTTTGCGTGTGCCCAACGATGTTCCCACTTACTTCGGCAAGCCTTTCTACTACCGTTCGCTCGGAATGCCAATCAGCTGGCAAAAGGAAGGACTTGATGGCATTCAGCTCTCCATGGATGGCGAGACAATCTACTACTCTCCTTTGACATCGAAGACGCTTTACTCGATCCCATCTGCCAATCTTCGTGTGAGAGATAGCAACCCTCTTGCCGAAGTCTGGGCACACAGCAATGTATCCTCGAAGGGTCAACGTGGTGGCGATGCCAACGGCTTCGAAGGCGACAGCAGTGGAAAGATTTACCAACTCATGCCTGAGCAGAATGCTGTCTACTACTTCGACCCTAGCGATGGTATGACCCACGGCTTCCTTCAAGACCCTAGAATCTTGTGGCCCGATGGTGCTACTGTTGGTGCTGATGGCTATATCTATCTCAACATCAATCAGCTGCCCTTCCAGCCAGATTGGAACTTCGGCGTTGATGGTAGATTGCATCCTGGTGCTGTGTTGAGAGCAAAGCTGCCTGATGGCGCAGTGAAGATTAACACTTTTTACTGAGCGCAGCAATGACAGCATGTTATTCAGTAATGATGCTAGTTGTTGCTCTAATGATACTTCCATAGCAAAGATATAATACACAATCATTCATATATCTAAAACCAAAACGTGATCTATTGTTTTGCCTTCCACTCCTCAATGACCTTCTGAGCAATCTTTGTGCCCTCCATTCCAGCAGGCATACCGGCATAGACTGCCGCCTGCAAAATGGTCTCTCGAATTTCCACTTCAGAAGCTCCATTGTTGAGTGCTCCTCTTGTGTGAACAGCCAATTCTGGACCACGGTTCATAGCACACAGCATTGCTACATTCAACAAACTCCTGGTCTTGAGATCTAGACCCGGTCGTGTCCAGATGGCTCCCCATGCTCCCTCTGTAGCTAGCTGTTCACTTTGTGTGAGTAATTTGTAGTGAAGGAAGTACAACTGGGAATGGATATGTACCTCCTGCATGGGTTTGGCGAAATCTGAAGTTGCAGCTTCGAGAGCGCGGTCGACGTATTCCTTTCCAGCGACCTTGTTGCGCATTTCTAGACCGGCATCGTAGAGGGTTTTGTGGGCCTCTTTGACCTTGTCTGCGTTTTGTTCTGTGTATTTGGATGCCATGATTTCGAGCTTTGATTTTGCAGTGTCGCAATTTAGTGGATTTGGAGAGTGTATAGTATGTGTAGTAGTGTCAAGTGGTATAGATTTAATAAACCTTGTCAGAGAATCGGAGGTGTCATTGTGCAGAAGGTGGTGCGGGGCCCATAGCCGAGGAGAGATGAATGAAGTCAATGGAGTGTCCGAGGCATCATTGCTCTGTCGTCGGCTCGACTTGCATGCTTCAACAACCCATTATCGACTGTTGACTTGCTCCTCTTCCTTGGATAAGTACCAGAATATTTTTTCTGGTATTGGAGACATGAAAGCGAGAACATAAAGAACGCGGCCGAGAGCAGTTCATGTCCATCGAGGGCCGAATGCCGACTTGAAGCGCTTGTCATACAGCATTCGCTCACGAGTGTAAATGTAGACCCGATGAGTGTCTACAAGACACAAACATCACGTATCGAAGATTCAGCTTGCCGCCGGACGAGATTCCAGGAGTGGGTTTGGAACGATCCCTAGGTATTTTCTGTGCCAAGCGCTCTGGCAGGCACGATTCTCTTCCTCCCAGTGTGCTCAAGGCGGTCACAGTGCAGCTATAGAAATGCACAATACTTTCGTAAAGAATGTGGTCTCCACAGAGAGGACCTCACCTAAGGCTATCTCAATGGCTAAGCTTGTTCTCGAATCACAATTGTGCATTTCGATAATTGGATTGAAACTGTCTTTAGCACACGGGGAGGTTCGACGGCCCAGAACGGAGATTCATTCGTTGGTTTCTTCTTCCAGATGTCTGTTGGAACAATCCTTCCTCTCGTCCAAGAGAACGGTGAGACTCGGCGTGCAAGCCTCTAGACTTGTCAACAAACACTTCAAAAATGCTATGCCTTGAGTCGGGAAGAAACTCAATCAAGATATGGGCAATGCTTGCAACTTTCTTTCTCCTAACATCAGAAATTCATATTCTCAAACTCTGCAAAGCCGTGTACCTTCCATACACAACGCTTGCAGAACAATAGCAGCCCTAATGACCATCACATTTCTAAAAGCATCAACATCGTCAGAAGCGGAAAGAGCAACCCTCCTCCTACCTTCCAACTTCCCAAGCAACTCCATAACCCCCAAATCACCTTCGGACCGCAACATAAACAGCCAAGAAATGCAGCTTCCAGGCTCGGAAGCTAGGATCTCTGTCCGCAACTTCTTCAACCGTGTATCATCATCTGTGTTGTTTGACTCGGTTTGCTGCATTTTGTCGGCCACGCAGATGGCTAATTTCTTGGCACATTCCATTCGTGCAGCACGATAACCAGTCACGTCTTGTTTGTTTACTGCTGCAGCTACAGCTAGCAGTTCGTGGATGAGTGTAAAGTGTATATTTGGGACGAGATTCCAGGCTGTGAGGAGCCACATGCCCATCTCACGATCGAAGACCCGAGGCAGGGATGACTTATCAACTGCAGGATATAAAGTTGGAAGTGGTGATTGTGTTGTGGGAGCGGATAGTGAATTTTCTGAGGTCGTATCGGAGATGAGGACAGTGTAGGGGGTGTAAGGGGTACTGGGTATGCCGGGCGCAACGCTATCGCAAACGACACTACTGGGAGTGGTAACAGGAGGCGGGGATTCACTGACGCTTGATTGGAGAGATGAGTCTGACCGTATCGATTTTGCGTCGGGGGTGTGTGGGACCTGGGAATCTGTATATACAGGAGGCGCAGGACGAGGATCATACGCTGGCGGCGCTTTGCTCTGTTCTTCTAGAAGAGCAGAGCATGCTTTTCTCTTCCTTGATGGGACCTCTTGTGCATCGTGCCAGCCTTGAGCCTCCCACAGATCAAAAGCACCATCCCATCCGCTCCCATACATGTTTTTCAGAGTGATTTGAGGCGTGAAAAAGGCTACTTTCTGCTTCATGTAGCTGGAGAAGCGTTGAAGTCCGACTTGAGCATATGAGCTGAACTTCACATACAAATCAAACTGCCTTGCTTCAGACAATGACTTGAGGCCATCGAGAAGTGCAAGCGGCGTACCGCGCAGTTTGCTCGTGTAAGGCCGCGCATTCATGACAACTCCGCATGTGCGTTTATGACCGAGCGCGAATGATATATGCAAGATGCGAGTCGTGTTCGCAGAGACGGCGTCGGCAGGGCGTTCAAAGAGAGCCTCAGGCACAGAATCGAGAGAAAGTGGTTGAAAGTCATGGATTGCACTAGATATGCGCAAGTCTTCTGCGGGGACGACTAAGAAGAAGCTGCGTGGACGTGCCTTTGATTTGGAGCGCGTTTTGACAGACATTGTCAGAATGACAAGCATCTCATTCTTGTCGTGATTGATGGCAAACCAGAAGCGCAGCGAGCTATCATTGCCGTGTACAGGCAATGGCCCTCCGAGGTAACGTTCTTTGCCCAGCTCTTTCTCCTCCCACCGAGCGCCAACTTGGTGGCCGCCCACGATCCATTCATAGCCTGCGTCAGGCGACAACAAGACATCGCCAGCATCGGTATCGAACTTGAAAACATCGTCGTTGCAAGACATGTCATCGGGGTCTAATCAGTCAGTCAAGCCTACCGTTTCCCTGCGAGCTAGAAAGCAGCGCAGTTCCCACCCGCCCAGGCTTTCGCGTTGTTGAGAAATGCAGAGCAGCCTTGACTCAATATCAACAAAGTACAGAATCGGGCCTCACCGGTAGCAAAGCCAGAGAGACTCATTCACACAAGGCTCAAGTCCGCAGTCGACGCTGCCAAAGGCCCAGTCACGCAAACAGTGTTGGGATAGAGCCGGAGGCAATGAAAACTGAAGAGCAGGTTTCAAGGGATAGAGTCGGACTAGCAATGCACTGGTTTGGCAGGCGCGAGAAATATTTCGACTTGTTATGATTGTTGACATTAACAAAATGTGATCGAGGCAGCCACCTTTGAGCGCGAAGTTGAACGAACTTCCGCGAGCCAACGCGTCTCGGTCACGTGTACTTATGCTTTCTGATCTATGCATCTATGCATCTATGCATATCAGATCTGTGCGACTTGTGTATCAATGCACAAGGCACTTGGTGCGCGACATCAGTTTCCCTTGCCATCTGTGACCTTTCAATGGAAATGCCTCACATCAAAACACGATTATGCATTTCGGCAGCTGGAATCTTTACGAAATCTCGCGAAGAGAAAATTACTGAAAGGCTAGTGAAGTCTCAATGCTTAGAACGGGTATTTGTTGTTTGCTACAAGTGCGTGATGCCACGCTGGGTATTATAAAATCAAATCTAGGATCCTGGTCGACTTCTATGCTCCATGCGGATTTCTTAGCTGAATTGGTCGCCATGGTCGCCGTACTGCTGCACCTTATTGGCCTTCCTCATTCTTGTCTGCCTTCGAATCTCCTTTGCTTCCGCCTCACGCTCCAGACGTTGTTTCTTCTTTCTCTCCCAGACTGCTCGGATCGTGCGTCTAGTCTGTTCCTTTCCTTCCTCAAAATTCGCTCGAGCCAATGATACAACTTTGTCGATCTCATCATCTGTGTAGACGAAATTCCATGTGCTCATGAAGTCCGATGTCTGCGGGTCGACGCCTGGTACCTTGTCGTTCTTGAGGAAGGGGAAGTAGATGACAGCAATACCAGCATCTGGCCGCATGAGCTCCCACTCCTCTTCGACTCGTTTTGAAAGAGGTGGTTCTGTGTCATTCTCACGCTCCTCGGTTGTGCCAACCCAGACAGTGCAATATCCCAGCTCTGTAGGTTTGGCCGGGACCTTCTCGCCTGCCACGACGGCACCGGAAGCTTCTGCATGTCTTGCACGTTCGATTTTTGCGACAGCTTCTTTCTCTGTCGTGACCTGTGCTTGCTCGAGTTCCTTGAGAGTCTGCTCCTCACTGAGTTCCTCACTAGGCCACCCAGCACCAATAGGCCAACCTTTGATTCCTCGTTGTTTGACATAGCCATCTGTCACTTTGATCCAGTTATCCTTTCTGACATCTGCAGAAGCATCGAACGCAATCAAAACGTCAATGTCCCTTCCTGGACGTAGGAGTGGATATATAGGGAGGTTGTTGCTCATTCCAGCATCCATCAGCTGTAGCGTTGTCGCATCGTGAACGCTCTGGGGACATGACTGAGGTAGAAGACTTTTCATGTTTGCAGCAAAGTTCGGTATGGATGCTGGCTCGAAAGGATGAACTTTAGTAAGGTCGTCATCCTTCTCGGCTATCAACTGGTCAATGCCACTGAACCCAGCAAGACTGCGAACGATAGGTCTAATTTCCTTGTAGTAGTGAGACAGTGTCGCGCAGAATGCACTTCCCCAGATGCCCATAAGCATAGGAACTCGAAGCTCGGGTAGCGCGAGGCCGTTCTCTCTCCAGACGCTGTACCCTCTATCGAATCTGCGACCGATGGCCCAGGTTGGGATTCCGGCTCCGAGCTCCTCACAGAAGAACTCATAAGGTGTCCATTCGAACCACTGGAACCAGGACTCCGCTCTAGCAACCGCCCTTGAGTTCTCGTCCTTGAGGTTCATGGCACGATCTTGTGACTGGACAACTTCAGGAATCTCATGACGGACCGCTGTGTATATGGGAAGCGGGTAAGCACCGGAGTCTGTATATTGCCGTTGGTTGGAGATTTTAAAATCGTAATCTGAGACGCCTAGCTCGCCTCTAGGAACTAGCAGACGCGCACCAAGAAGGAGACCGTATACATCCACGAGACCAAAGGCTGCATCCGGAACACCCTTCATCTTTTCAACCATTCCACTGAGGAGGTATTTGCTGGTAGGTGCGCTGCTCAAAAGCGAGAGTGCTGCCGGAGGATATGCGATATGGACGTTGAGGCGGTTCTTGAGATGATTGATCATACGGCCATGATTTTGTTGGCCGACAGAAGAGTAAAACAAGGTTTGTAACCAACAAGAGCCACTGACACCTGCTGTGTAGGTCACGCAATCAAATAGTCCTGCTTCGTGTGCAGAGAGATACGAGGAGGTGCCGGCAACCAGGGCGCGAAGACCGCCACCAGATCCGCACATTGCGATAATGGGTACATCAGCCGGGTGGATTTCTGCTTCGGGCACACCAAGATACTTCGCCAGAGCAGCAGTTGTGCGTAACTTCCTTTTTTCTAAGAAATGACGCTCCTCTTTGCAGATGTCATCTGATACTCGAACTCGTGCGTCCCAAATGATCTCGGGATTTATCTCAGGATCGTTTGCTTCGTGCCAAATTTCCTCGGCTAGAGAACCTGGAGCCATCGACAACTCATTCTGCAACTTGGATATGTATCCAGGTATAACCTTGACCCATCGCGGTACAATGGTGCCCGCGATTTTCTCGCCAAGCTTCGAAATCTCAAAATTGACGATGTTGTCCTTGGCTGCTTCAAAACTTCCGACCATGCTGCGCCATGCAGATACATCTGAATCTTCTAGGGTCTCACTGACATCTGAAGCTTTGTGGCCTTTGGTTTGAGAAGGCGGCGCTTGCTGACCTGGTCGAGCTTGGTTGCCATGGTCTCCAGCGCCAGAGGGTCCAGATTGCACATTTTGGTCATCGGAATCTGGTTTTTTGATGAGGACCGGCCACGAGAACCAATCCTGGGACTCTGAATCTCCAGAACTGTCTGCATATAGAATCTGGGCAGAGGAAGTCAGGGCGTATGTGCCTGTACAAACTACAACTGTAGCGACAGCACGGGTTGTGCCTCTGCATGAGCGCCTGTACCCTGGCAAGGCATGGTGGAGTTGCCGGCGACTGGACGAAGATTAGCAGTCTGTTGTATGATAGTGATTGGTCCACTGGAGGAACTCACCAGCCCACGCGGGGCTTTATGTTGTAGCGGAAAGCACTCGATCTAAGCATTGGTAGCATTGAAATGGCATTATTGATAATGATAGTAGGATTCTAGAAAGGCATGTGAGACCAGAAGATGGTAAGTTACCGGGACTTGGGCGAGGCGCACAAAACAGCACTGCCACGACAAGGGTCTTTGGCAGAAAGAACAGGTTCTGCAATTCTAGAGAGGGCTCGTCATGGCTACGATATGCTTTTCTTCAAGAACAGGAACAGGAACAGGAATACGCATCCGCATCATCACGCGATCCTTGACGCCGGAGTGACACGTGCCTCGGTACCTGGTCCCCACGATCACGAGTCAGGTCGGAGCACCAACTCTGTCTGTCCTCTTGGTCGGAGAGCTGTGCTGAGCCGCGTCTCTTGTTGCCAACGTCTTTCCAGTGTTTACTTTACATCGCTAGCTACTCCTGCACGAAGCTTGGATCCACGCCGGGTCTTCAGCATGCATTGATATTTCTATCCCTTGTCAGCTCCAAAGTCAACATCTCATCCATACGGCTCCAGCATGGCGGGTCCGAAGAGGGCCGCCTTCGCTGAGGAGAGCGCCGAGGTCGAGGTGCTCTATGCGAACCTGTCCAAGATGAAGAGCTTGACCAAGAAGATACAAGCTTCCATGAGCCGTCTCGAGACCAGCGGAAAGACAGTCGACGAGGCCATTGGACCCATCTATGGAAACACACAGAAACTCCAGACAACCAACGCCAACATCGATCGCGTTATCATGGCCATCGACAGAATCCGCGAGCCCTTGGATATGCGCAATAGAGAAGAGCAGGTTCTACGCTCAAACCCCCAGAGCGTCGGCTTGAACGAATACATAGCATCCATCGATCGTACACGCCAGGCTCTGGGTGATCTGAAGCAGTCCAATCTCCGCTCCAATCAGCAGGCCATCTCTGAGCTTAACGGTCTATTAAGCGTCGGCAGCCGACAACTCGAAGACGTCTTCCAGAGCACTCTTCGCGATGGAGTAGCCCCGGTCGAGCCACTTCATTTTATCACCAAGAACATCGACTTCCCTCGTATCTCCTCCAACAAGACGGCGCACTTGCGAACCATCAATGCACATGCATCTTCATCGGCCGCTGAACTTGCCCAAGCCGACTCGAGAGGCACACCCACAGCAAAAGTATATGCTGAAGTAAGAGGTCAATACATCACTGCGAGTCTACAAAACATGGCCGCTGCCTGCCTGGCAACTGCTCGAAAGCAGAATCCAAGTACGGCCACGGTCTACAAGAAAGGTGACAATGCCATTGGCATGTATGCCGCAGGCATCAAAGGCATGGTCATTGCCGAATACGACAATATCTGCCCCATATTCGATCGTGAGGAGTGGGGTCAAGTATTGTCGATGACCTGTCAGGGTGCTCTGAAAGCCTTCGCCAACACCCTGAAAGATCTCGATCGACATATCAAGGACAACATAACGAGCGACTGCTTCCTAGCTTATGAAATTATTGAAGTTGTGTCAGATACGGCTCTCGAGATTGATAGCAAAACGGGAGAGCTGAAGGTCGAATTAGCTGATGCTCTCAAGCCTATACGAGAAACTGCAAAGTCATCACTCTCGGCACTTTTGACAGATGTGCGGAACCGAGTGCAGCAGATGATGCAGCTACCTTCCGATGGCTCCGCAATTCCTCTAACCTCGGAGATGATGACTCGGTTGCAGGCAATGACCAGTTTCCTCGTACCATTGTCGTCCATCTTGACATCACTCGGGAAGGGTGGATGGTCTGCGCCAGGACCAGCATCATCAAGCAGCTCTATACCTACCCTCAAAACTTTCGATGTTGGCGCTGATGGTCGTAAGCTGTTTGCAGACTACGCTGCGGACACCATAAACACTCTTCTCTCCAACTTGGAAGCGCGTTCACAAGCTTTGCAAAAAAGCAAGGGTGTGCAAGGCGTTTTCTTGGCAAACAATATTGCCATTATAGACCGCATGATCCGAAGTTCTGAACTTGGTCCATTGCTGGAGCCTGCACAGCCCAAGATCGAGGCCTGGCGTGTCAAGGCGACTAAGCATTACATGACTACCTGGAACGAGGTATCAGCTTATCTGCTCGATGTGCAGTACACCAATCGCGGCCCTCGCCCTCCCAGTACAGGAACTGCAGTCGATTCAGCAGCATTTGTCAAGGCTTTATCATCAAAGGAGAAGGACGCCATGAAGGAAAAGTTCCGTGCATTCAATGCATCATTTGATGAGATGGTTGCCAAACACAAGACCTACAAGATGGAAAAGGAGGTCAAGGTTGCACTCGCAAGGGATGTCCAGAGACTTATCGAGCCTCTCTACGGTCGTCATTGGGACAGGTATCACGAGATCGACAAGGGCAAAGGCAAGTATGTCAAGTACGACAAGACGCAGCTTAATGCAGTGCTCACGAATCTGGGGTAAAGAAAGATGATGGGATCTGAACTTAGCGTGGCGTCGGGAGTTTTGGATATGTACCTTAGCAAGAGAATTGACACAGCTACGGTTGAAGTCGTCTTGGTGCGGGACAATCGACTTGGTTGCATGAAAATTAAGTTCGAGATGTGTCAAGGATGGATGTCCTGGCTGCTTCCATGCCGGCATGACGCCTTTCCTGATTCGGATAAACAGTGTGTTGACTGTGAAAGCTGCCCTGGCAAAAAGAATGGGTCCGCTTCCTCATGCTCGATAAACAAACAAGGAAAGAAATGGTAAGAGGTCGAAACCGACGCCCTTGAAGGTGTTTGATGATAGTGATACCATGAGATAGAGAGGTCGTGAGAAGCATGTAGGATCAGCGCTTTCATGCACGCGCCCACAGACCCCTTTAAAGCCGCGGCGGTTTGGCTGCTATAGGCTGGCTGTCCCTTTCCTCCACTCCACAATTCGACCTCCATCTTGTAGCGTTGATACTGCCGTGACTCTCACCCTCGTCTATCGCTTCTCGGACCATTTCCCAAATATCATCTTGTACAATTGGAAGGTGTGTAGATCCGTTGGGGCGCGTTTGCGGATGCCAATGGCAGTAGTGCCGACTGTCGGGCAACCACGACAGCAGATGCTCTTGCCGCCGCAAACTTGCTCAGCACACAAACGAAGGTTTACAAGTGCATATGCTGACACGTGTGCCAACAGAAGAAGGCACGTCCGACCTCGCATTAACTCGAAATCCACCCGCCATGGGTAAGCCAACTCTCCCAATTCATCATCCCCCGTTGCCTCTTGCATCTCAAGCAGCATCACTTCTCGCACTGTCGCCATGAGCGCCACCGAAGAGGGCGCATCGCTTGCCCAGGCAGAGCCTGTCGACGCCGATGCATTCGTCGATGCCAACAACTCATTTGTGAATGATGCTGATACAAAGCTCGTCGACACAGCTTCCAATGGCGTCTCTCCCACTCCTCCACCGGTCCGCGCATCGCCAGTCCCTCCCCAGATCCCTTCTGACAACAGTCCTACCTCTCCCCTGATGGGTTCCATTTCACCTCAAATCCAGACTGTCTCTCACAGAGACCCCAAGGCTGCCGCCGCTGCAGCAAGTGACATGAAGAACATCGTGCGCAGGAAGTTGACTGGTTTTGTTGGATTTGCCAACCTGCCAAACCAATGGCACCGCAAGAGTGTCAGAAAAGGATTCAGCTTCAATGTCATGGTTGTTGGTACGTTCCACCACAAGCGCCATCGTGCATACGTGCGGCTTCTGACATCAATACACAGGTGAATCTGGTCTCGGAAAATCGACTCTCGTCAACACTCTGTTCAACACCTCTCTCTACCCACCCAAGGAGCAGAAACAACCCAGCCTCGACTTCGCCCCTACCACTGTCGCCATCCAGTCGATCAGCGCAGACATTGAGGAGAACGGCGTCCGTCTCAGATTGAATGTTATCGACACTCCCGGCTTCGGTGACTTCGTCAACAACAACGAATCCTGGCGCCCCATTGTCGAGAACATCGAACAGCGCTTCGATGCTTATCTTGATGCCGAGAACAAGGTCAACCGCATGAACATTGTCGACAACCGCATCCATGCCTGTGTGTACTTCATTCAGCCCACTGGTCACTCGCTCAAGCCTCTCGACATCGAGGTCATGCGTAGACTGCACACCAAGGTCAACCTCATCCCGGTCATTGCCAAGGCCGATACACTCACGGATGAGGAAATCGTCTCCTTCAAACAAAGAGTGAGCACATTGTAACTCAAGTCCTGCTAAACTGCAAGCTGACACGCACTCCAGATTCTCTCAGACATCAAGCACCAGGGTATCCAGATTTTCGAAGGCCCTCGCTACGAGCTCGACGACGAAGAGACAATTGCCGAGAACCAGGAGATCATGTCAAAGGTTCCCTTCGCCGTTGTTGGTGCCAATACCGAAGTCACCACCCCCGAAGGCCGTAAGGTGCGTGGTCGCAAGTACCCCTGGGGTATCATCGAGGTCGACAACGAGGATCACTGCGACTTTGCCAAGCTCCGCCAGATGCTTATCCGAACACACATGGAAGAGCTCAAGGAACACACCAACAACACGCTCTACGAGAACTACCGTTCCGACAAGCTTGAGTCGATGGGCATGCAGCAAGATCCTTCTGTCTTCAAGGAGATCAACCCGGCAGCCAAGCAAGAGGAAGAGCGCTCTCTGCACGAGCAAAAGCTGGAGAAGATGGAGCGCGAGATGAAGATGGTCTTCCAACAAAAGGTTCAAGAGAAGGAGCAGAAGCTCAAGCAGAGTGAAGAGGAGCTGTACGCTCGTCATCGCGAGATGAGGGAACAGCTGGACAAGCAGAAGGCCGAGCTCGAGGAGAAGAAGAGTCGTATCGAAACAGGCCGACCAGTCGAAGAGAAGGGAAAGAGAAAGGGCTTCTCGATCCGTGGTTAAGTCTGACGCAATTGACAATTGCGGATGCGGAAGAAGTCAAGACTACTATTGTGGTTAATCTACATTATCACCATGGATTGCTGAGCAGCGAGGCAAGGGCGGGCTGGACTGCCTTTGCACAAGTTGGGTTCAAAGTTGTGATACCTCAGCGCTTTTTGTTTGTTTCCCAATGCGTTTTCCTCCATGTCAATTTACTTAATTGCTTTCAGTACCTTGTACCTTTAGTCAGCAAAAAAGCGAGAAAAAGACAAACAGCATGGTTATTCTTGCAACAACCTTGTGCCTGCAGTTTGACACTACGCCTTGCGTGTGGAGCGATGATGAACTAGTCAGCTATCTACAGTAAGTACTATGAGCTGCCAATCTGGTATACAGGCAGATAGGTCTGACTTTTTGTTAATGCTACACGTCCTGAAAACCATTCGAGGGCTCCTTTCACGATACAAATGTCTGACGAGATCTGCCTTGACTCGTGAATCAAGATGCATAATATGCAGTGGCTGGGGTGCGCGGAGCTGGCGGCGTGCGTGGACAAGTGACGTCGTCACTCGAGGTTTCCCTGATTGAAAGGTCGCACCTTCCTTCTCTCTCACTTCCATAAGCAGACTGCAACCAATTTTGCTTTGCAAACAACTATCTATCTTGACCTCTGCCATCACCTATCACCTCCGAGACTCATTCCAGGATAGCGTCCCCAATTGCACAAACAGCATCAGCAGAGTGAGTGACGTTCTCGGTGTCCATTTTCCCCAGCTTGCAAGCTCGCGTGAGTTCGTGCGCGCCAGCCACGGCAGAGCGCTGGCCATGACGACCCCACTGGGCCAACAGCTGTCATTCTGCTGCCTCTGCTCTGACTTCTTTCCTGCATTCTCCTCCGCGTCCATACTGACACGATCTGCTCAAGTTCTCCTACAATGGCTCCCCCTCCTCCCGCAAACCTTCCTCTCCAGGAGCGCATGCTCCAGCTTGTGCAGACACTGCAGTTCGCATGGTTCGCTGGCCATGTTACCCTCCTGCTGTCTTCGGTCCGCTACGCTCTTTCGTACATGACCTTCCACGCCAACTCCAAGTGGGCCACCTTCTCGTACCGCACCGCTTTCGTTGCTGCTGCTGCCACATACGGCATTGTCGTCTTTAAGAGCTTCCGTGCTCGTGCTCGTGCTGGAAAGGCTCAGGGTGGTGCTTTCCAGATTATTGGTGACGAGAACGTTCAATACTTGGGTAAGCCTTCGAACTGCTTTTAGGCTTCGAGCTCAGTGCTAACTTGTACAGTCATGGCTTTGATCTGGCTCTGGTCCCGCCAGATTCCTCTTGCTATTCTGCCCTTCGCAGTTTACTCCGTTTTCCACGTCGCAACTTACACCAGATCCAACCTTCTTCCCACCATTCAGCCCCAGCCTGCTGCCGCTGCTGGTGAGAAGCCCAAGTCATCCGCCCTTGCCGACACCATTGGCAACTTCGTCAAGAACTACTACGACTCCTCCATGACTCTTGTCGCTATCCTCGAGATTGCCCTCTGGTTCCGCCTGGCTTTCTCTGCTCTCCTCTTCCAGAAGGGCTCATGGATCCTGATCGTTATCTACACCGTCTTCCTCAGAGCTCGCTTCCACCAGAGCACCTTCGTCCAATCGGCCGTCAACCAGCTGGCCGCTCGTGGTGACACTATCGCCAACCGCCAGGACATGCCTCCTGCCGTCAGACAGGCTTGGGACGGTCTCAAGAACGGTATCAAGCAGGCTGCTGACCTGACCGACATTAACCGCTACGCTGGTGCCCAGCAGCAGGGCGTCCCCAAGAAGACCCAGTAAACTTCTCGCGCGCCCAATTCTGATCCGCAATCGAGACTGGTGGACTGAGGTCAGACCTATGTGATATCACAGCCAGACTGGCTGAAAGAAGTATGCACATAACGATGCTCTTGATGAGAACAAAAAGTTGATAGAGGAGAGAAGAAGTTGCGCAGCTATGTCAGCAAGCTGCTTGGAGGATATCGGAGGTTGAGAAGACTGACCTTTGTTCATGATTAGTACAGACAGCGATACCTGATTTTTCATTCCTAACGCCTATGACATTATCTCTATACACCCTCTCTGAATTGATCCAAAGTGATTATCTCGACCCGCAACACCGGCGCCTCGCTTCTTGACCTGCAAAGTTTTTCGAAAAGTGTTTTGCTCGAAGAGTCCTTCAAACGCTTCCAAGACACAGCGCAGCCAGCGTAACAATACTCGGTTGCACAAAGTGGCACTTGCTCCATGGCTGTTCCTGCAGTGGTCTGATCTCGTCCTGGGTCTTGGTCGATGGCTTGACAGATCCGCACGCCATGTGTACCTTAGATCAGTCGCCGTTCGAGAAGAAGCGGAAGTTCCAGTCCAAACTCGGCCGAGTTTGGCATAAGCATTCCATTCGCCAAGATGAATAGTTGCACAAACATCCGACCCTGTTGTGCAGACTACAATGAGGACTCAGATCTTGTGGAATGCTACTTAGCGCCCATGCGGCGTGTAGAAACTCTTTTCTGAACACTCTACGGAGAGGCAATCTTACTGCAACACAAGAGAATGAGCAGACATGGTTTATGGAATGACAAGCTAATTGACCAGGTGCCCAGTCCCGCACACGCACAAGCCTGAGGCTCCACGCAGTCTCATCTCTTCTCGTCTGGTGCAACGCTATGCAGCATGCTGCGAGACGGTAGATATGCGAGTGGCAAGGTATGTGTACGCAGATGTTTGGCACTTTAAAAGAGACGGGATCTGTCAGATCAAGATCGAGACAAGCCGCATGCCTGGCCTTCCAGCGACCGGGTTCACGTATGTGGAGCAAGTGGTGTCGAATGGGCAGCAGCAGGATAAAATGTTCCGGTGACGCGAATTGGTATAAGGTGTGGCTGCATGACAGAAACATATCTTGCGACCGGGTTGGTGGGAAAGGGGTGATGGCATACTGCTGCTTGTGCTACAGTTGATACTGCTGAACGACTGGAACCGGTTGTCACATACAGAGGTCGCATGCTACACTGTCAGTGTCGTACCTGGCGCAAGATCGTGGATGATCTGGTAAAGTGATTTTGGGTAGCAATAACCAGGGCCATGTTTCGAACAGGAGGGGCTGCAGGGGTTCGTGCCAATATCTTCTCATTTCAAAGATCGTGGTCAAGAGTCATGTAGGAATGTACTCCTCAAAAGTGACAGGTTCATGTTTTGTAAGCTTCTGATCCCTGAGCAAAGTACTATCTCCACCATCACTACTCCAAGCATTCTGCTGGTGTCTTTCTATCACGTCTTTGAGAGGACCCACGCGCCGTGGCTTTATGCACGAGGCTTCTTCGGATCACGCAAATGGATTTCTAGACGGCACGGCACCATCCCCCTAGGTTTTCTCCCGACGTGCTAGATATGCAGCTACAGGCCATGGTTGGACTTGGCCAATTCGAGGAGATGACAATGTCAACCAGCCCCAAACTACGTGAGTATACTTCTTAAGTGCAATTGAAGCATGAGAGTGCCAGACGTTGGATGAAGGGGAAAAGAAGAAGTTTTGAGGTCATCTTTGACCGAATTCATACCACAGATCTTGTCTCACAGATCGTCCCGCCGCTTGCAGATCTATGTGTTCCCCTGGAATTTCGGTGCCATGCAGAAAGAGGAAAGTTCACAGAGTTGTGCAAGGAGAAAGTCCCCGAAATGTCGACCGGGCAGACGTGCGATGACTGATGCAAGCTGCAAGTATTCCCTGCTAGATCTCATGCATGTCCGGCACGACCATTCCGCTACGCCAATTGCAGCCCCCACCTACGGGAATGGAAAACATGGTGTCTTGATTGAGTACCACTATCAGCCGGGAAGTCGACGCGCGCCAGCACCAGACGACGTTCTGCAGTAGAATCTACCGGCCCTTCTCTGCATACAGCATGGGCCCGCTCGATCCGTGCGACGTCTTTTCAATTGATAAAGTCTGGAGTTTGATTACCCACATCCGAAGCCGTGGACTTGGATGAATCATGTCATGTGGAAGTTTGAGGAAGCAACTTTCGCAAGAGCAGCTGGCAGTGAGGGAGGATGATCAAGAATGATGGTGCCAGGTACCACACGGGTACCCTTGCCGTGTTTCTTGGATAGACTCGGGCCTTCATCCCCCTCGAGCTCACCCCTCTCCAAGGTGGGTCGTGACATGAACAGAGCAGCAGCTCCGGCGCCCAAGATACGGAATGGCGGCGCATGCAACAGTACGACATAGGCTTGCTGCTCTCTCCGCTACATTTGCACACGCCTCAGCCCATTCCGGTCTTGGGCTGGCTGCCTGTTCGAGCAAGTGCGCATGGCGCAAGAGCCTCTTTGACTCTGGCTTCTCGCCCCTCCACTGCTAGCCGTTCATTCTCATCTCCAGACGCCATCATTTCTTGTGGGATGTGGACGTAGGTCTCAGCTTTGCTTGCAGCGCGAACGTTTTTTCTGGCTGATCCAACAACGCCTCCCCAGAACGAAGATCTTCTGCCCTTCTACTTCTGTATCTTGCTGCTGCCGGGCCTGCTGCATTGGTAGCAAATCTAGCCTGCATTGTTTTGGTTTGATTGTTATATATATCTTTTACTTTGACCACTCAAGTAGATATTCCATCATCACCTTCCTCCCCAACTCTCTCGAGCACTCGTGCCTGCCTTGTATCATCGCTGCTAGTCGGCCATACCTCATCAGTCTCTCGCTCTCTCACTTCAATAATTCTGGCAACAACGCTCGCTCTTCACCACATATTCCAACTTTTGCAATAGTCGATTGAATCTCCTCTTTTCATACAAGCAAGGTAGAATTACCCCGCCACACCGTCATTGATCAATTGAACTGACCAGGCACACATAGCACAATGGCAATCTCTGGTTCTTGCGAGCACCGCTTCAGAGTCATCAAATCAGACACAACGCTCATTGTCTGGAATTGCAGCCTGTGTCATTCTGGCCCGCATTGGTTCATCTACGAGTGCACGAAGTGCAAGGTCAAGAGATGTGAACCCTGCACACGCAAAGCATAAGACCCGAAGAGAAGCGAATATATCGACCAGGGTACGTACAAGGCCATCCACTTTCTCCATGATCCATACCACTACCAATCCCTCGGTCTCGCAAATGCTGAGTCGTCTCACATCTCATTGGACTGACCTGAATTGGAATAGTCTTCTGTACATGCGTACCGATGTCCCCCTTGATGCAGATCAATCGCCTGCATCCACCGACATGCATGTTTCCCCACCATCAATCCATCTCATCTAATTGGCTTGGCCACAATCTCTCTCCCGAGCACTCGGGTCACGATGACTCTGGCGCGATCAACCGACGACGAGCTGCCACGATAACGTATGACGCACTGCACCGATAATAACTTGCTTCACATATCACCTACACAGACATCACTAGCTCTGGAGCATTCTCAACTGGCCGGCGAGGCATCGGCATCGCTTCACTTCGATCTTCCTATCTTAACGGTCTCCCTTTGTGTCTTCTCCCGTACATCTTTTCCACAGTCTGGGCTATTCTATCACTGGGTATCGGGTTATCTGGCGTCGAGCGAGGAGTTTCCACTTCGTCAATTCACAAAACAGGAACTGGCATGAGAATTTTTTTGACAAGCGATTGCCTTGGTGTTTGAAAAAGATTGTCTCTCACGAATGCCTCACGGCTGTATTAGAACAATGGGAATGGGGATATGGCGAAATGGGTTACAAATCTTCCGCAAGGATCTCGCTGGCGTACATCTTGGACGAACGATCCTTTTCTTTACACCTTCCATTTTCTTATATCCCTCTCCTTGATGTTTCTGCAGGCTCACGATCGGTGGATCATCTACCTTGTATCTCTTCTACCTCCAGATAGCTGCCGCAAGGCATAAAGAATTGATGATTCTCACGATATCCTCGTATCGATGCATGGCTTCGAGAATAATCTAAGATAGTGGTCCGCGTATCGCTTAGCTAAGGCACGACAACCATCAGTACAAGTAGAACTCCAACTTCAAGTCCACTCTGATCGGTCGGTCTACAAGAAGCTACCAGACTAAACCAACCGCCATGCAGAACAGACGTGCATCTCTGCATAGGAATGCCCACTTGGGTCAACCATGTGCTACCGCGAGACGAAACATTGGGACTAGCAGGAAACCAGGTCGATGGTGACATGAGGAAAAGGGTTCGGTGCAAGGGAGAGGGTGGTATTGCATATGTGGCTAGCAAACTCAAATAAAGCATAGAAGAATCGAAGGATAAACTTTTGTTATTGACCTTCCTGTTCTGCTGTGATGGCCAGAAGCTAGAGTGCAGTCGAGCGATCGGCCGCCGCTGTCGGCTATAGCCTGTCATCTATACGTGCTTTGAGATGTGGTAGACATATCGAACCACTAGGCTCCATCATCACGAGGAGACTGGTATCGAGGCTCGACCGACATGACCGTCACTTCGGGCCCTTGGAGAGGCCTACACACGCTGAACTGGACAAGCTTCTTCGACTATCAAGGAACATCGTCATGGTTCAGTGGTCGAGGCAGTATTCGTAGATGGCTGGTCAGCGGTAAAGCGATCGTCAACAATCGACGGGTCCAAGCTCCCTTGCGGGTCAGGAACGGCCCGCCAAAAGTTGCACGGCCGCCAATGGCGCATCGTTCGCAGAGGAATCTCCAATTGATCCCCTTCTGACTTTCTTTTCTTGCCAATCCAATCTTTGTGGCGCGCAAACAAGATCAAATGGCGCCCAAGAGAAAGGCACGCGTGTCACAAACGTCGAGTCCCGCACCGACACCCTCTCGCTCAAACACGACCGTTGCAGTCGAGATCGAACAGCGCCGACGACCAAAGGCATCAGACGAAACTCCGACTACGAAACCCTCTGAGCAAGCGGCAGAGCAAGACGAAGAAGAGGAGGAGGACGAGGATGACGAGGAAGCTGCCAATGCTGCCTTAGTGGCCGATCCATGGACCGACGACGAGGAGATTGGCCTGTTCAAAGGTCTCATACGCTGGAAGCCAACGGGCATGCACAAGCACTTTCACCTGCTTTCTCTGCATCAACATTTGCTGTCGAATGGCTACATACATCCCAAAGCACCGCATACACGAATCCCTGGCATTTGGGCCAAGCTAAACGACCTCTACGATCTAGAAGCGCTAGACGAGCGCGAAGACGCAAACGCTGCGCCTTGGTCCACGTCCGAAGACGAAGATGAAGAAGAGGACGAAAAGGACGAATTAGGCGATGATGAGGACGAGCCAGAACACACGCACGACACGGAATTCGAACTCCCAGACGACGACTTTGGCAGCCTAGTCTGGCGCGCGCGTTTTCCAGGTTCAGAAGACGAGCAAAGTCGAGAAAGTTCACCGCCGTCACATGAAGAATTGGTTTCGAGGCCAGACAGCCCACCTGTACGCTTCACACCTTCATTCGAGATTCCTCTGTCAGAAGCACAGCAGACGCCATCCACACGGACGTCTAAGAAAGCAGCGGCATCTGCGAAGACGAAGGGAAAACAAGCACCACCAAATCCTAGAAGGTCGAGTCGTGTGGCCGATAGCGTCGACCCAGACGACGACAACGACGAAGATGAGGAGGAAGAAGAGAGTGAGGAGGAAGACCAAAGCGAGCAGGAAAGTATGGCCAGTGGCACTCCTGCGCCCAAAGCTTCAAAATCAAAGGGTAAAAGGAAAGCTCCTGCTGCAAAGCCTAGGGCTAGTAAGCGGAGGAGGTAGAGAATAAGGAAGGTGTGATGGCAGGGTTGACATTGCTGTTGTTGTTTGTTTTTGCTTCTTGTTAGCCTCTGAGATACCCATTTGTTTTGAACTTGTTGTGCTCCACTCTTCCTTCCTCTTTCTTGCACTTGCTCGACCAAAATGATGTGATACATGCAGATGATATATAGCATGCCAAGAAGTGACAGGGTGATGTTCGTAACTTGGACGACATCGGCTCTTTCCTCTTGCACCTCTTGCATTTTGCTGCCATGATCAATCTCTCTCCTTGACAGACAGTGAATGATCCACAATAATGCCTTCGTTGTTATCACTACCACCAGAAATCTTCAATGCTGTTCTTGACGACGTTTCAGGACGCGATGTCATGAACCTACGCCTTGTCTGCCGCCATACAAGTGCACTATCACTCCATCAATTCGGACACAAATGCCTGACGGATCTCTCTTTTATCTGGTCTCCGTATAGCTTACAAGGATTGCTTGATCTCAGTGTACATCCACTGGGCCGATACGTCAGGCGTCTGAATTTTGCGACCAATTTTATCTATGCCGAAAAACTCACAGCAGTCCCGGACGAACAAAGGGAAGCGAGACTCAAAAACACATTCGAGCAGTGGGAAGAGAGAAATGAACTGGTGATTCAAGCACTGAAGAATTTGCAAAAGCTGGGTGTACAACCGATGCTAGGAGTTTTCGATGTACCTTGGGATTCTTCCGATCTTGGAAAAGATAACAGACGCAGTACAAGAAGGTATGGATACGGCTATGAAAAGTTTTATGGTACTGCCAGACCAGATGCTTCAACTGAGGACCTCCACGATATACACGATAACTCGTATCCGGCTTTCGCTCACGCAGTTGAGTATGTCCTCAAAGCCGCGCACCAAGCCAAGCTACCTGTCAGTGCATTTCACGTTCATAGGGAAGAAGGCGCGGAACACTATAAAGATGACCTCCAGGTTCTTCGAGAGCAGTATCTCAGGTCTGGCGAGTTCAGCCCCGACTTTGATCTCACCATCACAACCTTGTGCCCAGAAACCGGAGAGAGACCAGCCCACACAGCAAGAAACATCTTTGATACCAGACGACAAAGATACGAGTTTCGCACATTACCAGTGGAACATTTGGTCTGGCTCACACAACCCCGGGCCAATTTTGAAAGGCACGGCTTCATTTTGAATCCCCCACTCGACTCAGCGCCTGAAGGCAACAAACGTTGCTTCAGAGAAATCAGCATATCGTTCTGCGATGCACCCTTTGATGTCTTGACCGAGTTCTTGCTCGGCCAAGCAAAGACCTTACGGGTGCTTCAACTCGAGCACATTGGCATCATGTACCTCGACGACGATGGTGTCGAAGTTTTGGACTTCCTCCAGATGATCAAGAATGATTTGACACTCGACTATCTCAAGATGGCACGAGTGAGCAGTAGTGAAGATAGATCGAGATTGATTGGTGGCCATGACGATACGTGGACCAGTAGAGAGGAGATCCAAGAGGGATTGCAGATGTACGTTCAGAGAGAAGAGAACGATGAGCATTCTGTCGATGAGGAATGGAATGATGATGACGATGGCGAGTGGATCTCCGTACATCATTCTGAAAATGAAGAGGAAGAAGAAGAAGTCTGGCCTGGTACCTCACAAAATGACGGAGTAACAACAGAACAGCCGGATGCAGTAGAGGAAGAAGGCGGTGAAGCATAAACCCTCATAGAGACGGAAAGTACTGCAGCATATTCAGGAATATATGTCAGCTAGCTTGGATTTGGCATTGTAGAAATGCTAGGTTAGAGATACAGAAACTACGGAGTCTGAGGTACACCTCCATCACCCATCAGATTACCTGTCAAGCCCTTCATTCTCCTTCCAAGAAGATCATCCTCACTGGCCAAGCTGACCAGACTCTTCATCCTTTCATTCCGCGGCCGCTCGTTTCTGGCTCCTCTGACAGCTCTACCACCACCTCTGGGACTTCCCTTTTTCTTAGGACTTGTGCGAACACCACCGTTCAATGTACTCATCTCAAGTGGTCTATCCTCATCGCCAGAAGATTCAGTAGGCACGCGGCGATGGTGTCTGACGCCATTGCTCTTCTTCAAGCCCGATCCAGCTTCGTTGCCAAAGTAGTCAGTCTCTTCCCCGTCCAACTCAGCACGCATATCAGCTTCACGGAAAAGATCAGCCATCCAACGTGAGCATCGCGAAATATATTTCCAGCCTGCTGGGAATATACCCGCGAATTGCAGGAAGCCGTGAGAAATGCCAGGGATCAAGACTACATTGACATGATCTGTATCGACGAACACATCTCGTTCGCGTACGAGACCTAGCTCTTTGCGGCTGTTCCAGTGGGCTAATTTGGCTTGTCTTAAGCGGCCTGCGAAAATGACGGTATCGTCGACGAGAGGGTCACGCTCGCCAGTCATCATATACGTCTTTGGGAAACGGGTGAGAAGCGGTTCGGGTGCGAGTAGTGGTGAGAGAAGATAGTCGGTTGAGAAGTCTGGCCGTGAGTGCGGACCAATATACAAGATGATCATAGCTCGCATCATTTCGGGCGTTAAGACGCGGTCGTTGAAGTAAGATATCATAGAAGACATGGCAAGCCGAGTGCGTAGCATCTGAGGAGCAGGTGCAGTGGAAGCAGCATCAACGGTGTGAGCGGCACTGGTGTGAGCCTCTGTGGGAGAAGCGACGATAGGCTTGTCAGTCAACTGCTGAACCGCAGTATTCGTGCGCTTCGTCTTTGGCGGACTGACATCTTCGTCTTCATCCTCAGACCCGTGTGGAGTATTTGGTGTTAGCTTTCTGTAGTCATCACTCTTTCTGCTAAGAACACCTCTGTTGGTCTTTCGCATTTTGCGGTCTTTGATCAAAGACATTTGTTCATCTGTCATCCAGTTGCCAATATTCATGTCCAGAGCTGGATAGATGAGGACAGCGCCCTCAGGTACAGGAAGAGATGTTTCGCCTTGCCATCTGCGGGTTGCAGTGCTGCCAGACTGCAGAATCATGAGAATTAGACCTACGGCAAGATTGCCGCCTGCGCTGTCTCCACTGACGACAATCTTGGGCATGGTCTCTCCTGAAAGACCTATACATTGTCCTTTGGTCGCAACCAGGGTATGATAGGTGTCGTAACACTCATTCAGAGCATAAGGATAAGGATATTCGGGAGCTTTCTTGTAATCCAGTGCTAGCACAGGCAAGCCTGTTCTTGCACCCCAAGCAAGCAATTTGTCGTCGTGTGCTCTGGGATCCATTGCAACAAACCCGCCGCCTGGGATATCGAGCACAATCTTGTCGTGATTCTTGAGATCACTGATAGGACCGTCAAAGTAGAGCCATGCTTGGACGGGCTCGGCATAACTGCTTTGTCTGGGTCTGGGTATGCGGATAGCGCGTGGTGGATAGCGCATCAGTTTAGGACGCATCAACTTGCCGAAGAAGTTGATATATGGTGTGTTTGGCTTGTTCCAGCTGACTCTCAGATGTTCCAATGTCAAGCCAGCTCTTACTCTTCGCACCTTTTCATCTGCTTGCTCGGCACAGATGAGATAGTAGACCGAGAAGACGAGACTGGCCAGGTCTTTCAACCATACAGGCCGTAGATTCATGGCCGTCCAGAAGCCTGCGTCCAATGCTGTTGTGATCCATGTCGCTCGGAAGTATGATCTTGTGTAGAGGTTTGCAAGCGGTTCTGGGCACTCGAGGCCTACGAGCTTGCTGAAGTTTCGCGTGATGTATAGATATATCAGAGTCAAGACAACAGTATGCCAGGCTGTCAAACGTGTGGACAGGAGTCTCGAGATGCGACGAAGGTATGGGGGACCATGTGGGTTGCCCCTGCAATGGACTACGTCAGCAATGAAGTCGTGTAAGCTGCATACCAAACACATACTTGTAGAGATAATAGGACCAGAAGGAAACGACAGCAAAGACTTGGTACTTGCGGAATCTGACCGATGGCCTGCCCAAGACATGATCTGTACATCAATACTTAGCTACCCCATGTACATCAGAGAGCACTTGCGACAGAGATGGCATACCTATCATGATGCGCAATGTTCACCAGACATGCAAAGAAAGAAAACAGTACAGAAAGGCCACCAAACGAAACGCTCAATATGAAGTGGGATCTAGCATCAGCAAGGAGGGAAAGACGGTTGTTGGTTCAAACAAAGGGAGGAAAACAAGGTTAGAATCAAGTCTTCATAATAATTGCAAGAAAGAGGAGTTTACACAGGGGTGACGGAAGACGATATAGGTCGACCTGAACTTTGCACGTGAAAGAGCAGTCATGCTTGCGCCTTGTGCTGAGAGTCTTCGATATTTGCCATGTCATGAGGTCTAACGTCTTGATTTGACATGTGATAGTGACGCCCGTCCTGGCATTCCCGAAATGCCGAAGACCTGTTCGTTGCGGAATGTGGGGATCCTTTGTTCTTTCACCCCGCCGAACCCCTTATTGTGATATTCGTGCATTGATAGCGAGCACATGACCGCACTGTAAGGTATGTAACATTGTGTCTTCATGGAAGTTTTGTACTTGTCGTGCGATCGATGCAGGGACTGCAAGGCTTCGGCCTTGGTCCAAGCCACACATCTTGTCCTCGTGTCGGCACATGTGTTAGTTGATCGGCGCAGCGAGCTACGATAAAGATGAGATTTTGCAGCCGATAATCACATGTGATGTACTTCGAGCCCTTGGGGTTGCTCCTGGTATCTCGTCCTGAGAGAAGCTCAGCACGATCCACTATAGATCAACCACCGATCGGCAGATATCACGGTGAAACGGTGATTGAATACTGTTGTCGTCAAACGAACAAGGCCAGCGAACTACTGCAATCTAGGCGTACTGCAAAGCAATACTTGGATAGAAGAAGAGATTGAGAAATTCGTTTATGATACACGTATCCAAGCCTCCGGCGCCTGAGCATTCATTTGACCAGCATAACGCAAAAGAACATCCAAAGTAAAAAGATGGGTGAAACTAGAGCCGAGAGAGGACGCTTGGGGTACAATAATGAAACACCGTAACCTTTTTAGTTCTTGGGAGGGTACTTCTTGAAGAGGAATCTGAGAGGCATAAGTCAGCACGTGTTACTGCTTCTTGGTTCCCTTTGCGGGACCAGTTTTCTTATATGGCGATGCTTGGAGGAGAAAAGGTCCTCGTGATGCTGCAATAACGCCATGGATAGGATATGGGGGTTGCACTCACTTGCTGGCGTAGTAGTCACCAAGGGCGAAGACACCAACGATACCTGCCCAAGCTCCTGCGACCTTCCAGGTGAGCTCGCCGGCAGTGTACTTTCTGTAGGCACCGAAACCAAGGAGACCACCAAGAGCGACAACAGCAATGGTGTTACCAAGGATGACAGGGTTATCGCTGTTGGCCTTGGCCTTCTCAGCGGCCTTTTGTGCCTTCTGCTTAGCCTTCTCCTTGAGTTCCTCGGCCTCCTTGGCCTTCTCACGAGCTTCAGCCTCAAGACGTTCACGCTCAGCCTGGGTCTCGGTCTGGACTTCTTGCGATTGGAAATCGGAGGGAACAGATGAAATGTGAGGGCTGTCAACGTCGATGAGCTGGTGAACTTCGTCGTCGGTGTGCTGGATCTCGGGAACAGCGTGTGCGCGCCTTGATGGTTGTTAGCATTGGCTTGCTGTCGGCACGTGGGCGACCAGAACTCACTTCTGTGAACAAGTCAGTGGGAGGTCGACAGGAACAGATCAAGTAGCAACAACATACCTCCTCGTCGGACTGCTGGGGCCCACTGGCGGCGACAGATGCGTAAGACATGGTAGCGGGGGGTGCGGGTGCAGGTGCGGGCTCTTCGGTAGCGATGTCGGGCTCTTGAGAAGGGCTGGGTTCTTGTGCGGTCACCGACTCTTGGGTAGTGGCAGCAGGAGTGGGTTCGGGTTCTGAGACGGGGATGGGAGCAGTGGTGGTGTTGACTTGGGGTTCTGGAGTGGAAGCAACAGGAGCAGGAGTGGGTTCTGGTGTAGAAGCAACGGGATCAGGAACAGGAGCTGCGGATGCAGATGCGTCACTGTTTGGTCGCTGGAGAAACTCGAGGCTCATCGTGATTGGTTTTTGCTAATCCCACCTAAAGATGACATGTGATGGACCGAATGGTGATACGCAACTTCTTCTTACAGCAGAGGCTTGAGCCTTGGCACAGTTACGTCAAGTCTCGTGGCCCGCGCGTTCTGCGGCTCAAAGTTGCACTCAATCAATAGACGTTGGATATCAGATAGATTTAGCCGTCTATTACATGTCTAGAGGAGTAGTGATGCACTCGCTTTTCTAGGCTTCTGGCTGTGCCTTGTTTTTGGTAGAGTTATAAGCCCCAATGCGTAATGTACAAGTTATATCTTTGCGAAATCGGCTTATTTGTCGCCCTTGCTTTGCTGGCCAGTAGCGTCGTGTGCGGCCTTGGGGACGAGGCTGTCAGACTCGCTCATGATATCGTGATCACGCTTGACCTGCTCGGTTGCAGCGTTGGAACGATCTCTCTTTCCTTGGACAGCTTCGGGGTGGTCAGCTCCTCTGTGAGCGACCTTCTCGGCGTCAGGGTTGGCCTCAGGCTGAGTGGGCTGGCTAGATTGAACAGCAGCAGCAGCATCATCCTGCTCTCTTGCCTCGGCCTCGACGTCGTCCTCGAGCTCTGCGCCGTACACGTCAGGGTGCTCGCGGAAGCAGTTCTGCATGTTCCTACATATCCATGTTAGCCTCAATTGCTGCAATTCACCGATGCATCGACATACTTGAACTTGTCAATGCAGTCCATGCCCTTGGGCTCCTCCTTTGAGTAGACGAAGCAGCTGAAAGCCTCTCTGAACTGCTCGCCGCAAGGTCCGTAAGCCATACCACCAAGGCATGGACAGTCCCAGTTGATCTCGCCAGTCTCCTCATTGAAAGCACCCTGTTGGCCAGCCTCCTCTTCCAGATCCTGAGGCGATCCAGCAAGAGCACCATCTTCAGGCTCTGGTACAGGAGCATTTGTGGTAGCCTCGCGGACAGTGTGTACGACGTCGGTTGTAGCGGCGGCAACCTTCTTTGCATCGGCCTCTGCGTCGGCCTTGACTTGGGCCTGGAGGGCGTGACGTTTCGCTGTTACTGCATCGAGAGTGGGAAGCGTCTCTGACTCGATTTGTGTCTCCGGTGGCGCGTGTCTGACAACTGGATGGTGTTAGTCGCAATGCTTGCGCAACTCAGACCAAGATGCGCTTACAGGATTGCTCCTCGGCAAAGACATTGCTGGTGTTGTAGTAGTAGACCAGAGCACCGGCCAAAGTCCATCTCACGGCCGAGTTCTTCCAGCTTCGTGACTTCTCATGCGGAGGTGCGGTACTAAGAAATCTCCGCGACGGAGCGCTGCTGCGCGAGGCCTGCGCGGCGGCGCGTCTGACTACCGGGCGAAACATTGCAGCTGTGTTGGGACCAGAAAAGACCGTGGACAGAGAGAATTGGAACAGCTGGGCGTGGTGGCTATCGCAGCGAAGATGATGGAAACATCACCAACCAAAGCCCATCGGCCGCTGTCGCCGGATGTTCGTGCGCAACCTTGTGGCTAGTGTGCTGTGCTCCAGCCACAAAAGCAGGTTATCAATGATTCTGGTTACCATCGCACAATCCTACTTGTGTCGTGCGACCTCACGAGTCACGAGTTTTCTTCTCGAACAACAACGACATGGGAGATACACATCCGGATGCGCATCCTGCCGACTTTATCAAGGATGGCAACGAGTTGACCCATCTTGACAAAGATCAATCCAAACCGGCTCTGATCATATTGAACCAGCCTATAGCAGACACAAAGGTGCTAGGTCGCTTATGGAACCACACCAGCTATCGGCTATGTGCTGATGGCGGTGCTAATCAACTCTACGATCTTTTTAATCAAAATGATCCGTCGCAGCTCGACCGATATGTAAGAGGACTCGCGGCTTTTTTCTGGCTTCTCTAGCACCATCTGATTTGTGATGAACGTACCAGTTACCAAATATCATCCATGGTGACCTCGATTCTCTCCGCGAAGATGTCAAGAGCTATTACAAGGAACACAACGTGGAAGTCACTGAAGATCCAGATCAGTACAGCACAGATTTTGGAAAGGCCATCAAACAAGTGTTGAGGGAGCAACCCTGGCAAAGAAACTTCCTTGTCCTGGGAACCATCGCAGGACGACTTGATCAGGGCATTGGCCTGTTATCGGAGATCTACCGCGAGCAGCACTCGAAACAACATGCAAACATTCGGTTCTGGCTGTTCTCGGAATCAAGTATATCCTTCACTCTCTCACCTGGCACAACAACTATCCACACACCTTTGGGCGAGAGGGTCATCACACCAAACATTGGCATTCTACCAATATTTGGCCCGGCGCATATCTCGACAAATGGACTAGAGTGGGATGTCACAGACTGGCATACGCAGATGGGTGGCCAAGTCAGCACCAGTAATCACATTGTTGAAGATCAGATTACTATCTCGACTGATGCCGAAGTGCTCTTCACAGTCGAACGCAGAAAAAGTGTAGCAGGGTAGCCATGCCGTTGACCAAATAGAAAAGAACATCATCAATATATGATAACACGAGCGACACAAGCGAGCTGTTGGTGTTCTTTGTTGGAGCCAAGTACTCAATTGACAGGACAAGTGAAAGTGACATGCAAGGCATCTTTCACACGTCGTGGCAGCCATGATGTCGGAAACACAACTCCAAAGACAACCCACACATGATGCATTTGAAAACACATGACGAACACTGTTCACCATGAATGGCTTGGTGGCTTGGTGGATATGAGCGAGACGTGACGAAGTGCAGATTACTGGCGGGGCTCGAGCGCAATGAGGGAAAGCACTGACCCAGTGACCAGGATGATTTTCGGATGGCCAAGGAGGCCTCTTGTTGCGACCAACAGGCGAAAAAGGACTGTCCGACAAGATTGACAATAGACTGCATCAATTAGCGGTTGGTATTGTCGCAATTGTATGAATAGCAGGCCATCAAAGCGTTGCGCCGAACTGCTGCGCTGATCCGCCACTTTTGCGGCTTTCCTGGTTGCTTGCTTCTGCATCCTCTCCACACTGGAATCTTGTCAGTTACACGATCGACTTTTTTCCTCTTTCCACTGATCAGGTATGCTCGAGGCCACCATGTGTTAACGCTCTGCCGCGCCTGCTAACTCGTCGCTCCCGAAGTGAATTCTCCTCTGCTGTCTGTCCTGGTAGTGTCGTCAGCTTCCACACTCAGACATCATGTCCTGGAGTCCACAGCCTGAGCCTCTGGGCCAGCTGGCGCAGTTTCTCAAAGAGTCGCTGAACCCTCGCGACAAGACTGCGCAAAAGAACGCTGAGCTGGTGAGCTGCTGCTCCCTCGATACGCCCTCTAGCAGAGCTGACCATCTTCGTACAGGCACTCAGAAATGCTGGCTCCAACCCTGACATCAACAACTACCTCGCCTACCTATGTATCAGTCCCGAGAGCCCCGCCGCTTTGTCCAACGATGACTACTTTGTAGCAAGGAGCGCCGCTGCTGTCATGCTCAAGAATAACGTCAAGGCATCCTACAAAACCATGGCTGAATCCAACAAGGACTATCTCCGCTCAACCATCCTCCAAGGCCTCCAAGACCAGGACAAGCGCATCAGAAGCTATGCCGGCAACGTCGTTACCGAAATTGTGCGCCAAGGTGGCATCCTGGGATGGCCTCAGGTTCTCTCTGAATTGATCTCGTTGATCGAGAACCGCAATGGCAACATCGCATCCCACATCCAAGACGGAGCCATGAGCGCGTTGCTCAAGATTTGCGAAGACCACAAGAAGGCTCTCAACCGAGTCTACGACGGACAACGCCCTCTGGATTTCCTGATACCCAAGCTTATTGAATTCACCACGAGCCCGACGCCACAAGTTCGTTCAAAAGCGCTAGGCACGCTGAACTTCTTCATCGACGACCCAATGTCGCAGGCCATGCAAGATAATGTCGAAAAGTTCCTTGTCCAGCTCTTTACCTTGGCACAGAACGATCAAGATGAGGAAGTTCGAAGATTCATCTGCCGTTCCTTCTCAAAGTTGGCCACCAACACTCCTACGCTGGTCTTGCCGCATCTCAGTGGTATCATCGATTACATCCTGGTTCAGCAAAAGAGCGACCCCGAATCCGATCTGGCCCTGGATGCCGCCGAATTCTTCTTCGAAAACTGTGAGGTTGAGGAACTTCAAGACGGATTCAACCAGCACCTCGAGAAAATCGTACCCGTGCTTTTGGAGAGCATGATCTACAGCCAGGACGATCAAGCAAAATTGGAAGCCGAAGCAGAGGAAGATGCGGAGAAAGAGGACAAGGAAGAAGATATCAAGCCCCAATTCGCCAGTGCAAAGGAAAAGGGAATTGCTGTGAACCCTGAAGATTTCGCGAATGGCAACGGCTACGCTTACGATGACGACGAGCTCAGTGACGGCGAGCTTGAGGATGACGACTATGGTGAGGATCCTGAAGAGATGTGGAATCTCAGAAAATGCTCTGCTGCTGCCCTGGACACATTCGCCACGCGCTTCCATGAGCGTGTCTTCGAGTTCACCTTGCCATACCTGAAGGACAACCTCAACCACGCAGAATGGCCGAACAGAGAAGCCGCTGTGCTCGCTCTGGGCGCTATTTCCGTTGGCTGTATGGAAACTGTGCAGCCAAGTCTCCCGGACCTGGTTCCTTTCTTAATCTCGCTGCTCACAGATTCGCAACCTGTTGTAAGACAGATTACTTGCTGGGCACTCGGCCGCTATTCTTCCTGGGCTTCTCATTTGGACGAGGCTGGTAAGCGCCAGTTCTTTGAGCCTATGATGGAGGGCATTCTGTTCCGCATGTTAGACAACAACAAGCGTGTACAAGAGGCTGCTGCTTCTGCCTTCGCGAACCTTGAAGACCAAGCCACTCGTGAAATCACACCCTACTGTGTCATTATAGCGCAGCAATTCGTCAAGTGCTTTGGCAAGTACAAGGATAAGAACATGTACATTCTGTACGACTGTGTTCAGACTTTGGCGGAGCATGTAGGTCCCGACATGGCACAGCCAGCTATTGTTGACCTTCTTATGCCTGCTCTTATTCAACGTTGGACTACAGTTTCCGACAAATCGCGAGAGATGTTCCCTCTATTAGAGTGTCTGGCATACATTGCTACTGCTCTCGGGGAGGCTTTTGCGCCTTACGCCAAACCGTTCTTCTCACGTTGTATCAAGATCATTCAGGATAACCTGGAGGAGAGCAACCTTGCAGCTTCACAAGCATATATGGACACACCCGACAAGGACTTCCTTGTCACCAGCTTGGATCTGCTCAGTGCTATCATCCAGGCACTCGACGAGGCTAGAGCTAGCGAGCTCATCGCAACCGCCAACCCGAACTTCTTCGAACTACTGGCTTACTGCATGAGGGACAGCAACAACGACGTCAAACAATCCGCATATGCTTTACTCGGTGACTGTGCCATATATGTCTTTGCCCAAATGCAGCCATATCTCGACTCTATCATGCAAATCCTTAGCATGCAGCTCGACTTGGCTGAGGCGCTGCGTGACACCGACCCAATGCTCAAGGAGACTGCTTTCAGAGTGATTAACAATGCCTGCTGGTCTGTTGGAGAAATTGCAATGCGCCATCAAGCTGGCATGGACCCCTATGTTGAAGATTTGTTGCAGAAACTCGGCATGATCCTCTTCAGTCAGCAGGTTCCTGAATCTTTGAACCAGAACGCGGCAATCGCACTGGGCCGCTTGGGTCTGGGTAACGACCAGAAGCTTGCGCCCCATCTTGCACAGTTCGCCCCAGCTTTCTTGACTGTTATGCAATCTGTCGAGTGGACCGACGAGAAATTGGACGCTTTCAGAGGTTTCGTCCAGATCGTATTGGACAACCCGCAGGCACTCGAGCAATGTTTACTCGCTTTCTTCTCAGCGATCGCGAGTGTGCCGGCCGATTCGCGAAAGGTTCCAGTATCTCAAACTGAGAGACCCTTTGAAGGATTCCACAAGGTACGTGTTGTATTGGCGAAACAGCAACATCCGTGACTAACAACTTTCAGGCTCTTCAGGCATACAAGAACATGATTCCAGACTTTGATGGTTTCATCAGCCATCTGCCTCAGGATCAGCAGTACGAGCTCAGACAAAACTACAGCCTGTAAATGACAACGAATATTCTTGAACGGAGTCGTACGCACATAACTCGACCGATGTCTTTCTTTTTTTATTTCTCACTCAATGGCGAAACCAACACTGGGAACAATGTCGTATACATGCCTATCGCAATGCATGGATGACGGCGGTATGATACGAAAGCACGCACGAAAAAAGTGGTTTCTGTTTTTATGATTTTTGAGCGTACTTAGCGTAGCGTAGCATCTGCACGGGTTAGCCGGCAGCCTTTTCTCTCTTTCTCTCTTGCTTTCTCTTCCCCATCGTTCTTTGCTCTTTCTTTTTTGAACACAGCATGAATGGTCGATGGCGTTTAGTGAGTCCTCTTTGGTTGAAGATGGACGATGCTTTGAGAGACAAGATTTTGTTGACCTTCTTTTCACTTCTAGATAGGTATATAGATAGGCCCTTTTCATCAGACAATTGTATCATCCCCGCATTGGCCCCTGTATATCCTTACGATCTTACGATGACGGGCAATGTACAAGAGCTATGTATGCCAGGTCTTGGACGAGAACCCCAGCCGTTACAACGAAGTCGATAAGGCGATAGCTACTATGGCTGCCCATGCAATGCGACAGATGAGCTACCGACTGGTCGAAACCGCATTGCAGTGCCGATCTCCTTGTTCAGAGGCACGATTGAGAAAGCAGAATAGCCCATGAACTCGATTCAAGTGGAAAATGTTCAAAAACAGTCTCTCATATATCATTACGTGCTGTGCTAAGTAACCAACCGCTTTGGTAACGGCTTGGGCGATATATAGGTTGTATGGACAATACTTTGAGAGATAGGCAACGTGGTTTGGAAGCAATCATCTTACCAGTTCTTTTCAGCTGCATGCTTGGTTTGAAGAGGAATCTCTGTTTTTGAAGACCACCGCGGTTGCGGGTGACAGATCCAGCACACGGGAAGGCTTAGATGGACTTAAGATCGAGGCGAAGCTATACCTTGGCTTGACTCAGACTGATGGAGCAACATCGGAAGTCAGGCGACCGGTGGTTACGAAGATTATTGTGAGAGAAGACCTCGTACATAGAAGATCCAACTCGTTCATGGATACGAAGAGTCGCTCACGATGGCAGAGTGCGGTAGCGAGTTACAAATAAGGGGTGTGAAAGGGGGACAAGGTTTACAGTGTACACGCACGTCTGTAGGCCGCACGGAGTCTAGATGCAGAGTTGGAGTAGGATGGCGCCAAGCGAGAGCGACGACATGATGCGCATGCCCGACCTTGGAAACGAATCAACTTCTTGACTCTACATCGAACATCAGCCTGACATCGACAAGGCGTACTGGACTTTTATTTGCAAATTTTGGTATCCGGCATACCACCATATTTTGTTGCTCTCGTGCAGCCACGACGACCTGGGGCTTTAACCGTTTCCCCCGCCGTCGCCTCTCCCGCGCCTCGACACGATCGAACCCGCACCAGTAGCACCAAGCCTTCCACTCCTTGCACAAACAATCAACCAGGCCCATCGCCCAGCGCGAGTGCGGCGATAGTCACAATCCATCATGGCACTCACTCCGCCTCTTCCGCGAACAATGTCGACCTCGTACATACAGCCCGCCTCGACGCCCGCCATCATCGTCAACGGCAAACCATGGACGGTTGGCTCTCACTATGGCCCCATCTCCTGGAAATCAGAAAACATACATGTAAAATCCATGGGTCTGAGTTCGACGGGCAAAGGCATCCTGATTGGCATGCTCTCTGCCTTTGGCTCGGCCGCCTTTGTCGCTATCATCCTGGCTTTCATCTACTTCTTCCGATACACTAATCGTGGTCGTATCTTCCTCGACAGCATTGGCAGACCTGGAGAGTATGATGATGAGCAAGCTTTCTTGCGTGAGGAGGAGGATGCTTTGGAGACCATGGACGACCTGCAGCGTGCCGAGTATCTGCGCGCTAAGGGTAAGTGAAGCACATGCCTATCGTCCTACAAAGAACCGTTGCTGACTTTGTGTCTCGAAGCCTTCGTCACAGCTAATCCTCCTGAGTCGATCCAAACCGACATTTCCTTGTCGCAGTTCCTTGCAATTCAAGAGAAGGGTGTACAAGCTTGGGAGTTTGAGCCGGAACTGGAAATCGCAAACTGCTTTGTCGAAGGTCGCACTGAGATCGAGTTCTTCGATGCTGAGTGCAGTGTCCAGAGCAACCTGCCTGTGCCCAAACAGAACGAGGTTTACTACTGGGAAGCGAAGGTCTTCGACAAACCTGAAAACACCCTGATCAGCATCGGCATGACCACAAAACCATACCCTCTGTTCCGACTTCCTGGTATGTTGCAACTCTTGATTCTGCTTGGCTCCCATGACTAACTCGTACAGGTATGCACAAGCACTCCGTAGCTTATACCTCGTCAGGCCAACGCAGATACAACCAGCCTTTCTCTGGCACAAATTATGCACCATCATACGAGCAGGGAGATGTCGTTGGAGTAGGCTACAGACCTCGCACCGGAACCGTCTTTTTCACCCGCAACGGAAAGAAACTAGAGGATGTTTCTCATGGCCTTAAATCACAGAATCTGTTCCCCACCGTCGGAGCCACCGGCCCTTGCAACATTCAAGTCAACTTTGGCCAGATGGGCTTTGTCTTTATTGAAGCCAATGTCAAGAAGTGGGGTCTCGCTCCCATGACTGGCAGCCTTGCACCGCCACCACCATATGGAAGCGAACAAGGTAGCATTTTCCTCGAAGGTGGCAGGGAAGGTGTTCGTGAAGGCCAGGCATTTATTCATGGTCGCACACATAGCGCTTCCGTCCGTCTAGGAAGGCAAGCAACCAGTCCCGGCCCTCGACGATCACCCACCGAGATTTCTCTGGCTCAACTCAGCCTGAATGAATCACGGGAAGACATAGGTGAAGGCACGAGCTACACGGCAGCTGGTCACGTGGCCGAGGATGCTGATACGATGCCACCGCAATCGGACGCTCCACCACCGGAATACGAAAGCCCAGATGAGGAGAACCAGTTCTCAACACCACGGCCGAGCATGCACTCTGAGCAATCACGCCTACTACCCCAAGATCCACCAATTCCTTCTTACGAAGCAGCGGTTGGGGAGCGGACAAGTGAGTCTCATGACGTTGACAACTAGTCTATCAACCACGACCCATCTTTACATCATATTTCTTTTCTGGAGTCTTAGCGATCTTTTCATTGGGTGGAAGGTGTCTTTATGGATTGTGTATTTTCCCCTCCGAACAGGCAGGGCTGGCAGGGCAAACAAGGGTTTCATGGTTTGGGCAGGATCAAAGGAAATTTGGGGTGGGTTTGAGTGTTATATTCTTTCGTAAATTCACAATACCTTGTCGACTTCTCATCTCTCCTCTCTTTCTGAGCGCCACAAGAGCTTGTGACATGCTTGACAAGTTGAGCCTCACCCCAGACGATAACGATAACGAATTGTGACGTATGCCTTCTTTCATCAAACGCCTTCGACCATTTGGTGGCATCTGAGAACAACACAAGGCAAAACATACAATCGTTTACCACATGAAACCGACTCTGCAAAAGCTTTCACAAGCAATCATGGCCACTTCAAGCATTCTCACTCCTCTCAAAGAGCTCAAAGTCGCCAAACATCAGATCCCAGCACATGGCTTGACACCAAACACATCCATCCAGAACAAACCTCTGCTGCTATATAGAAATGCATTCAAGATGAGCACTAGTGCAAGTCAAATCGAAGAACATCTAAGCAAGGTCGGTGTAGTAGACCCAGCATGGAGGTATACTGTGAGTTATCTCTTCAAACAACCCACTGTAAAAAGGCATGATTTTCTAATGGCACTAGATGTATTCGACGTCACACTTCCACAGCACTTCACACGAAGTGCTCGCCATCAGCCATGGAGAAGCCAAACTCTGCTTCGGGCATGAAGACAACCCAAGCCGGGTGGAAGAAACCTTGAAGCAAGGAGATGTAGTCGTCGTGCCTGCAGGTGTAGCTCACAGATTGCTAGAAGACCTCAAGGGAGGATTTGAGATGGTAGGATCATATCCTAGGGGATTAAGTTGGGATATGTGTTATGGGAAGAAAGGGGAGGAGAGCAAGATTAAAGGGATTGAGAAATTGGGATGGTTTGAGAGGGATCCGGTGTATGGAGAGGAAGGGCCTGCCACGGAGGTTTGAAGCTTGTGCTTGGAGGGACTCATTGCCATGTTGGAGCAGCGTGAAAGATACAAGTCTTTGATTGTATTCTTCTCCTCTACACAGGCCGGCCCTGTGTCCGCGCGATATCTGTACAGAACTTCCGGGATTGGACCCAATTCAATGTGAAGCTGCAAGAAGCACGATCTGACCGAGCAGAAAGGACATTCGCGAGAAGCTTCCATCTTATTTCACCAGAGCAACTTCTGCCTTAAAAACAATAAAGTGAAACGCCGTCTTGGCCGTCCTGAGGCAGCCGCGGTTTGGCAGCCACGGTTTCCCCAGAATTCGGGAATCGCCGTCAAGGGTAGGCAGTTGCCTCAGCGCGAAGTATGACATACTGAACAATCGAGAGTGAGCTCCTACAATTCCGCGTTCACTTCTACCCCTCTATCACATATCGCCCTTTGACAATACTTTCGGATTCGGTATTGTGTGTCCGTCATCTGGGTATCGAACTCCAACCCCCCAACTCATTTCTTCGCCACTTTCTCAAAGCACAGTCTTGCTCGGCGACGCGCATATTCACAACCGCCCGCGTGCTCAAACCCCTCATACCGCAATCATGGCGAAGAATGCCACCGCTATGCCCCAGCTGCCCGGCAAGGACGACATCCAAGGAACATGGGACTTCCTCGCTATAGGTGTCGAGAAGATTATGAATCACCTGCGTGATGGCATCGACCTCAAGACATACATGAGTCTGTACACTGCCATCCACAACTTCTGCACAGCTCAAAAGGCTGTCGGTCAGACCACAAATCTCAATGCCACGCATCGTGGAGGTCAGTCCGATCATTTGCCTGCCCATCCACATGTTCCAGAAGGCTAACCCACGCTCGCAGCACACCTCCTTGGAGAAGATCTCTACAAGCGCCTAAATGACTATCTCAAATCCCACCTGGCTAGTGTCCACGCCGAGATGATCAAGCACTCGGACGAGGCTCTTCTGTCCTTCTATATCAGAGAATGGAACCGCTACACCACCGCCGGCACCTACAACAACCACCTTTTCCGTTACCTTAACAGGCATTGGGTCAAGCGCGAGATTGACGAGGGCAAGAAGGACATTTATGACATCTACACTTTGCACCTCGTCCGATGGAAGGAGGACATGTTCGGCACCACCCAGAACGCTGTCATGGATGCCGTCCTGCATTTGGTCGAGAAGCAGCGTAACGGCGAGACTATCGAGCAGAGCCAGATCAAGAGCGTTGTCGACTCGTTCGTGTCGTTAGGCATCGACGAGCAGGACAGCACGAAGTCTACTCTCGATGTCTACCGCGTCTACTTTGAAAAGCCATACCTCGAGGCTACCGAGAAGTACTACGCCCAAGAGTCTCGCCAGTTCCTCGCCGAGAACACCGTCGTTGAATACATGAAGAAGGCCGAACAGCGTCTTGAAGAAGAGAAGGAGCGTGTACCTCTGTACCTTCTCAACGAGATCATGACTCCGTTGATGAAGACTTGCGAGAGGGCTTTGATTACTGATCACTGTGCCATTCTGCGCGACGAATTCCAGGTCCTTCTCGACAATGATAGAGTCGAAGACATGACTCGCATGTACAAGCTATTGGCCCGTATCCCGGACGGACTTGATCCTCTGCGTAGCAAGTTCGAGGCTCACGTTCTCAGAGCCGGTAACGCTGCCGTTGACAAGGTTGCCTCTGCTGCCGAGAGTTCTGTCGACCCCAAGACTTACGTGGACGCCCTGCTTGAGGTTCACACAAAATACTCGGACCTCGTACAGACCGCTTTCAACGGCGAGTCTGAGTTCGTTCGTAGCCTCGACAATGCTTGCCGCAACTATGTCAACCGCAACGCCATCTGTAAAAACGGATCAACTCGCTCTCCCGAGCTTTTGTCCAAGCATGCCGACACACTGCTGAAGAAGTCGACCAAGAGCACCGAAGAAGATGACATGGAGCAACAACTCAACCAGGTCATGACCGTTTTCAAGTACATTGAGGATAAGGATGTCTTCAACAAGTTCTACTCCAAGACACTGGCCAAGCGTTTGGTTCAAGGCACATCTGCTTCCGGCGATGCTGAGACTAGCATGATCTCCAAGCTCAAAGACGCCAGTGGATTCGAGTACACCAACAAGCTCCAGCGTATGTTCCAGGACATGCAGACATCTAAGGATCTGAATGCATCATACGACGAATGGTGCAAGGGAAACCTTGAAGAGTCTGACCGCAAGGCCATCATCGACTCATACTACAATGTCCTCGGTACTGGTTTCTGGCCGCTGCAGCCTTCGAGCACTCCTTTCACACCCCCACAAGACATCGCGCGCACGTACGAGCGATTCCAAAGCTATTACCTTAGCAAACATGGTGGCCGTAAGCTTACTTGGCTCTGGCATCTTTGCAAGGGTGAGATCAGAGCGAACTACGTTAGGATGAACAAGGTCCCATACACCTTCCAAGTCTCGACATATCAGATGGCCATCTTGCTGCTCTTCAACGACAGCGAAACTGTCTCATACGACGAGATTGCCGAAGCCACGAAGCTGAACAAGGACACACTCGATCCCTCGATTGCTATTATGCTCAAGGCAAGAGTGCTCACAGCCAAACCCGAAGGCGCTGGTCAAGCAAGCGGTACCTCGTACACTCTCAACCACGGCTTTAAGAACAAGAAGCTCAAGGTCAACCTCAACATCGCCATCAAATCGGAACAGAAGCAGGAAGTCGAGGAGACGCACAAGACCATCGAGGAGGACAGAAAGATGCTTATGCAGGTAAGTCATTCTCTGAACAATGTCATTTCGAACGTGCAGTATGCTAACGTAATCGACAGTCTGCTATCGTTCGCATCATGAAGTCTCGCAAGACAATGAAGCACACACAGCTCGTGGCCGAGGTTATCTCGCAGATCAAGAACAGATTTGTGCCCAAGGTTCCAGACATCAAGAAGTGTATCGACATCCTTCTGGAGAAGGAGTATCTCGAGCGTCTGGAAGGCGATGAGCTTGGCTATCTGGCTTAGTGGTAGAGCATGGAGAGACACGAAACAATGGGAGCAGGCGTTTTGGGGTGCGAAAATGGGATGCCCTAGTAGAATTCGAGCATGGCGTTCTGGATGGCGTGGCTTTACAATCGTCGCAAGATACGACGGTCATTATTCTGGAGCTTTCACGTTCGTAGAAATGCAATTGCACTTGTATCTATCCTTCTCCTCACCGAACAGTACTGCACATGATTCCTTGAGCATGTTGACACTTGATATGATTCGGAGAAGTGTCGGATCTAATCTTATCTCCACACCTGGGCGGAAAGCGCAAACACTAATGACCGCCCCGCGACCAGCCAGCAATGATCATCACAAGAGCAATCCACGTTCTTGATCTCATTCAACACACACGGTAACCAGATGCTGGAACTCCACGGCACCGATATACCAGTTCCTACAGCTATTGCGCCCCATCGCTGAAGAACAGCAACGCGATGGAAAGACAGAGGAAGCGTACGCCGCACATCAAGCTCGGCAGCCAAGTATACATCACTGACCATGAATTGCAGGCGAGCTGCGCGACCTTAACCAGCGGGCATGGGCCGGTGAAACAAATGTCCTTCCTGTACAGGGCTCGCTCGACTCGTCCATGAAAAAGAACACCGCTTTCATCAAGCGTTTGAGAACCGCCATCAACGCTGCTGGCCAGGCCGTCTTCCTGCAGGAAATCTGCACTCTTTCCCTCCACAAATACCTGTCCGAGATCATCTCTGCCTGCTTCGAGGGCCTCACTAAACTCAAGACTCCTGGAGAAATCGCTGCCGGTGTTGAAATCGTCTCGGCCCTTCACCAACGTTTTGGTCCCGATGAGTTCACAAAGATGCTCGGCTGGTTCGTCGGCCGTGGTCTTGCCACTCCTGATAGAGCTCAGTTGAAGGCTTTGGCTCAGGATGTACGGGAGAGAGAAGAGAAGGAGCGAATCTCGAGACAGCGCATTCTTCTGCGTGTGGCTACCGAATTGTGGCTTGTCGGTGTCTTGCGTAGTCTGGAAGACATTGCTCGCCCTGAAGAAGCCAACAAGTTGAAAGAGTCAGGGAAGCCTGCGGAAACTCAGCCCAAGGCCAAAACTACACGATCCGATTCAGCAGACCCGGAACCTTTTCCTCTGGAAGTACTCAAGGATATGCTGGGCCACGATCGCGAGCATGTTAATCTACCTCTGGTTGTCATCTTCGTCAAGAGTTTTGCCTGGGATATCTTGGCTTCCAAGTCTGCACAGGATGGTCGCAAGACTGTTGCCGAGGATGGATCGACCGCCACGACTAATGCTACGGATGAAGTTGAGGGCGACGCAAATGGAACTCAAGACCCTCCGCTATGTGTCCCCGACATGCAGCAACGATTCAAGAACATTCTCAGCCGCTACTTCCAGGACGTCAAGGCACATATAATTCGTGATCAGAAACATCTCAGTGCCCAAGGACGACGCAATGCCGAAGCATATGTCAAATCTGGAGAAGTCTTCGAGGATCGCCAAACCAACTTTGAAAAATTGACAAAATCTCACGAAAAGTTGGTCTCAAATGCTCAGATCCTGGCAGATGCACTAGGTGAAGAGATGCCAGATCTTTCTGAGAAGGAGTCGAACAATGCTGGTGGTGATGGCGGTATTGGTCTGGTCAAGACTGGTGAATATCTGCGCGGCCAAGGCGAAGGCGCTGGCATCTGGGAGGATGAAGAAGAGCGACGCTTTTACGAGAATCTGATTGATCTCAAAGACAGAGTTCCTGGAATCTTGCTTGAGGATGGCAAGAAGAAGAAACCTGACGGCGACGATCAAGTTGGTAAGCGGGTTGATGAGGCATCTGAGGTCAAGGACAAGACCGAGGGTGCAGAGCCTAAAGCAGCAGAGGGTGACGACCAGTCGACTGCTATCGCCAACAAGACAGTTGGTGCTCAGGTCGACGCCTTGCTGGCCCAGCTTGTTGATTTGACCAACAAGGATCAAGTCGATCAGTTTGCTATTGACTTCTGCTTCTTGAACTCCAAGGCTTCTCGGAACCGCTTGGTAAGGGCTATTCAGGACATCCCCAAAGGCAGGACCGATCTGTTGCCTCTGTATTCGCGTCTTGTTGCTACTCTCGGAAAGCATCTGGTTGACGTTCCGCAAGCATTGATTGCCTATCTCGATGAAGAGTTTAGAAGTCTACAACGGCGCAAGTCGAAGGATTTCCTCGGACAAGTCCGTATGGTCAACATCAGATATATTGCCGAGCTCACCAAATTTGGTGTTGTCCCTGAGCATGTCATCTTCCACTGCCTAAAGGTCAGCCTGGACGATTTCTCACGTATGAACATCGAGATCATCTCAAATCTTCTCGAGAACTGTGGTCGCTACCTCCTCCGCAACCCAGACACCTCACCCAGAATGGCTTCTTTCTTGGAGACTTTGCAGCGCAAGAAGGGTGCTCAGCATCTGGGACAACAAGAGCGCATGCTTATCGAAAACGCTATGTACTACGTCAATCCACCTGAGCGAGCTGCCATCCAACAAAAAGAGCGTACTCCTCTGGAGCTGTACGTGCGCAAGCTCATCTACTTAGATCTGTCGAAGCGCTCCCTCGAGAAAGTCATTAAGCAAATTCGAAAGCTGCACTGGGAGGAGCCAGAGGTCCCAGAATTACTTCGCAAGATCTTCACTAAGCCTGGCAAGATCAAGTACAGCAATATTCATCTGCTGGCTGTCATTCTTGGAGCACTGCACCGCTACCACCAGAACTTCACTGTCTCTGTGCTGGACGACATACTCGAGCAAATAACAGTTGGACTTGAGACCAACGACTTCAAGCAGAACCAGAAGCGTATCGCCGAAGTCAAGTATCTTGGAGAGCTGTACGTCTACCGTATGGTTGATTCTGCACTCATCTTTGATACGCTCTACCACATCGTGAATTGCGGTCATCCAGGTGGTTTCGCTCGCCCTGGTTCCTACAACATGCTTGACTTGCCGGATGATTACTTCCGCATCAGACTTGTGGCTAGTCTTCTCGAGACCTGCGGCATGTACTTTGACAAGGGCGCCGTGAAGAAGAAGCTTGACTTCTTTTTGTCCTTCTTCCAGTACTATATACAAACCAAGGAGCCGATGCCCATGGATGTCGAGTTTGTCGTTCAAGACATGTTTGCCCTGCTGCGACCTCAGTGGAAGATTGCTACAACTTTCGAAGAAGCACAGCAAGTCTTCAGCGATGCTGTCAAACACAACTATCAGACGACCGGACCTAACAAGCAGCAAGAAGAACAGGAAGAAGAGGAAGAGGAAGATGGCCGTGGCATCGACGACGTCAACAACGACGATGGTGAAGACGACAAATCTTCAGGGGACGAAGCTGCAGAGCCTACCGATGACGAGGCCGCTGCCGAAACTCCAGAGGAAGACTCCGAAGAGGAAGAGGAGCACATTATCGTGACTCGCCCTGAGGACCAGCGTGATCCTGAGGCAGATGCCGAGTTCGATAGAGAGCTGGCCAAGATGATGGCAGACAGTGTTGAGTCACGCAAGTTTGACCGCAAACCTGTCTTTGACGTTCCCTTGCCAATGCGTAAGACTGCCACTGCCACGTCAACTCCTAACAGTGAACCAAGCCAGCCCGTTGAAGCTCCTTCAAACACGATGAAGTTTGCACTTCTCAGCAGGAAAGGCAACAAACCACAGGCAAGACTTTTGACCCATCTTTCTGTAGTTTCAAAGTGCTTGTATGCTGACTTTCATAGACTCGCTCTATTGACTTACCTTCAGACTCGAACTTTGCGGTTGCCATGCGCAGTCAGCAAGAGCAAGCTCGTGCAGAGCAGCAGCGCATCAAGAACTTGGTCCTGAACTATGATCTCCGCGACGAGGACCCTAACGATGGTGAATCATCCTTCCACTATGTTTTACAGCACAACACGAATCGCACGGTTCTCGTAGGCAAAGGTGCCTTGAACCATCCACTGCTACCTAGGGATTCCAACAATCCTGTGATTGCAAAAACGTCCAACACATTGAGATCAAGCAGCCATGGCAATATCAACACTGCTCATGGTCTAAGTCTTCATTCACCCTCTCCCCCTTCTGCGATCACATCCTCTTACGTTTGCACTCGCGACAACGAAAACACAAAGCCCAGGCTCTCCACATCAACCACAAGTGCTAACTCATCCTCTTCTACACCCACAGCTGCTCTAGATGCTCAATCTCCCTACAATCAACCTCGTATCGACAAATCGGGAACTTCACGTAACGTCACAAGAAGCAGAAAGCTGCAGCTCAGTGATGTTGACTGGTATGCCAAATCCTCCTCCTCCAACCCCCACACACCATCGCAGAAAGAGAAGCCAGAAACTCAATTGAGCTTGGAGTCATACATTGTCACAAGCAAGAGGCAGAAAAAGACTTCTGGAAAGAAGAACAAAGGCTCTGATGCTCTTGGCAATTCTTGAGCCAAAAGGAGACGGTGCAGCTTTGAAACAACAAATCACAAGTCACCAATACCAGAAACGACAGAAGACTGATGTAAGGCCCCCCGTTGGGCAATCGCAGGACTTGAAAAGCATATCGATACGTATTGATTACCGAACCGACAACCACCGACATATGAAGCTTCGTATGGCTTTGTCCCTGAACGGCCGACTCGAGTCGACAACACCGAGGCTGCTTAATCTCGAACTAACAGGGAAGTCGCTCACTATGCTTGGTCTTCTAGTAAAGGTAAAAGCTTTGCTTGTGGTCAGAATGACAGTGGCTTTGACCGAATGAGCCTGGCCCCAACACCAGAGATGCAGCGAAGGGAGAAGAATCCGAGGACACAGCAGAGGATTCGCGGCAACAAGGAATCTACGACGGGTTTGCTGAATGAGCCGAGACCTCTTTTCTTGCAGGAAGAAGGAGGAGGTGTCAAAAAGCCCCAACGTACTCTTCTTGTTTTCTTTTCTAACGCCGTCTGGCTCTTTCTTGCAAAGATGGGAAAAGACGAAACAAGTAGATATTCTCTTCAAAACATGCTCTTTCTTGTTGTGTCGGGCATACCGGTGGTGACGATGTTGTTTGCAATTTTGTGTATTGCGGCTCTGAACAGTTTGCTTGATTGACGCATACTAATGTGACATGGTAGGGCTGTTTATTGAGCTCTGACAAACATAGCTATGGCTGAAATAGGGCTGACTGAAGGAGCTATTGTGGTAACCACAGTTCATTCTTATCATAAGAGGACGTTCCAAACAATCGCACGATCAACAAGGGCACAAAGAATTTGGAGTTAAGGTTTGTGGTTAAGCAACGCAGGTCAGTACAGCTGAAGGAATAACGCCCGTTTTGCGCCCGGTTAGTGAGAACGCCGTTAAAATTCCCAGGTCAATCGACATCACCAGCAAACGCCTCCATGAAACATAAAGCATGAACCATAAGCCATGAACCATAAAAGTCATGTCACCTCTGCGAGCCTTCATCGACCAGGTCGTCAGTAAGAGCTTCTTCCGCCGAGATCTTTCGCTTCCGGGAGTGGCCTCGAATCTTCATAGCCTTCTTCAATACTGTTTTGCTGAGCGAGAGCACTGATTGAACGAATTGCAGTGTTGATGAAGCATCTGCCCAAGTGTGCAGAAAAGAAGATGTAGGTGCCACAGGACGATCTTGAAGCTAGTTCTTGGGAGTGGAAGTGGTGTAGCCAGCCTTGGGTTCCTTGTTGAAGATGTGCTCCATGGCAGCCCTCTTCTGATCGCTCAGCTTGAAGCTCTGCTTTCTGCCCGGGTAGAGAGCAGGAGGAGCATCGGGGCCACCGAAATCGCTGCGGATGGCAAGGCCGATAGCGTCGATGTGCTCTTGCTTGCCGGTGGCAGCAGCACGATCTCTCAGAGCCTGCTCGAACTCGTCGGTGAGACGACGCGAGGAATGGCCCTGCACGTCGTGAGCCTGCTTCCCGACGTCGGCGTGTGAGTGAGGAGGATGCATCTCAGGTGAGTGGTACACGGGTCCCATGTTGGGAGAGGTCGAGGAGCCGGTGGAGACAGGGCTACTGTCGCCAACTGAGGTACCGGGACGCTCGTTGATGAGATCTTGGTTGGCAGATGGGTGGGCAGACATTTTTGGATGATTTGTTGTGGTAACGATGATGGGATGTTCAGAAGAGCGAGTTGTTGCTGCCGCTGTCGACGCCAGGTTCAACAGAGGTACTGTATGAGGCGTGAGTCGACAGACGATTGTTGCAGACGGGCTGACAATGAACTTTGAAGAGAGATGAAGTTTTGCAGGAAGGGTGATGTCTCGTGGTTCTCGACAAAAGAGTGAGGCGAACGGAAGGTGTTTGCGTCGAGTACCCTCGTTCGTCGCTCGTTGAGGCAACGACATCTCGACGAACGACGCATGCCACTTGCCTTGTGTCTTGATTCACGGTTGCTAAGCCTAGGAAAGAGCTGCCATTGAGACTTCTTTCTTACGATGGATGAGGTACATCTGGAAGGTACCTCTCTACTACTTCCCTGCAGAACCTTTCCCCGCATCTCACTCAGACTGTCGATCAAGCACGAGCTGTCTTGAGCAACCAGCCTGTGCCGTCGTTGCATCGTCCAGCGTTGGTTCCATTTGTTAAGATAGAGAGGCTGTGTGCTCAGCCCAGTAAGACAACAACGTGCGGTTGTCTTTGATACCGTAGAAGCCTCTGGTGGCAGCAGCAAACATCTGTTCCTCGACCAAGAGTTCAATAGAGACAACGCTTGCGACAAAAAGGCTCGGAGCTGTTCAATAACAATAGTGTGCCCAGCCACAAAGAAGATCAAACTTTCGGCCGCCTCGGCCCTTGTCGTTTAAGCCCTGTCTTGCTAAACTCACATCTTGGCAAGACGTATCTGATACGACCCTGATACCAAAGAGCCTGTGCGACTCTTCTGATCCTTGTGCGGCATCACGCCTCGAAGGAGATCCTTGACTCGTATTTGGGCTTTCTTCAAAGGGCAATGCCAATTCGCCAAGAGACGCATGAGCCTCCTAGCATAGACTCGCGTCCTGTACTGCGCCCTCTTGATCTACGCAATCGCGAGTTGGGCCGAGCCATCACGAAGAGTCAAAGACAGACGCGGGAATCGAAAGTCGGTGAAGCCGGGCATCAATCAACCTTTTCCGCTCCAATGCCAAAGGATGTCACTATCCCTCTTTGGCATCAATGAGCAGATTTGAAACGGAGCGTTGAGAAGTGTTCTCATCCTAATACACGCCACTATCCCCACATCAGGCTTGCCTGTCTCGCACCTTTCCTCTATTAGTTTCTGAACCTCCAGTTCGGCACTCCGCTCGAAGGAAACAGAAAGATTCCACGCGCCTTCTCTGTTGCATAATATCTCGCCGTTTCTCATCTTTCTCTTTCTCACGCTACCTCATCTCCAATCCAGACAACCGTCACAATCCTGGTCTCGGCTCTCGACATATACATATCGGTATTGGCCCACCTAGAAGAGCATGCTCATTTGAATTCTCAACGCATCTGCATTTGTTCATAATGTCGACTCTATCTTCTCCAGCCCTGAGCTTCTGCGACTCTCTCTCCTCCCCTGATCTTGATGCCTATCTGGACAGCCTCTCACCTCTATCTCAACTACCCTCGCCCACGATGAAGGAAGCTTGGTGGAGAGAGGAAACTCTTCATAGAAGACATGACTCGTTGACATCCGACATTTCCGCCTCAGGTAAGTTCGTATCAAATACGTCGTCTGCTGGTGAGCACGTGGGCTCATGGAAATTATAGTCACCACTGCTGCAAAGGTGCTGTGTAATATCACTTCTTGTGACAGCTGCAGCTCCATCAAACCACTGCAAACAAAGGTCGCGCAGTTCTTGAGCAACTCTCGGGTGCCCATGGAGACTGTTGCCCTGACCTACAACATCTTGTCTCAACCAGCCGTTGCGGCTATGCATTGCTGGCACGGCAACCCTACCGCATTTGCTAAGATTATGCAAATCCACGGACCAGAATCAGATGGTTGTTGCCAGCGAGCTCTGGTTGTTCTGTCAGCGCTGAATGTTGCCGTATCCTTCACCGAGGATCATCCTAGAAACTTGTTCCATTGGTCAAGACAAGTGTCCGGAGGCATCTTCAGCACTGAGCAGATCAGCAACCTGAATCGTATCCTTCTTGCCAAGCTAGATTGGTCGATTCATCCCCTCGCTACACCGAAGGCAATTGAGGCAGCTCTCGCGACTCTTTCAGGTCCGGGAGTTGTCGCACACGACAAAGATCCAGTGTGCACACCATTCATCGTCGGTGAGGAGGAGGAAGATGCTCTCAGGTTAATCCTCGGGCCACAAACGGTCATTCAGCATGGACTTGCGACACCTGATCCATCACCAGAGTGCATACACAGGGATGACAGCTCGGTAACTCAGTATCTTCCTTTGACCCCAGCGTAGATGGATCAAGTAGATGGTGTTCATGTACGAAGCGGGCTTCGTCAGACAGGCTTGTTGGCCCTGGGGGTCAATGTGGGTACAAGTACGACATATTGCATGAAGTATCAGGTGTTAGGAGGACAAAAGCGATATTTAATATGAGGGTCATGGCGCACGAAGGGCATAGGCGAAAAGGAACACTGCATGTTTTCTTGCTGGTCACGAAGATACCCCACCCGATCAGCCTCTACAATATGGCGACGGTGGATGAAAAGTAGACAGCAGAATAGCCTAGCATTGCTGATATCAATATGAGCTACTGCATGTCGGTCAGAACTGTCACTGTTTAGTGGTTCATGCGCAAGAATCGGGACGATTGTTGACCGAACAGGGCAAGGACCAAGACTCAAGAGCTGCAAGAAGGTTTGAAGGATCCGAGCGGCTCCAGACCGACGCCTTCCCTGAATACCCCGCATCAGGAGACATTGGGGGAAGTCACGGAGCTGGTAGGACCCAACAGCAGCAGCAGCATCTCGCACGCAGCAGCCACCCACGGCACGACATCCAGAGCTCCGGGAGCGTTGGGGGCTATCGACTCCTTCCTCTGCTTCTCATCTCATCCTCCTTCCTCCCCTGTCAATCGTCTTGCAGTTCCAGTCCGACTAGCTGCAAGGACTGCCCCTCATACCCCTCCAACGCCCTCGCTCTCTAGTCTTTGCGTACCAAAGTCATCATGGCCACCACAGCTACTGCCTCTCGTTCACGCAGACCCTCGACATCGGCTCCAGTCGCTGAGCTCTCAGGTCCCATTGGACCCGCTGGCATCACAAGACCCAAGCACAAGCGTACAATTACTGGCTTTGGTGCATCCGATATCAAGAGCGTCGAAGCCGAGATTCCCGACGCTCAAAAGACTGCGTGAGTAACCAGAGCAGAAGCCGTATTGTGTACCATACTAACACGACTGTTCTAGCTGGAAGAAACACGTACGGCAATGCCCAATTCCTGAGACGCACCCCATCCAACGATCAATGCTGACCCGAGTAGAGCGCTTCAGGCTTCACCAACAAGGAGGACTTTGAGGTACAACAGGCTTCAGCAAACATAAACCGTACAGTTCTAACTGAACTGCTAGGCCGCCACCATCCGTCACATCGAGACAACCCTCGCTCGCTCCCTCTACAACTGCGATGAAGGGTCAGATCCCAGGGTGCTCTTTTAGCCAAAGAGTCGAGCTGATGTGGATCACAGTGCTGCCTATGGCGGAACAGCTCTGGCATTCCGCGACCGTCTAATTATTGACTGGAACAAGACGCAACAAAGCCACACTTTCGCTGATCAAAAGCGTGTCTACTGTAAGATCGGCCATCCTCGTTCGAAATGTCGTTGTTGACAGCCATAGATCTCTCACTTGAATTCTTGATGGGGAGAGCATTGGACAATGCCATGCTCAACGTCGGCCTGAAGGATGTCGCAAGAGGTATGGTTTTCATACTGATATACCACACATGCTAGGTCTAACCTTTGTACAGATGGTCTTGCGGATCTTGGTTTCCGCATGGAGGATGTGATTGGCATTGAGCGTGATGCTGCTCTCGGTAACGGTGGTCTTGGTCGTCTAGCAGCCTGCTTCCTGGACAGTCTCGCCTCGCTCGACTACCCTGCCTGGGGCTATGGTTTGAGATACAGATATGGTATCTTCAAGCAGGAGATTATCAACGGATACCAAGTTGAGGTTCCCGATTACTGGCTCGACTTCAATCCCTGGGAGTTCCCTCGACACGATGTTACCGTCGACATCCAATTTTACGGTAACGTTCGCAAGTACAACGATGACAACGGAAGACAGGTCTCTGTTTGGGAGAACGGCGAGATAGTGACTGCCAACGCCTACGACGTGCCGATTCCGGGTTACAATACTCCTACCACCAACAACTTGCGTTTGTGGTCCAGCAAAGCTGCCAGCGGCGAGTTCGACTTCCAGAAGTTCAACTCGGGCGAGTATGAGCAATCTGTACATGACCAGATGAGAGCCGAAACCATCTCTGCTGTGCTGTACCCGAATGATAAGTAAGTCGCGTCTGACAAGCCATGATAAGCAGTACACTGATATCGCCATAGCCTTGACCGCGGTAAGGAGCTGCGTCTCAAGCAACAATACTTCTGGTGCGCTGCTTCTCTTCATGACATTGTCCGTCGTTTTAAGAAGTCAAAGAAGGCTTGGAAGGAATTCCCCAACCAGATTGCTATTCAACTTAATGACACTCACCCAACGCTTGCTATTCCAGAGCTGCAGCGTATTCTGGTCGACAACGAAGGCCTTGACTGGGACACTGCCTGGAACATCGTTGTCAACACTTTCGGCTACACCAACCATACCGTCATGGCTGAGGCCCTCGAGAAGTGGTCTGTTCCGTTGATCCAGCATCTGCTTCCTCGCCACCTCGAAATCATCTACGACATCAACTTGCATTTCTTGCAGTATGTCGAGCGCACCTACCCCAAGGACCGTGACATGCTCTCTCGTGTCTCTATTGTTGAGGAGTCTAACCCCAAAATGATCCGTATGGCTTACCTCGCCATTGTTGGCTCTCACAAGGTCAACGGTGTAGCAGAGTTGCACTCCGACCTGATCAAGACAACTATCTTCAAGGACTTTGTCAAGATCTACGGTCAGGACAAGTTCACTAATGTTACCAACGGTATCACCCCTCGTCGTTGGTTGCACCAAGCCAACCCCAAGCTGTCTGAACTCATTGCTTCCAAGCTTGGTGGCTACGACTTCCTGAAGGACCTGACTCTCTTGCACAAGCTCGAGGCATACGCCGATGACAAACAATTCCGCAAAGCGTTCCAGGATATCAAATATGCAAACAAGACTCGCCTCGCCAACTACATCAAGCAAACTACTGGTGTGACAGTCAACCCTGCAGCTCTCTTCGACATTCAGGTAAAGCGTATCCACGAATACAAGCGTCAGCAGCTCAACATTTTTGGTGTCATCCACCGTTACTTGGCTCTCAAAGCTATGTCACCTGAGGCGAGAAAGAAGATGCAGCCCAGGGTTTCCATCTTTGGTGGAAAGGCTGCTCCTGGCTACTGGATGGCCAAGTGCATTATTCACCTTGTCAACGAGGTTGGTAGAGTTGTCAACAATGATCCTGAGATCGGTGATGCCTTGAAGGTCATCTTCATCGAGGATTACAATGTCTCCAAGTGTGAGATCATCGCACCTGCCTCTGACATTAGTGAGCACATCTCTACTGCCGGCACCGAGGCCTCAGGTACTTCCAACATGAAGTTCGTCCTGAATGGCGGTCTCATCATTGGCACTTGCGATGGTGCCAACATTGAGATCACTAGAGAGATCGGCGAGGACAACATCTTCTTGTTCGGTAATCTGGCCGAGGATGTTGAGGACATTCGTCACCAACACACTTACCAAGGTGTCCTCATCGATGACGGTCTTCAGAAGGTCTTCGATGCCATTCAGAATGGCATGTTCGGCCACTCGGATGAATTCGCCGCTCTGACAAACACTGTCATCAACCACGACCACTGGTTGACCTCTGCCGACTTTGAAGCATACTGCAAGACTCACGATGCCATTGACGAAGCCTTCAAGGACCAGGAAGCTTGGCTTCACAAGACCATTCTCGCTGTCGCACGCATGGGCTTCTTCACTGCTGATCGTTGTATCGAGGAGTATGCCGAGATGATCTGGAACGTTGAGCCCCAAAAGATCAAGCAGAATGGTGCATGATTGTAGAAAGGTAGCTAGACGTCTTTCACAAACCCACGAGATATGATAAATGGGTATAGGAGTTCATAGTGCTTTCTTCTAGTAATGATCAAACATTAGTAGTCAATTTCTCTGGAGGTCCACGATTACCCCGACCGTTACGATGAAGCAAGGCTGTTCATTATACGCATAAGGTTGTAAACATGCAGATCGAAGATGAGTCTGGAACTAGTTGTCCAATCCTACGGGTCGAAGGCTTATTCTTGGCCGGTCGCTGTTTGTCATGCAACATATTGTGAGGTATCGATGTTTTATAGATCGATCTAGACATATTCAAGCGTTGAAGAAACACCTTTGGTAGAAGAGCTAGCTGGAACCACACTCGACGAAATGAACAATAAAAAGATCCAAGTGTCTTACACATACATATCATGTCTGGTGCTTGGCTGATCATCAGCTCAAATTCAGGTTTGCAGTCCTGCCATTTGGAGTCTGAGTCTGAGTCTGGACTACTTCTACATAAGACCATGGGTACGGTGCAAGAAAAGATAGAAAGATGCAACAGATCAGGATATCCTCAGTCCAAGAAGAAATCAAGAGGCTGTTTGCCAGATCCGGGTGAGTCGAATGCAGATCCTGACCGCCAAGCCAGGCTTTATCACCCAAAAAGTTTCTGATCTTTCCACCACATCTATTCCACACTTTCTTGATACAATGAGATAGTGCAAAAAAGGTACAAAAAGAAAGTCAACTGTGTTTAGGAATAGCCGAAGGCGGGGCTCGAACCCGCGACCTTGAGGTTGTACTTTATCAGGTGATAAGAGCCACACGCTCTACCGATTGAGCTACCCCGGCAGGTCTGATGATCAAGTTCACTGAGTGAACTGGCTGTTGACTTGTGAGAGAAGGATGACTTAGGTAGTATATCTAGTTCCAACAACTATGGTGACATGCCAACGCCAATCGGCTAGCGGTCTGCCTTCTTTTGCTTTGTTCTGTGACTTGATGCTGCAGTATTCCTGCATGGATATTAGCTTAGTGGAAAGACATGAAAGCCATCTGTCAGTACTGCGAGGACGTTGAGCTCTTGCACCAGACTGAGAGACGCTTTGCAAAAGGGAGTTGAGGTCGCTTTGAAGGTTTATCCACAAGCGCTTCGCTGTCTCAAACAGTGTCCAAGTTGGTCAACAGATCCTTTTCTTTGACACAAGAGCTGATGAAGAGTGCCGCAGGATCACCTGTTGCTGTTCGAGGGTGTAACGCGTTAAGGCGGGTAAAGGATGAAGTCATGTTGGATGCCTAGCAGAAGGCGCAGGACGAGTCTCAGCCCCACCCTATGACACTTCATGCCTGCCTTTCCACTACTCTCCGCTCACTCCTTACAATCGCAAGCAATCCCAGACCCATCATGGACATCTTATTTAAGCTGCCTGCCGAGATATCAAATCTTGCAGTCGATTTGCTCGATTGCAAAACTCTAGCCTGTCTACGACTCGTTTGTAGTGAAGCACATCAAATCGCAACACCCACATTCGGTCGCAGATACTTCCATACACTACGTCCTGCATTTCTTCCTGACTGTCTCAACTCCTTGATAAAGATCTCAGAGAACAGAGTGCTATGTGGCCATATTAAAAGCATTTTATTCGCATCTTACACTATTAGGTAGGATGTCTCTCTCGTAAAGCAAATTCTCCGACTCCACAATCTAGGTTCCGAGACCAGACTGCTCGTAGCACATAGCCATTGCATCCAAAAGCAACAGCATTTTATCGAATCTAGTCAACACATCAAATTGATTAGACAAGCTTTGACAAACTTCAGAGACGCTGGTGTATCGCCAGCGTTAGGAATCTTCGACAACAAACATAGCAATGCCAGCATACCTCCGCTACACAAAGGCTGGAGTGCAGATCCGTACTACAAAGAATTTTTTGAGGTCGAGGCTTGGTACAGAGCTAGTGGTGAAGTTTTGAGTGCAGTCATTACGGCTGCAAAACTCTGCAACTACCCCTTGGAATGTATTACCTTGGACGCATGTGTGGGTATGACAATTCCAATGGGGACAAGAGAAACATCCAGGCCAGTAAATCACAGAGTTGATCATATCCTTGCCAACATCCTCTCTGACGCCGGTCTTTGTAACTCAAAGCTGAGTTTTCGCTTCGACATCATGCCACAGAGCGATGACTGCATGACTTCTCGCCTCGATATCGACTGTCAAAACCGTCGTCTTGGTTTCCGGAGCTTAAGGCGCTCTGAAGTGACTAACTACGCCCGCTTCAAAGGATTAGCTGGTCTAGGCAAACTAGCTACCATCTTCAACACCAACACATTTTGCGAGATCGACATATCACGCTGTGAAGCTGAAGTCTACGTTCTCTCAAGTTTCTTGCGAGCCCACTCTGGATCACTAAAGCGGCTGAGGCTATCTCGAATTGTCTTTTGCGGTTCGAGTCTGCGTCATGAAAGTCAGGAGATGTTATCTGCAGCCGACTTCTTGAGAATGTTGAAGGATGAACTAAAGCATCTGGAGTATCTTGAACTTGAGGACTTCGAAGGTTCCGATTGTGATTGGAGAATGCTTCCTATTTCCACCGTGAGAATAAAGTCAAGCGGAATGCAGGATTTTGAGTCGACTTTGGATCTGTGGTTGCAACCCCAAGGAACAATTGGAGAGCAACACGGTTGATGGGTCATGATATGGTTGCCGTGGTGCACTTCTCGAAGTTCAGTGGTTGAAAGAGGAGTGACTTGGGTAGATCACAAAATGCAAGACATGTTGTCAGGACCGACCACATGCAAGGTCAATCTGCTGTGCAAAGCTTCAAGATAGGTGTAATTGAGTGCCAAGGCGACGAAACCCTTGTAATCGGCACATTGACGTGCCAGCTCGACCTTTTCCGCGCACTGCATATAAAGGTATCTAGGCAACAGTCAGTGATCAGCGCAGTGTTAGTTCCTACTAGCTTAGCGTTTAAGAGGCTCGAGATCTTGCTTTGAGAGGCCTTTAAGCTCGACCTTGGTGATCTTGCCAGAGTGTAAATATGGTTCCGTGACATCTAGTATCATATCGAAAGTCTTCTTAGTCTTAGTGCCTTCGTGGATTTTGATATGTTTGATGGACTCATGAGAGAAATATGATAGAGGTTCATTCCATCTGTAGAAGATACCAGTAGACATGAAGTAAAGAACGTCTGATAAGATCAGCTGCGGACAATGACTGTCGCAGAAAGAGATGTACCATACCTTGGGTAGTATCAACCTTGGTGTATAGCACTTGTATATCATCACGCCAGTTTTGGTGGCACATTGCCCTTTCGTCTTCTCTGGGCTTGACCTCCTGATGAATTCTTCAGGGTCAGCTTCGATGACCTGCTTGCCATGTCCACCCAGCATAGACTGGTCGTTAAAGCTCCGACTGAAGCAGAAGGCAAGCAACCACACGGAAGACATTAAGATCATTGGGAGATGATAAGAAGATGACCTGATCTGCTAGAAATATCAGCAAGATTACAACAACAAAATCATGTACGCCATATTTATCAGCGCAGAGTGGAACATAAAAGTGATCCACCAGCATTATCGTCAGTCAGCCCGGGCATGATCTCGAGATGCGTTGTCTGCTTCAGAGGAGAGATACACGAGACAATATCGACACCCAGCATATAACCGCCACAACCCATGCCATCAACCAAGGGGTCGAAAGTGTCGATTCTCAATCTGTACTGATCTTCAAATTCTCGTTGCTTCCTCTCCTCGAAAGATCGGTAGAGTCTTGTTGGACCGCTGTATCGAAGCCTTTTGTCCTTGGGAGGTACTTCATCGCCATATCGACGTTTGAGCGCGGCCTTTGTGTAGTAAACGAATCTCGTGTTATTGGAAAGAGAAATAGAAAGAACATCTGGATGAGTTAGATGCGCTCCTTCCTTATATATATGACATACGTCATAGTGCCTTCCCACCGAGAACCGACGACACTTATTTAATCGCGACAAGACAAAGCGAAGGAAATCTGACAAACAAGGGACAACTTTCTGAAACCGGAAGGTGCTCAACCTCAGTAGACACTCCTGCTAGGCCGAGTTGCATTTCGATGATACTGCTTATAGGCTTGTACGAAAAGTAGGGGTTCCTGAGAAAGTGATTATTCTTTACGTTGGATATACTTGCAAATCTGTCGTTAGTCATCAAATTATCTAGCTTCCATTCAAAACAGCGTTGGATGGCTTTTTCATACTCACAAGATACCCGATTCGCTAAGGGACCAAGGTACCCGGTTGACCGCCTTACAAGATCTTCAGCAGCTCTTCAATCATGATCCAGCTTTGCTCAGGAGGCTCAACACATAGTCAAGCTGGTCCACTTCTAAATGATCGTTGGTGTGTCTCATCCGATGGATATACTGAATTTCTCCGTCGACCCAGATCAGCTCGCCACCATTCTGGCTTTTCTTCCCCGAGGCAATGCTTTTCGTTTTGGTTGCAAGACCAAGGCTGACCAATATGGCTTTGAATATCGATGTGGTCGAGTATTTCTGAACATATTTTGGAACTTCCGGGACTGCTGTCTCATTCACAGAGAATCCAAGGGCGGCATATGTTGACCGAGACGGGTCTGCGTAGACGTCGAACGGGCAGTCGGTCATCTTCATGTAGTTTTGGATGAGGATTGGATCGCCGCATCCGACGATTGAGAGGGTAGTTGGTGGATCCATCTGTTCAAGCTTTTCTGGCGGTAATTCGTTTGCTAGAGCCCTGACGTATCCGAAGCAGTTCTGTGCTCAGTATTAGCGTTCATCTTCGTTTACGGCTACGGCATAAAGCTTCTTACTGGGCAAAAGAAATGGCGGATAAAAATGACAATGTTTCTACGGTTCCCGCTGGATTGGACTAGGTCTATAAAAGGTGTCTTGTTTCTTGTACGGTCCATGACAGTCAACTTGTAGAGTGCCTGTAGCTCCTGGGTGGATGGTAATGGATCCTGCTCGGCAATTGTATCAAGGCCAATAACCGGCTGCGCAGCAGGTTCTGGACCGCAAATTCCAAAGATCTCCGAGAGATTGGACTCCCGCCTTTCGATTGTGATAGCATTCTCTGCGGGTTTTAGGATTACCGCATAGGACCCGAATAAGGACATTCTGAAGCTTTTGAGTGATTTCCAATCCATGATGCCGAATGATGGTGGTGTGACCGTGGGACTTGGATTTGTGAACAGCTGTCGATCGCAGGACTCAGAGGAGCGGATTGAAGATCGTGATTATGAGGCAGAAGATGCGACTTTGACTGTCAGGAAGGAAAGGAAGATGAGAAGCAGAATTGAGGCCTCCAAGCGTTCATACGGTAGTTTATAGGTATACTGAACGACAGCAACGGCAGGTTCAACGGTTGCTGCTGTAGCTTCCTTGACTTCGGGAAGGTGAACAACGTCTATTGCAATAAAGCCTGTCTCTTCGATTGGCGCAAGGCTGAACAGGGCATAGACTGCCGTTAGACTAGATGTCTTAATCTTCAAGACGGGCTTCAAGGCGTGATAAGATTCGTTCGGCGCATGTCGGACGTAGGTTATAAGACACCTACTTGTACGTATGGTGATGAATGCAAATTCCCCTTCCGAACCGTTAGGATATTCAAAATCCCATCACGGCTTTCTCAATTCGGTGTCAGAAACATCGCATTGCTGATTAGTGTTATTGCTCTCGAGACACTTGATTATGAACTCGAAGAACCAGAACTATAGTCTGAAGCCGATTGACTTTTGTTGCACACTGAGTTTCTGCACGGCGTCTGATTAAGAACCAGATAAAGGTTGAAGCGGCATGTTGGTGGCTGGACAACGACAGAACGGTAATGGCCGATAGTATATGCGGCTTCTAAGCGGAAGCCGCGTTCGTGGTTCTAGTGCCCGTCATTGTTCTAGAAGTTCGGCAGCCTCGAAATGGGTCGTGGAGCCGACCAGATTCTCTCAAAATCTGATTCGCTTCGAGCCTCGGCCTCTGACGGCAACTCCAAATTCCTACCCGGCTAAACTGGCAAGTATAGCTCACTGCGCGACCATGCCTCTTTTCTAACCACCCAGTGTTTCTCTGACTGACTGTAATGGTTGGATTACAGCTCCATTGTCCTTAGATCAGGCGACTTGAAGAGAATCATTCTCCATTGAGCCATAAAGTGTGATAGGTACGTGTATGATAAGATCAGCGTGGTTCTCGTCTATTAATAGCTTTCCCTCGGAAGGATTTACAATGTTGTCATGATCAACTGAGGTCGTAAAACAAAAGAGAACACCCTTGAGAAATGAGTTGATATAGGCAACAGCATAGATTCTCGAGTACATATCAAGTCACAAGAAACACTTTCCGAACTGTAACCATTCATCCGAATTGATACTAGAGACCGAGAACACGCTTCGGAGCCGAACATCATGAGAAACGCAGCAGTCTATGCAGGCCTCCTGGCCACTAGCTTCTCTGCTCTTGGTCATGCGATGGTTAACCTCACCATTCTTTCTTCCGTTGAAGATGTTCATGTTGGGGACCATCTCCTGGTCGAGTGGGCTACCGATCAAACTTATGTCAGCTCACGTCGCTATCGTGATCGAAAGCGAATTCGACATACTGACACATGCACAATAGTACCTTGACTTCATTTTCGCCAAGAAGGAGAGGGCAGGCTGGTCTATAGCCGAAACCCTCTTCGAAGACCGTCTTACGAAAGCTGGCCAGGGCAACATTACCGTGGTCGTCCCCGATGTTGAGTCCGGACGGTAAGCTGTCTCCTGGACTACGTTCAAAGTCGAAACCTAGAACTGATATTTTTGTCTTGTAACAGCGAGTATGCGCTCTGGATGTCAGGAAGTGAGATTGACGAGCCTCTTGGCTGGTCCAGTCTTACCAAGTGGTTTGTGGTTGATGGCCAGCACGGAGATCTCAAAATACAAGACACGGATCGTAAGTAAAAGTCTGTAGGCTGAACCATCACGAACACGTGCTGGCATCTATAAAATTGTTGCTTAGAATATACGGATGAAATCTCTCTACGAGTCATTTTGTGATGTGAAGCCAGCACCCCGAGACGATGTACGTCTCGTCGACAGTTGAATCCATGGCTCTCAGGGCCGCAAAAGTGGCTACTAGCAGAATGAGTCTTCCGACCATATACGTGGACGGTACAATAATCTGGACGTAGTATTTGCGACACGAAGCCAAAAGCGAAGGAGTCTCCAAGCGAATCTGCGCGCAAGAAAGGCAGGTTCTCGGTGACTGCACAGACCAGCAGGTGTCTTGACGTCTGTTGTTTAAGCGCCCAACTTACAGACACAGTGCATATCACGAGCTTGGTAACATATGTGACTCTTCGTGCTCTTCGTGGTCTGAGATGTATAGATTTGTCACATCCTCGCCGGAACTGCATTGAGGGAACCTACTGCCCATTGCTGAAAACCAGTATTCGAACTCGTCCCTCCATGAATAGCATGAACTTTTGATATTCATCGTCGAAACATGTTCTTTCAACTGCTAAAATGTGGCTCAATTGCGATAGGGATAGTCGCTGCTCTCTATTGCACACTTCTTAGACTTTTGACCACGTCATGGTTCCAGGCACATGTCGTCTATCTACACGCTATCCAGATGACTTGGGGTAAAGACCTTGATGTTCCTGAGATCTTCGGCTTCCTTCATAACCAAATCACCCCCTTCAACATACAGTCTGCCAGCGGCGAAAACCTCTACGCATGGCACGTCTTGCCTGTAGAGTTGTATCGAAACCACGAGCACAAGCTATTAACACAGCCATCGGGCTTCTCGTCCGACATCACATCCAGCCTTTCATTCCAATTGCTTCAAGATGATCCTGAAGCTATACTTGTCATTCACCTCCATGGCGCTGGTGGTACTGTAGCATCTGGATACCGCTGTCCCAACTATCGAGCACTGTCCGCTGGTCGACCTGACAAGATCCATGTGCTCACTTTCGACTATCGTGGTTTTGGACGGAGCCCAGGCTCACCCGGCGAGAGTGGCCTTATTGTGGATGCCTTGTCCGTTGTCGAATGGGCTATTAATGTGGCCAGAATCCCGCCATCTCGTATTCTTATTTACAGCCAATCTCTGGGAACTGCTGTGAACATGGCTGTTGCTGAACATTTTGCCTTGCAAGAACCGCCAGTCGTATTTGCTGGACATATCTTGACTGCACCCTTTATCGACGTAATCACTCTTGTATCAACATACAGTATAGCGGGCACCGTTCCCATCCTGGGACCTTTAGCGAAGATTCCAGTGCTGTTCAACTACCTGCGCAAATACATCAACGATAAGTGGTCAACCAAAGATCGAATTGCCTCGTATGTCAAAGCGAATGAGGCCAATGGCATCAAATATCGCATCACCATGATTCATGCCGAAGACGATTATGATATCCCATGGACACATACTCCACAACTATTCTGGCATGCCGTCAACGCAACAAAGCCAATGGGCATGAGTTTCGAAGAGCTTGAGCTACTCAAGGCAAAGTCTAGAGTTGACCATGGGCCCGCGGGCAGTGTGGTAGAATGGAAGACTGATCATGGCATAATCAGAGAGGAAATATTGAAGTACGGTCTGCACGACGTGATCATGGGCAATCCTGTAGTAACCTTGGCTGTCATGAGGTTGCTGGGTCCATGAAACAAGCTATTGGTTGGAAGTGAATGATACAAAGTTAGGACATAGAACCATCCTCTCACTCGAGTGATACCTAGTCGTGAGCCGTGGGGCCATCCGACCTCCTTTCTTTGCGCCAAGTATACACGTTTACTTACGTATCGCCTCGGCATATTAGTAGATCATATGGATCGTCTGCGTTGTTGAAAATGCTCGACTCCCTCGGTTGAGAAGCCCCTGATCGTGGTCAACATCTCTCAGGCGGCCATTTCGGTTATAGGAATGTCAAGGGCATCTTGGTGAGTGCCTGGTACATGATATCAGTCTTGCTTGTCGGTAACGATATGAGTCGTGTATTATCCTTACCTAGTCCGTCTTTGTTGAGGTACTCGAGAGTGAGGTTAGGTGTTCCATTGCCGTAGACCGTGACGGAACAATACTGGGGACATGGTCCAACACTTCATCACCAAGTCAGCAATATCACTTCCGTGTAACTCGTAAATATGATTATACCTCGTATCTGTATACAATCTTTGCATACGCAGAGTCGTACCATCCCATCTGAAATTGAAGCTGTTATTGGCACAAGGATAGAAGCTGTTTGCATCTTCTACGGAGCCGAGTGCAGAGCGTGAGCAAGTTGTTTCTGCTTGCAGACCGATATTGTTGTCGACTAAGTTGAAAGATATCGAATTGTTTGTGGAGTCATTGGAGGCTATGAAAATGGATAGATTGGTGATGTGCCAGGGCTGGCTCTCGGCAAGACGTTTTTGGTGAGGAACGGCCTTGACTCCAGTCAATAGCGCGACTGCGATGGCAAGAAGAGTCAGAAGTGCATGCATGATGGCTGTGACGATGAATCGACAATGTGCTCCGAATTGCGATGTTGACGGACGTCAGGATAGAAAGGTCCAGAATTTCTGGGATGAACGAGAGTGCTTGGTCCCTATTCAATTCGGCCGAAGAAAGTATACATCTGGAAGTCTTTATAGCGATCCTGCCTTCCTCTTATGCTACCGTAGCATGCACGACCTTCCAAGCAGAACAGGCTACAAGCATCACATCGCTGGTCTGTACAGAGGTTGATCATGGAACGATGTGTAGTATGATCACATCGTTGATCATATAGGTGGTGCCCAATTGATGATTGCATGGGTAGTGAGGATGATGCACGTATCTGAAAAGGGGTCGCCGACCACAGAAATTGAGCGGTGACAAGCCCGAAGCCAGGCAAAATGGAGGTAACACCAGAATTCATTGCGGCAGTAGCACGACGGGAGATTCTCATATGAATACTGAGTGCAACAGCCAAGCTATTGTGGCATGTATTGACGGAAGCAAAGCAAGTAAGCTGAAGGTGGAAAACATAAGACTAAAATGACTCCAATGCTTTTGTACAACCAACCAATGCCAAATCAACATGTGCGTCCGTGAGCACATCGAATCTATGAAGTTTTCGAAGGAAACATAAAGTCGTATCGTAGAGTAAGGCGAGAAAAGAGACAGGGTATCGGAGGAAGCAGATCCATCGCTAGGGTAAATCGTACAAATGTCACTGTAGTGAGGCATCCATGATCCATCAAGGCTCGGTCATGAACATCTTGAAGACAGGATTGCTGGTCTCCTCAACATAGCCATATCCAAGCTCGGTCAGGAATGAGTTCAGATTCTCTTCCTGGCCCTGAGGGCACTGAATGCCAGCCAAGACCTTGCCGATGTCACCACCGTGGTTTCTGTAGTGGAACAGCGAGATGTTGAAACCTGGTTGTAGAGTTGTTAAGAACTTGAACAAAGCACCCTGACGTTCGGGGAACTCGAAAGCGAAAACGCGCTCATTTGAGGCGCTGCTGCGGCCACCAACAAGGTAACGAATGTGAGATTTGGCGGTCTCGTTCTCTGAGATGTCAACAGCAGTCATGCCTTCGTTGGACAAACGCTGGATGAGATCGGCAAGATCGTGCTCGCGAGTGTTTGCGCTCAAGCTAACACCAATGAGGACGTTGGCAGCACTTGCTGAAGCGTAACGGTAGCAGAACTCTGTGACAGACATGGGATGCACAGCCTTGACCAAAGCAGCAAAGGCACCAGGCTTCTCGGGGATGGTGACCATAAGCAAAGCCTCCTTCTTCTCACCAATGGCAGCGCGCTCAGCGACGAAACGCAGACGGTCAAAGTCCATGTTGGCGCCAGAGGCTGTAGCAACCAATTGACGCTTGGGGTCAGAGCTAGGGTTCTGAGCAACGTACTTCTTCAAACCAGCCAGAGCAAGAGCGCCGGCAGGCTCGAGAATGGAGCGAGTGTCGTTGAAAACATCCTTGATGGCAGCACAAGTCTCATCGGTAGTGACCATGATGACATCGTCGACAACTTCACTAGCCAGACGGAAAGTCTCTTCTCCGACAGTCTTGACAGCAGCACCGTCAGCGAACAGACCGACCTCTTTGAGTGTGACACGCTTGCCCAGCTTGAGGGATTCGACCATAGCGTTTGCATCGTACGTCTCGACACCGATGATCTTGACGTGAGGCGCAATTCTCTTGATGTAGACTCCGATACCGGCGATCAGACCACCACCACCAACACAACAGAAGACAGCCTCAAGCTTGCTCAAATCAGCCTGGCGCACAATCTCCATACCAATGGTTCCCTGACCGGCGATAACGTAGGGGTCGTCGAAGGGAGGAATGTTGGTAAGGCCGTGGGCCTCAGCAAGACGGGCACATTCAGCCTTGGCCTCGTCAAAGTCATTTCCATGCAGGACAACAGCACCACCAAGGCGCGAGACGTTTGTGTGCTTGATAGCGGGGGTTCCAAGAGGCATAGTGATGGTTGCAGGCATCTTCAGCTTGCGAGCCGAGTATGCGACACCTTGGGCGTGGTTACCAGCGGAGCAAGCAACGACGCCCTTCCACTTCTCTTGCGGACTCAAATGAGCCATCTTGTTGTATGCGCCGCGCAGCTTGAAACTGAAGACAGGTAGGAGATCTTCGCGCTTGAGGAAGACCTGGCTCTCGAGACGGTTACTGAGGTTGACGGCATGTGTGAGGGGAGTCTGTTCAATGACATCGTAGACGCGAGAGGTGAGGATGAGGCGGAGGTAGTCGGGATAGCCATTGGGTAGTAGAAAGGCCTCTGGGACTCCAGCGTCGATTGCCTTTTGTCGGGGATCCTGGGAAGGTGGGGAGGGATTGGCGGCGTATTCGGTCAGCGACAGAGAGTTGAGCTTGGGAGGGACGGGCTCTTGTGCGCCGTGGTCTGATGTTCCATTCTGGGCCATGTTGACTAGCTCCAAGGCTGAAGAATTGGGAAGGAGCGGTTGCGATTGAGAAGCAGCGATCGAATGGCGCGAAAAGTAGAGAAATGGGAAAGTGTTTCTGGTGACTCTTTGGGAAACGGCGATAGGCAACTGATAAGGCTGAAGGCGGTGTCGGACCTCCAGGTCTCCCGAGAGTGCTCGGTCCAGCGACATCATCGATTTTAGTCAGTCCGTCGAGCCAAGCTATATACCAAACACCTACTTTCGACTCTCAGAACCGTCCTTCTTTGGCTATTACCTGAGGACCGGCCGACGTAGTCAACTCGGCTGACATTCTACCACACTACTCTGGTCCTGCAAAATCTGGTCGCCCATCATGAACAGTGCGCCGCCACCTTCGTCTTTTGACAATGATGCGTAGGTCCCCACATCTGCCATAGCTCCTTGCCATGTCTAACGTAAATCAGCGACTTTTACGAGGAGAGCCGATGGCAAAAGCTGCGCCGTAGAATTGTCGAGGAACCTCTCATTCCGCTTGGATGCGGTCTGACCGTCTGGGCCTTGTACGAAGCCACAAAGTCAATGAAGTCTGGTGACCACGCCAAAACAAATCGCATGTTCCGTCGCCGTATCTATGCTCAAGGTTTCACTCTGCTCGCCATGGTCGCTGGCTCCGCCTACTGGGAGAAGGATCGCAACAAGCGCAAGGAGTACAATGACTTGCTCGACGAAAAGAAGAAGAAGGACAAGCGCGATGCTTGGATCAGAGAGCTCGAGGCCAGAGATGAAGAAGAGAAGGAAATTGCTGCCATGAAGAAACGCTTGGTCGAGGCCAGAGGCGCCGAGAGAAAGCGTCTGTCTGAGGCAGAAGCCAGAGCTAGCGAGTCCAAGATTCAATCCGACACTACAGGCATTGTCCGTAGCGTCTTGGAGCCTGGCAAGAGCAGATGCGACTCTCCTCTCCTTACCGCTGCCATGAAGCTTTGGCAGGCCAGGTCATGATTGCGTTCTTCTTGAAATTCACCACAAGGCGTCTGGAGCTCAGGGGTTAGTCGGCATACAGGATCTAGGACCGTTCCACTCTTGAAAAATTGTACATATACCACTCTACATTTTGTCATCGCCATGTTCTAGTACTTTTGTTTTATGTCTGTCGTGTGACTGCACATAATTATGATGAGCGCCAAGCAAATGCACAAACCTCGGATTTATCGCACAGTCCTTCTCGTGTCTCATGTGAAGTGGAAACCACGTTGATGGGAGTCGACATTTCCAAATTGATATCATAGAATATCGACGAGTCGGCCGTGACTGTCGCACGGCGTGTCTTGCGACGCCCAACATCCTTTGATGCAAAACCGCGTCCATCCTGAGGATACATACATCTCTATTTTCTCTCGGCCCGGCAACAGGCATCAAGTATGATTGATCGCTGGTAGACCATCTGATTCGCTCTTCTGTTTGCGTTTTTCCACCATGGCTCCTAACGCTTCGTCGTTGATGTCACGGCCGTGGATTCTGGTCACGACAGGCTTTATCGCAGCATACACTTCGTATATCATCTGGTCAAACTGGCCCGCACATGAAGCACCATCTAGTCTGCGACGACGTAACGCTGTTAGGAGCCGCGTAAATACCCGCCCCCAGACAAGAATATGGACTTCAGATTCTTCCGAGCCCTCTCTTCCTTTTGGCCTGGTTCATGTTGACTTTGATGGCGTTGTTGTCAGATTTCCCAATGGGCCCGAGCCACCTACAGTCGTCGAGATCGCAGAAGCTCTGAATATTCCATCCAATGCTGCCTTCGATGTTACCCAAAAGATTCAGGAAACTGCTCTCAAACACATCTTTTCAATTCTCGTTCGACCCGTCGAGCAACAGTCTACCGAACAATCTGACGCGGCTAGAGATCTCCAGGAACTGGTTCCCTATCTACAACAACCGAACATTAATGAACTGCTTGCTAGAATCCACGTCTTATGTTCAGGACCTTGGAGGTTTCATCAACTCGCTGCTGCCAGAGCTTTTGCTGAGCATTGCGGTCTCGATCGCATGCCCCTCATTTCTGACCATGAAGACCTTGCAATGACCGAGACTGCCGCTGATTCTGACCATGAAGACGATGGAGAACCTGCTCAAGGGTATGTAAACTCTCTAGGTCGTCACAGCTGATGCGATGACTGACTGTACCAGGATCAAGGCTGTTGTGTATCATATAGCAGAGGAGAAGACTATGCGCCAGCTGTACGTTCATACTGGTATTAGATGTGAACAGTGTGGCCAGTGTCCTATCCTCGGAATTCGCTGGCATTGCAACAACTGCCCAGATTTTGATTTATGCTCAACCTGTGAAGCGCAACCGCTGCATCCCAAGACCCACGTTTTCACAAAGATCAAGATTCCCATTTCTTTCCTTGGTCAAAACCACCAGGTTCAGGATGTCTCTTACCCTGGTGACCCGATGGCGCAATGGCCAGCTTTGAGGACCTCGCTAAAGAAGGAATTGGCCTTTGATTCGGGCTTCGAAGACCTTGAAATCCAGGTCTTCTATGACCAATTTGGATGCAAAGCCAACATCGCCTACCCAGAGGTATGCCATCACATGCTCCTCTGGCTCACTCAACCATGTTGACGTATTGTAGGATCCCATGCAAATCGGTCTTGCTATTGACCGTCATGCTTTCAATAAACTTATGATGTCTCCAACATGGAAGCGACCCGCAGAACCCAGCGTTCTTTACGATCGCATGTTCAGCTTCTATGATACCGACAACAATGGGCTTATTGGCTTCAAAGAATATGTGTTAGGTATAGCCTACCTTCGCCGGCCTAATAAGCAGAACTCGCTGGATCGAGTCTTCCTCGGCTACGATTTTGATGGTGACGGATACATTAGTCGGCGAGATTTTATTCGTATGCTCAGCGCCAAGTACGCCGTCCAAAAGAAACTGGTGGAAGATGCAATCCGAGTGGCAGAGATTGACATGGTAACTTATACTTCTAACATCGTCCGGTCGAGTCAGCCCATTAGTGCGGCTTTTGCCCAGGAAGATGTCCCTCCTGGCCAGACAAGGCTACCTACCATGAAAATCAACGATCGTTTTGGCGAGAGCCAGATACGGCCTGACGCTGGACCTTTCGCATCTGCTGTGTTACCAGACGGTCTAGAAATCCCAGACTCTACTCTCGTGGGCGCGATAGCTCACCGTTACGGCGTGGATGCCCTGCCGGAAAACGTTAATCAGACTGACACCTTGTCGATGGAGCAGCTCACAGCATTTACAAGCAGCCTGAATAGGTCTGACCATGTCCCGATAGATGCCATACAGGATGGAGACGAGCCGAGATACATGGTCGATACTGACTTTCGTCAAGTTCGCAGTCAGTCTTCACCTGATGGGCCTGAACAAAGGTGGCACCAGGATCTTGTAGACGCGACTCGAGATGGGCATCTAGCTGTAAGGGAATCTTCAGCTCAAGAAGAAATTTCAGATGGTGAAGGTCCACTACCTCCTCCGCCCGCGGATATACTTGAGAGAGGACGTGCCTACGAAGTTCCTGCAGCCGAGAAAGACTTTGGCTCCGAGGTGATCTTCCAGGTTGTTCAGGAAGGCCTCAATGAGCTCATCGATCCAATTTTCGCAAAGAAAGAAAGACTAGCGGAAAAAGTTCGAACTACACAAGAAGAACGACATCGCTTTCGTCAAGAGATTGATGAGTACGTTCGAGAGGCGAAATCTCGTCAAGAAGAACTTAGAGCGGGCTCTGACGTGGATCCTCTAATGGCTATCGCAAACGCTGCCAATAACACAGAGCACGATAGTCGTGAGCAACGTCATGATTCAGCGGCGCTAGACACACTGCTTCAAGTTGAGCCTATTGATGGGAGTGCGAGATTACCAACACCCCGAGAAATTGCAATTGACCTGCAAGAACATATTGTTCAGCAAAGCCAAGCGCTCAATGATAATCTCGAAGATCTGGAATCAAATATCCGAGAACAATCTCTCGACGATCTTCTGGCGCAATCAGGATATATCGTTGATTTCTCGAACGATACAGCACCGACGTCTACAGATCAGCAAGACGGTGCTAGCTCAGATATGGAAGAGCCTCAGCCGGGCACCTTAGACGACATTCTCTTCGATCTGCCGGCTTTAGAAGACATTCCAGTTGACGATAATCACGATTCGCGTCATGCAGAGTCGTCAGCACCTTCTGTTCACCACTCACCCTTGACACAACACCTCCAAGTTCCTTTCTCAACCCCAGACATGGACTCTTCAGTTTCGAGGTTTGCACCATTCCGACCTGATGCGCTAGAGCAGTCTGACTCGCCATCGCAAGAGAGACTGAGAGAACTAGCTCGTCTTGACGAAGAAGAAAAGGATATACATGTGCGTGGTGGACCCGGGAGATTGAATCTGGAAGAGTTTGAGCAAATCATCCGCAGTGATAAGAGAGGCATGCTCCAGGGTGTTGCTGAGGCCTGGCTTGAATGGGCAGAGTTGTAGGATATGAACTACATTCTTTTGACACAGAATGAGAGAAGACTATTCGTTTCCACCTCCCACCGTCCTCTTGTGCAGTCATCTCTAGATTGCCAGTGTTGTTTCTTGGCCAGAGGTTACCGCCCGACTCTACGCTTCAGTTTTTAGATGTCTGTTCCAGCCCCAGCACAAGAGACAGACACTCAATCGCTATCGTTCTCATCATAATCATCATCCTCATCGTCATCGCTGTAATCATCAACGCCATCATCCTCATCTGCATGATTGATAACAAGGCCCTGACAACCAGAGCACATGCGCACAGCCTTACTGATCGCATCGTCCCCCTGAAACTGATCCTCATCCTTCTTTGTCTTAGCACAACCAGACTCCTTACAGTCATCCCTTCCACGACTCCTTGCCTTGGCAAACTCAACCCAGCAATCGGAACAGAGCCACTGAGGAAGTCGTTCCTTGCAGGTACAGTTGGTGCCGTTTTCTTCGGGACTTATACCGTACCGAGCACACCACGATTCTGCGCAAGAGAGGCATAGAGGGAAGCGACCTTTGTCTCTTATGATGTGATCGTGTTCGTCTTGGCTGAGGCGGTGGATTGGAGGGTTGTCGTGGCAATTTGTGCAGACCAGGTGACATGAGGCGTGAGGATTGATGGAGTTCAAGATGTGTTTTTCTGATTGGCATGCTGCGACGAGAGTGCTGTGGCTGAGGGTTGAAGAAGGGTGTTCAGCGTTGTCGCAGTAACCTCTGCTCAGTGTAGGGAGTGGATAGAAAGGCTTGTGTGGTGGGATGTTGGAATCAGGAGAAGGGGTCTCAGATACCCAGTGCGGCTTGGTATGCTCTACGACTTCTCCATCCAGTAAGTCTTCAAGCAAGGCGAGACGATTCTGGAGATGGGAAGATTCTTGACCCTTTGTCAGGTCGCTGATCTCTTCTTCGACGTCCTCTTTCTCGGCCTTTGCCCAGGCATATGTCTCCGCTGGAGATGCCTCGCGGACAGGCACCCACTTGGAGTCCTCCGACTCGTTTCCGTTGAGATGCAGCATGATTCCAATAGCCATGTCTCTCTTCACATCGTCGATCTCATACTCTGGGACAGGAGATGACGATGATGGTTTTGGTGGTCTCTGTGATTTTGCCCATGCTCTGCAGAGTTCAGGGGGTACGTCGGTGCTAGGAAGCCACATGTCGGCAGGTTCGTAGTACAATTCGTTACCATCATCGCTCTCATTTCTTCTTACGCCCTGGATGGCTCGAGGGTCCATGATCTCGCTTGGTTCGTCTTTGCTGGGGACACTCCCTTCTTCTTCATGACTTTCAGTAGGGATTTGCTCCTGCATGGGATTGCGATGAGGATCTTCTTGTTCCGTCATGGGATGGTGCATGTTGCTCCCCTGTTGCCAGGTGCTTGACGGAGGTGGGATTGGATTGAATTGTGAGGTTGATCGGGCTGACAGAGATGATTGAAGTTCGAGACGCGACGGTGAGAGGAGAGATAGATCAATGATGACTGTGATTCGCAGTCTGCATCACGTCGGTGGAACCTGTTGCACAAGGCAGGACATCCATAGTCGATGTAGGTCTTTTGGAAGACAACTGGGACAAGGATTGTTAACGAGACACATCAAGAAGTTTCCGGAAGAGCGAGACAAATATAAGGGACTTGATGTTGCAATAGTGCCTTGGAGAATTGGCTTGGAAAGAAGGAATGATTATGTCGGTGTATACATTTGGGAAGGTTCGATGATGAGTGTGCTCTTGCTCTTTCCCGGCCAGTCTTGAATAAACATCTTCGAAGAGATCATTGCTACTTCCTGGTTAGCGTGAATACCTATAAGCACAATGTCACCTATTAACCACATTGCAGAAGATGTATCATGGCTCTAAAGAGCTGGCCAAGAGCAGCTGTAATCATCAATTCTAAGACATATGTTGGTGTCTATCCTAGAGATGAGCCTCCAGAGCACTCGATTGTCTCGCCAGTAATCCATTTAGACTGCTCACTGCCCAAGAAAACAGCCAGACCAGTCAAATCGTCCATCTCAGCCAGTCGGTGACCAATAGCCTGCTTGTTCTTGAACATGTCGAGCAACTCATCCGTGAAATGAGCGTTGATGTCTGTAGGGAAGAAGCCAGGGTTGATAGCATTAGCAGTGATGCCGTGCGACTTGCCCAATGAAATAGCCCAGCACTTCATCATGGCATTGACGGCTGCCTTGCTTGCACTGTAGATGTCCATGTTGGGGCTTGCCCAAGTAGCTGCCATTGAAGAGATGACAACAATGCGGCCACCTTTGGGCATGACGGGAGCGATTGATTTGACCAGCGATGCCGGAGCACGGACATTGATTGCCATTGTCCTTTGGATGCGAGTCAGTATGATAGCTGTCGAGCGTTGGATTTGACTCACCTGTCAAACAACTCTGCGTCAAACTCTAAAGTGTGATTTTCCTTGTAGACGCCGGCATTTGAGACCAGGATATCGATCTTTTCGGTGTTGAAACCTTTCAGTGTCTCTCTCAAAACCACTTCTCCGCAGTCTGGCTTGATCAGGTCTGTTTGAATCAGGATAGCTTTGCGGCCCAGTTGTTCAATCTCCTTCTTGACCGCCTCCGCTGACTCTGTGCTTGATGGCGATGCGTAGACAATTGCGACGTGTGCTCCCTCTCTCGCATAAGCTTTAGCAATAGCAGCACCAAGACCACGCGAGGCGCCGGTCACGACGGCGATTCTATCCTGAAGAGACATGGTGTTTGGTGAAAGTTTGACACAATATCAGTGTGTAGGGTGGAGTGGCTGAAGTGGGAGGTGAAAAGTCTTGGATGCCGTGAAACAGCGGTCATCAATGTTATATACCCTAGTCCGGGCTGTGATCGTTCTCGGCGATAATTCGCGATGTTTGAGGTATAGCAGCCGAGCCACTATAGGGATGTTGATTTATGGTCTCATTATACATACTCGTTCCTGTTGTTTGATCTCAGGCCTCTGGGGGCGTGCATTCAGGCGGCCTTGTACTCCGTCTGTGCATCTGGCGGATGGTGACCAGTTTTTGAGGTGCGCACACAGTGGTGTATCTCATTCTGGGCTGGAATCTCTCAGCGAGGATCACACATTTTGCATGTCCAATCGGGTTTCAGCGCTGATGACGATCAAATGAGGATTTAGATTAATGATTGCAGAGATCAGTGAGCTCTCGATTGCACAGAGGGCTGGTTGCAAGATGCAGTTTTACCGAATATCTACCGATCTGGCTATCTTTTTGACTTGACTTGACTTGTCTTGCTACATTGACACCGGGCATGGTCAAAGGAGTCAAAGAGAGAACAAATCTTGTTGGCGAATGACACACCATGATGCCGTGTGGCGTTGCTTTTACATCAGCCAGTGTTTTGGCTCAGAATTTCGCTCCAAGGTCCAACGAGTTGATACAGAGTTCAACATGGATCCACCTCAACTGTTGATGGTCGTGTACTTTGAAGCTAGCCGCTGCGTATAAGATGATACCTCTCCGAGAGGGAGATCCTGTGTATTCAGAGCAGCATGTGATTTGCTCTTCCATCCTTTCTCTGTTTTTTCCTATCTGCCAGATTTGGTACACATCAAAATGGCAAGACGCAACGACAGCGTGACTGTACATCCCGACGAGCATCTCTCCGGTCAGAAGAGCTGTAGAGGGCTACCGTCAGACTTGACAACCTACAGGAACCACGAGAAGCGGCCTCTTGCCAGACGCTATACTACTGAGAGCATCAAGCCTGTTCAAATCGCCAGGCTTTCACAGCAGGATAGCAGCTTTTGGCTAGAGTGCAGCATTCAAGAAACTCTTCCGACCCGCAGTGTGAAGACTTCTTTTACCTGCAAGATGATGCCTAGATTTGGCCAAATCTCGGATCCGTTTACGTTGTCTGAGATCGAAAAATGCTGCCGGCGTATTGTTGAAGACTTTAAGTCTCATCGCAACGAATCCGACCGCCATATCTGTCGATGCAACTTCGAATTCATCCGAACCTCCGCGCAAGGAAAACCGGGTATCTGCGACAATGGCAGTAAACACTTTTCGAAATTGCTCTGGAGAGGTATGCAGAGGCACGACCAGTTGTGTCAGTGCGGCTGCTTTGACTTCGCACCTTCGGGAGAGCCGACATGTGTACCAGCTTGGACATATCACTCAGGTTCTGGATGTACATCGTATTGGAGTCGCCGTATCGAACATCCTCAAGGAACTTTCTGGCTGCAATACGGCGTCAGTAGCGGCCCTCAAAGTGATGGTCCGGACTGCGCGTTCACTTGTAAGGTGATTCCCAAGGCCGAAGAGACACCTGCTACTAGCTTGATCAAAATACAAAGATGTTGCGAACAGATAGCCATAGAGCTTAAAGCACATCGGGCCGACGAGTGTTACAGTGGCAGGTGGGAACCTTGTCCGGCATGCTCTTGCGACCTCGAAACCATCAGACAAGGTCCACAGGGTCAAGTCGGAATATGCTGTGACAACTGGAGCAAAAGGACAAGCGCCGAGACCCTGCGGTGTGCAATGAATCGGCACGATCGACTCTGTTCGTGTGGCTGCTTCAACTTTGCCGATAATCGATTATCTCTGCTTGACACAACGCGGTACACAGACTGGAAGCGCCATCGGAAGTCAAAGCCATATTGGAGTCGAGAGGTCACCTTGACGGATGGACAAACATGGCTTCAATACGGCGTCAACAGCAATTCGAATCCGGTCGGCGAGCCTGGTTGTATGATCACATGCAAAAGGGCATTTATCTCTGCAAGTGGTCAGAGAAATGCTAGGAAGAGCTGCAAGAAAGCTGCTGCTATCTTGGCATCTCATCTGAAGTCGACGAAGTCTTGTGCATGCGATTTTGAGTCGCTGGTAAGCGGGCAAGAATGCATCTCCGAAGGGAAGCGGTGGTGGAAGGGACGAGCGACGAAGGCGATTGTATCATGTGCGAGACAGCATGACAGACATTGCGCGTGCGACTGCTTCGAATTTCTTTAGCTTGTGGTCGTTCGGATGGTATGCGGATTGCCCAAGAGTCATGCTTTGACGCTGAACATGTTGGTGTATCAAAATCCTCATGCAGAGATTCGTCACGCGCTCACTGTTATGATGATTTTCTAGCCCTTCGCGCGCGCGCCGAAGAGGATGCACAATAAACATGAAAATTCTTCTCCAAAACTCAGCATAAAGCCACAATATTGATGAAAAATGTAAAAGAAGAGAGGCCTGTCAGAAGTCCGCCAGCACCTACCCAGTCAAGCCGACCGAAGCCAGACACTCAAAAGGGTCGAGATCATCACCGCTGAGGCCGAAGCCAAAGCACTTGGTATCACTCTAAGGCACCGGGGATGTAGCTCATCCGCCAGGTTGGAGTTCTGTGGCTCTTTTGAAGAGTTCAGATAAGATGACTAACTAAAGAAGTGATTCTTCTAGGATGGATATTAGTAAAGGAGATCAAAAAGCCATGGTAGAGCCACCAAGAGGGATACAACGTACTGAAGTAAAGTCGACTGAGGAAGGAAGGAGGAGGGCGAGGGAGCAGAGATTGATATAGCAGTGAAAAAGGTCTGTGCGTAGATGCTGCTTACTAAGCAGGCTCTTGTAAGCCCAGAGCATGGGCAAGAAGAGAATAGCAAGTGACATCAAGTCGGGATACACATCGTGAACGCCCTCCTCCTTCCTCCCTCAGTCGACTTTACTTCAGTACGTTGTATCCCTCTTGGTGGCTCTACCATGGCTTTTTTCTTCTAGCTTGGTAGAACTACCAAGCTCGTGGCATGTGGCGCGCGAGCTGTATAGACGAACAGCATCTTATAATGAGTATTACCAGTAAAGAGCGACCATCTGATGGATTTCCATTGGGAGGATCTTATATCGAATATGATGCTGCATCTTCACAAGCAGATGAAGGTTGATACTTACGTGAAGAAATGCTGTTGGACCCTGGATCTTGAGGCTGAAGCGATCCAACGTCCATGCGGAGAGAGCCCACCCTCTGCGATCTACACAGGTAGGAGTGACCGACAACAACATTCCAATATACAATACAAGATACAACTCGATGTCACAATCATCAGCTACCCCTTACTTTCAGACCATGTCGCCAGTTCCTCCAGAGCCCACGCCGTCACGCGCGCCACCCTCACTGACAACAGCAACGCGTGAAGCTGAGCCGACGTCAACAACAAGCTCCGGCTTCCCCAAAGTCAAACTACGCCTCGAACTCCGCGATCTCTCCCACAAATCCACCGACCTCTTTCTCAAGAACTTCAACAGCGCCAAAGATTTTGCAGATCTAGTCGAGATTGTTGAGAAGCAGCTCTACACCCGTCCCAACCATGACGATGCATCGACAACAAGAGTACCCATACCCCCGCATACAAAGATCCCTGGCACGCGATCCGTCACATTGATCTTACGCGACATGGATGGCGTAGCATACACCACTGGCTCAGACATCGACAACGACCATAAGGAAATTCATCTCTCGTTGTCTTACCTCAACCATGTCGCATCACAGAAAGCTAGTTACTCTGCCCGCACTGAGCTTCTCGGCGTCGTCTGCCACGAGCTTGTCCACTGCTTCCAGTGGAATGCCAGAGGTACCTGTAATGGAGGTCTCATCGAAGGCATTGCTGATTGGGTTCGTCTCAATGCTGGGTTCATACCTCCACACTGGAAGAAAGAGGCTGGCAAGAGCTGGGATGCTGGTTATCAAAACACTGGTTACTTCCTTGATTGGATTGAGAAGACCAGAGGCACTGGCAGTGTTTACATGATCAATCAGGCATTGCACCATAAGAAATACGATAACAGCACGTTCTGGAAGGATTTGTTCGACCAGAGCGTTGACAGTCTTTGGCACGAGTACGTTGAGTCGTTGAAGAAGCCCAAGGGTGAGTCCGAGAGCTATGACGATCCCAACCTGAAAATGCAGATTCGTATCAAGAAAGAGATAGAAGGACACAGTTGAGCACCTTGACGACGACTAATACAGCTCCACCCAAACATATCTTGTATGACAATCTCTTCTTACTCCACCTCAAGCTCTGGCGTCGTTGGCACTGTATTTCTTCGCTTTGACACTTCTCCACTCAAAGCCCCAAGATGCCACAAACACAAGACAAGACAGTCCTAAGCACAAGTACCAGACTGATTTGATCGAATCGTTGTACACCCTAAGCACAATGGGGAGCTGATCCGGAGATACCATATCTCGAATAGCGCTTGCACCCCCACCTGATATTGTATTTGGGTCCAAGTTTGGCAAGATATCCTTCAGCCTAGAGACCAGACCATTTTCGAGCAGTGTCTGCGAGACAGTAATGAAGGTGCTGCCCGCGAAGAAGTTGATGAATTGCAGGAACGACAATCCAATAGCTACGTCGCGGTCTGGAAGGACTGTTTGAGCTGCAATATTTGGCCCTTGCAAGACTGATCCTAATCCTGCGCCAGCGATGATCTGTTTCAAGTCAGTGTCCCGATTCTTAAGCAGAGATAAGAGTCTTTCCAACCTGGTATCCGATCCATATTCCAGCGCCTGTACTTACTGACCATGTCGTAAGCAGTGCTGACCCCACGATCAGGGCGCTGCCCCCGACAATCAGGAACGGAGTGTAGTATCCTACAATGCTCGTTGCAATGCCACTCATCATTACCGCAAGCACATTACTCAGAAAAAGTGGTAACAACGACAAGCCTGACTTTTGTGGCGATTTCCCCTGGACAACCTGGAACCAGATTGGCAAGTAGAAGGCGTAGTTAACGAGCACGGAGCCAATGCCTACGCTGGCTAGAGCTGCAGAGATAATGCTGCGCTGTCGAAGGATTCTTGGAGGCAGTGTAGCTTTGTCTCCACGCCACACTTGAGAGGCTATGAAGGCGAGGAGGAGGGTGCCGAAGACGACGAACAAGGCAATGACTTGACCACTATTCCAAGGATATTTTGACCCGCCCCACTCGATGGCGAAGAGTAAGCAGATGACTGAAGGTGCTATCAGGATGAATCCCAGAGGATCGAGTTGGGCCAACTTGCCACGCCAGGTTGGCGCAGCCTTGACTGCAGGCGGTGTTTTCGGCGTGAAGAAGACGAGGCATGCCAACGACACACCACCAATAGGCGCGTTGATCCAGAAGCACCAACGCCAGGTGATTGAAGTGAGATATCCTCCAAGAAGTGGTCCAAGTATGCTTGCAAGCCCAAAGACAGCACCAATACCACCTGTCCATTTAGGTCGAGCTTGGAGAGGAACAAGCGTGCTGATAAGTATGATTGCTCCAGAAGAGATACCTGCTCCGCCAATGCCTTGTATAACTCTCCCGACGATCAGAGCGTTAGATGTTGGAGCAGATGCACAAACTATGGAGCCAATCTCGAACACCGAGACGAGAATGATCAACACCCATTTGGTGGGATAGTATGTGTATACTAGACCGAACGAGAGCTGGAGAGCACACAGTGGAAGGAGAAAGCCTGATTCATACCAAGCTATATCTCCGAAGCTGTCGAAGTGGTTTGAGATAGCAGGTACGGCTGTCCCGATGATTGTTCTATCCTTTGCAGCATTTAGTTTTCGTCGTTGCCAAAAGCCTGCTGCTCCATCGAGACTTACTATAGCCACGAGAAACATCGCTAGGTATATCGCAAACATGGCTGGAAGAATGACCTTCAAAGGTGGATATTGTTTCTCGTCGTCTGTCTGGACTTGGTTCGGAAGTTTCTTGTCATCGTGAGTGGGTATGGTGTTCGGCTGTTCTGCGTCCATGATTGAAACCCAACCTCTGTAATCTGAAATTATAAATGAACATGGTAGGATATTGTGGGATACGCTTCCTAAATAGATCTCAACGGACAGCTAGGCAGCGAGGAAAACCTACCTGCAATGCTTCGGGTTATTGTTGATGATGAGGTGCTGCTTGGCTTGCCTCGGGGAGAGCTCCCCGAACGTTTCTCTGTCGCTTGCCCGAGCACTTCCCAAACCCACATCCATCAATGTTCTGCGACCAAGTTGGTGATTGTAACATTTCCCCGAGTTTTTCGAGATGAGCGGCCAGGCTTGTGAGCCGTGTTCGAGACGGAAAGTGCGATGCGACAAACAACAGCCATGTTCAAACTGCAAGCGGAGGAAGCAGGACCAATGCACTTACCCCGAAGCACAACCCATCGATCGCATCAAGAGACTAGAATCACTTGTCAGAAGTCTCGGCGGAGATCCGAAACATGAAAATGGTCGCCCTTCCAAACGGGTAAGGACAGATTCCGCTCCTGCCCGACAACAAGATGCTCGCGACACGCCCGAAGTCGAACGCGGACAACCTATCATGCTTGAACAAGATGGACAACCATACTATGTTGAGTTGCGTGCCTGGCATTCTCACATCGATCAAAACGGTGATTATCGCCAGATCGGACACAACCATGATGTGCTGATGAGCAGACCGCTTGTCTCAAGGACAAAGCCTGATGCCATGAAAGGTCTCATGCGTACAGATTATACCTTGAGTCTCTCATCGCAGCATCCTTCTATCCAAGATGCCAACTTCCTTTGGGACAAGTTCGAGCGCAACGCGAATCCTTTGATGAAGATAGATTTTGACTGGGCTCTTGAGCAAGTGCGCTCTAAATCGACGTCTTTCGAGGACCGCACACAGCTAAATGATGAGGATCATGCCTTCATCTTCTGCCTCTACCTGATGAGTATTGTCACATTGCCGGAGCAAGAGTGTATAGAAGTCTTGCATCAACCCAAAGAGGTGCTGCTCTCCCACTACCAGGCAATATGCGAGCAGGCATTGTCGCGCAGCAACATCTTTTGCATTACGAATATCATCGTCATCAAGGCGATTGTTCTATACATAGTATACTGCCTTGGTCCTCCACATGGTACTCCTGCTGATTCTGTCAGGCTGCTTCGATCGAGAGATTGAGTATACAAAGCTTGTTCTCACTGATGGGCCTCACGATTCGCAATGCTGAGAAATTGGGTATACATCGCGATGGTGCCCTTCTTGGACTGAGTCCAGCCGAGACCGAGAATCGTCGTCGCTTGTGGTGGTATCTCCAACATCTGGATCTCGCTCTCGGTGTTCGCTGTGGAACTACGCCACTTACACTAATGGCTGACTGGGATGCTCGGATCCCTCTCAACATCGAGGACCGCGATCTTAACCTGGACATGACAGAGGCGCCACCTGAGCACAGAAGTTTGACAAGTCTATCCTATTGCCTATGGACATTCTGGATTGTTTCACAACAACGAGAGTTCTTCAAAGACAACAAAGGAAAGCTTGGCATTACATGGGCATCTAACAAGAATATATCTCACGCCAGGAAGAATATTCTTCTGAACATCATTGAACAGGGGCTCAATCAAAACTTCCTCCAGTATTGCGATCCAATCAAGCCTCTCGACATCATCATACAGCTTACCTCCAGAGCCTTAATATGCACTTTCCGCATGTTCACCTTACACCCCATGTCATTTAGCGGCAGTACAGATATGACTGAAGATGAACGACATTCCCAACTTATGGAGGCGGCGATAAAGTCATTAGAGTACAACATCGCCTTGAACTCGCGTCCGGAAATACAACGTTTTCAATGGTATATCAAGGGTTATTTCCAATGGCATGCATGTTAGTTGAAGTTCTTGGCTTACATCAGAAATCAAGAACCTAACAGTACACAGTCATCAGTGTGATAGTGGAGGTCACTCAACTCAAAGCCTCGCCCAAAGCTCAGCGCATCTGGGATCTGCTCTCCGATCTCTATACCTACAACAAGAACCTCCATGAGCTTTCAGAAGACAGAAGAAAGTTCCATGCAGCCGAACTCATCGTCAAAGCTTGGAAGGCTCGTCAGACGGCTGATTCTTCAGCCCGCACCCCCTTGTGTGTCTCGATATTGGAGCCTCTTCTCTCAGCACATCGTGCAGACGTGGAACATGTCCAACTTCAGCCTGTCGGACAATCGCTAGAGCCAGTAATGACTGATGAAGATCTGAACGAAATTCTTGGATTAGAGTTTCAAGACATAGATTGGGGGTTCTGGGCGGGCATGGAATAGATTCGCAGAGACATGTTTTCTCAGGATATCTCTGTGCCGACACTTCTGGTTTGTAAAGTGACTATGCATTTTCACAGCTAGAATATAATAGTCTTTAGCACACACGGAGAGAGGGTAACCAACAGAAAAGACTGGTCCTCGTGGTGAAGGCTATCAGTGCGATACGTATAAGAGCGTTTTGCCGCGGTAAGGGCGGGCGCTTAAACAATATCGCCATCACATCACACCACCTGGGCGCGAACCAGCCTGAAAATCTACAGACTCACTACCAGCTGCACGATATGCTTGATTAGATGTCAGATATGCTGCTCACAGATGAGTCTTGTCGACGATATAGGTTCAACACCTCCTGACCCAGACACCTGGGCGTCTATTCTCGCCAATGTCTCAAGTATACAAATGCGTAGCGCCACTAAACAACCAATTTTTCTGATAAGCAGAATATCTTCTGTCACTCCAGGAATATCTTCATTGCCATGCTCACCAAAAAGGTGCGACCTCAAGCCCTGCTCGTCTTAGCCTGCTTTTGCGTCTTGCTGTTCCTGAACCTATCATCTCTTCGCCGTGTTCTCAAGACACGCAGTGTGCCAAAGGAAACATTGGAAAAGACGACTTTGTCATGCAGACATCTGGTAGGCGCAAATGAAACACTGGTAGTTCTCAAGACCGGATCCACCGAAATACAAGATCGACTCTCAATCCATCTCTCGACCACATTGCGATGTTACCCGAATTACATGATATTCTCCGACTTTGAAGAGGATTTTCGGGACGAGCATATATTCGATGCTCTGGATGGCGTTAGTCCAGACATTGTTGAACACCACAAAGATTTCGAACTCTACCGCAACCTCAGAGAAAACGGAAGGGCAGTGCTGAACACCAACGACCTCAGTGGTTCAGCGACTGAAGACACCCAATGGCACGGCAAAGTCGAGAACCCAGGTTGGAAACTCGACAAGTGGAAGTTTCTGCCTATGGTCAACAAGACTTTCCACGAGCATCCTGACAAGAAGTGGTATATCTTTATGGAAGCAGACAGTTACATACTTTGGGCATCCCTGTTGGAGTATCTGGCCGTACTGGATCCATCCAAACCACATTACACAGGAAGCATCATGTTCATCGGGGATACAGTATTTGCTCACGGTGGTTCTGGGTTCATGGTATCACAGCCAGCTATGCGTATGGTAGTGGAGAAGTACGCTGCGCATAAGGCCGAGATTGAAACTTATACTGACGGCCACTGGGCTGGTGATTGCGTACTTGGCAAAGTGTTCACGCAGGCTGGTGTGAAGTTTACCGACGCATGGCCTATTATGCAAGGAGACTACCCTGGACTCGTTGCTTATGCGCGCCCGGATGGACGGCCGATAGCAGATCCCAAGAAACGTGTGTGGTGTTATCCTACGGTATCCTACCACCATGTATCTCCGGACATGATTGACGACCTTTGGAGCTACGAACAGCATTGGCTTGATCAGAAGCCCGAGGAAACTCGTTTCCTCCGCCACAAGGATATCTTCAAGCAGTATATCTTACCAAGAATGTCCGCAGATCTTGCTGACTGGGACAACGAGAGCGACGGGGAGGAGGCCATTGTTGAGTCATTCGACGAGTGCAGGTTGAAGTGCGTGGACGCAACAGAGTGTAAACAATTTTCTTACAGCGAAGGCGGACATTGCAGGACTCGCGTGGATCCAAGACTGGGAAAAGCGACACCCGGTGTAAGATCGGGTTGGCTGCGAGATCGAATGGAGCGCTTTGAGCAAGACATGCCACCATGCGGAGATGAAGGTTGGATGATGTAGCGTCTGAAAAATCCCCTGTTGGATGCAAATAGGTCTCCTTGTTACGATTGTGTGATCGTGAGTGCCGCTTCTTGACTTAATTACGTGCCAGCTGTCCGAAGAATCTCGGTTAGGAAGTCTAACATGAGTCCGTCGGCAATTTTCTGTTATGCTTTCTCTGCCCTCCCCCTGGTGGCTTTTGGCTAAATGTGTGAACCAAGCTTCCAACGTACCTGCATGATTCTTGGTCGACGACGACAGATCGGTTGCACGCGAGCCATGTTCTCCACACACGGCCCGTTTCGCGGGAGGAGGGGACCCCGTGGGAAAGCACTCTTCTCCGAAAGCGGGACATGGAAGTGATCAAATGACATACCATTCTTCGCGGCTAAATGGTCTTCTCTTCAACTATCACAGAGCCGCATACCCAGCTGCAGCTTGCAGTGGGGTACTGGATAGGGCACAGAAGATGAGTGATTCTGACAGTCTTGCCCTATGCATGTAAATACGGGGACCATGCGAACTCTCACTGTGTGATGAAGGTCGTTGCAGTCTCGCGATCAAGATGTAAAGTGTTGGAGTGCACAATTGGGTCCTGGACACGACTCTGGCCATGAAGATAGCCACAAGCAAGTGTCTCTCCGTGGAAACAACATTCTTTACAGAGGTATCGCACATTTCCATAGCTATGATAAATCAACAGACTGTAGCACACGGGAAGGCAGAAAAAGTCTAGATGGCATTGAAACAACTGCCGCACGTCCGATCAGTCCGTGTGGAGACGGGGTAAATGCTTCATCGAGGCTAAAGTGGACTTGCATGATGCATCGAACATCACAGTAATGACAGAAAGAGTGGCAACAACCCTAGAGATGGCGATCAAGAGATATATAAAACCATGTCCGAGTCTGAGACACCGAACATCAAGGCCAAGACTTCCATCATGGCACCTGTCAAGAAGCTCGCCGTTCTCACGGCTGCAGCTGCCTGTCTTCCTTATGCTATTGGAGCAGTCATTGCTCCTCCCCCTTCTGCTCTTTCCAATTCGCAATCATCTTTGACCTTGCTTTACCAAAACAACCTCAACTTCACCGACGATGTCAACCATATCAGTGCTATTCTGCTGGACCCATCGACTGCTGCTAATGCAGCCACCGGATGCGCAGCCCTGAACGAGACACTGATCTCGCAATCTGCCCTACAAGCACACTCTCAGGACTTTGTCAACCAACTCTCGTATATCATCTACGCTGGTCGCGCCACACAAGACCAAAAGTGGCACATTGCAAGCGGACAGACTGTAGAGGTCCACAACAATGCCTTGAAGTTCGCCAAAGCTGGTCCAGGCAATGTTCTGCCAGTGCTTTGCACGCAATCTAGCCAGAGCAACATGCCAAGCAACGCTGTAGCCTCTGCTTCCAACGAGATCAAGGTTGCTTCCTCTGGCAACACCTACGTAGGCTTCAGGAACAAGAAGTCCTGGCGTTTCCAGGGCATTCCGTTCGCAAACCAACCCGAACGTTTCGCCTACTCGACTTTGTACTCCAAGACTGGACAAACAATTGACGCCACAAAGTACGGCCCTGACTGCGCGCAACCTTATGAGAGCTCTAGCAGCGAGGACTGTCTCTTCCTCAACATTCAGACTCCCTATATCCCTAAGGCTGGGTCCACGAAGAACCTTCGACCAGTACACTTCTGGATTTATGGTGGTGGTTTCACTGGCGGTTCAGGTGCTAGTGCAGGAAGTGACGGTGGTCAGCTGGCCTCGAGAGAAGACATTGTCGTTGTTGAAATAAAGTGGGCTTTGAAACCGTGTCTAACATAAGCCTGACTGATGCTTACACGTTGCAGCTACCGCTTGACTACCCTGGGTTTCCTCGCCATCCCAGGAACAAACATCACCGGCAACTACGGTATCTCTGACCAAGTCACTGGACTTGACGTAAGTGTTCTACATTCGATTGAAGTGATAGATTGCTGACATGATGCAGTGGGTTCTCAAGAACATCGCAAGCTTCGGAGGTGACCCCCACAAGATCGTGATCAATGGCGAGTCTGCAGGTGCTGGTTCAGTACGTACGCTTCTCGGATCTCCAAAGGCCATCGGCAAGTTCAGAGGTTCTATTGCCATGTCGAACCTGGGAGGTGGTGTCGATCTGGGCTTGACTGGAGGTAAGTACTTGGCGAATTGAACGTGACGTCGGTGTATTGACATCATTTTCAGATTATGCCACAACCTACAGCTCTTTCTTGACTCCTGCCGAATCGTACGCTCGCAGCGAAGCGCTGTTCGGCGAAATTGGCTGCAACCAGACAACTCTTGACGCTCGTATCTCGTGCTTGAGAGCTGCACCTGCGCAGACTATTGTTAACGCTGCCACGGTCGCCAGATATGTGGTCCAGGATGGAACCTACGTCGACACTGAAACCCTTGATGTCTACAACCGCAATGGCAGCGCTGCAAACGTCAACACAATCTGGGGAACCACCGCCAATGATGGTGCATCCTTCTCGACTTACCCCACGACCCCAGTGACGAGTGAACTGGCAGGTATCATGGCGGCCTTGGGCATCTCTCAGGCATATGCTCAGTCTATCATTGACTCTGGACTTTTCCCTTACTACGATACTGGTAACGTGACATTGGATTCGTTCAATGTATCGCAGAGAGTAGCCACTGACAACCAGTTCCGTTGTATCGACGAAGCCACCGTGTATGCAGGTGTAGAATCCGGCGCTTTCAAGACTTCATACTTCTACCAGATGCAGAGGACGTCAGGTGGGTATGACCCAAATAATCTTGGAGGTCCTCCAGTGGAACCTGGTTATCCTTACGGAAATCCCGAGAAGCCATACTTCAAGCTTCATGGTTCCGACATGCCTTGGGTTTTCGTACGTATCCCCAAGCCGAAAACGATAACGTGATGTGCTGACACATGGCACTAGGGTAATTTGAACCCTCTGCGTGATGCCAATGACCTCAAGTCGGTCCAGTTGGAGAGTGGTTACTTTGCCGCGTTTGTCCGTTCGCTAGACCCCAACCCGCCAGCCAGCTATCTCCAGGTCCGTGGCTACACCAATACTACCCAGGGAGTCAAGGAGAGCGGCCCATGGCAGCCTGTTGCCAATGCCAGGGGTCCCATGAAGTTGCTGGATTTCCCTTCATTGACTGCCGACTTCCAAGATCTGCCTCAGGTGAGTTTCAAACATGATCCAACAATCGTGGATCTATACTGATGGCTGTCAGTGCGCCTTCCTCAACTATTCCATCAGCTACTACGTTGATGGTGGTATGTAAGGTGGGATAAGTGCGATTTGAGTGAACGAATGTGCAGAAGTTATGTACATGGCAGTATAATCTTTCTGCCTGTATGTAGTTAAAATTGATGTTTGAGGATATGACATGTCGTTCTATATCCCGGACGGTTCTCTCCGATTGAGGATGATGCAGTTTGGCCGGCCTGTCATGCTTCTCCAGCGTAAAAACATATCTGCCGGCAAAGCTGGTAGAGCGTAGATCGGCAGTGTGTGATGAGTTCGCTCAGTGGTTGAGAATATTGCGATTGTCGTTCGTCCATGTGCCTCTTTCCTCAAGCTTTCTTTGGCGATTTTGTCATTTCTCTCAGTTGACTCTCCAGACCTTGCAACTCGGTAGTCTTTTCCTCCTTTTCCTCCATGGCTTCCAGTCTCAGCCAGCCGTAGTGTAGTACTTGGTATGTGAAGAGAGCCATCAAGAAGACTTTTGCGATTGGACGGCCAAAAGATTTGTAGAAGGCGCGCTGGAGGCAACACTGTCAGCAACGCGGTCGTTGGAGTCGCAAGATCTCTCTTGGAAAGAGCAGGAGTGGCGCGATGAAAGGCTCGGATTGGGGTCGTCATACATGCGGGTTTTCTGGTTCTGAAGGTGTGGGCGGTTGGTAGGTTGGTTGTTGGCGTAGCGGTCTGAAAGTCGAGAAAGCGGCGCGAGAGGACCTTGAGGCCTGGAGTCTGGAGGTACGTGCTAATGTCGACAACATGGTTGCTGCTTGAGTGTGTGTATTGGATAGTAAAGAAAGAGCTTCTTCAGATGATTGCACAGTTGCATGTGAGACTCGAGAGTGGAGACGCGGCGCATCGGCCAAGCAAATGCGAAATGTGGGGATCCCGCTTGTTCCAGAGTTGACCAAGTGTTCTCGAAGGGGAAGGGGGGCTTCACATTGATGATCTGTTGTTTCTTTCTTCTACTACACCTTTCTGTTGACAACTTCTCTTATACGAACTCGGTTATACTGTTGCCTTGATCCTCGAAAGTACATAAGGACATTCTCTGTATTCTCTTACAACTCAAACACATCCACATCAATCACAATGGTAACTTGACCCCAGCTACCATACCAATCTGGAAGAGCACACGAGCTAATCAGAGTCAAAAAAGGTCCAAACACCCCAACAACGCCGCGCAAACGAGGCCTTTGCAAAGAAACAAGAAGTCAAGCGTGGAAAGCCCGAACCCGCCGTCAAGAAGACCACTCCCCAAAAGAGTCCCATCAGCAAGTTTTGGCTTTGTGAGTAGTCGCATATGCACCATCACGCTGCAGATACAGAAGCTGACCAGTGTTGTTACAGTCGCCTTGCTGTTCGTCGTTTGCGGTGGACTCGTGTTCGAGTTGTTGCGCATCATCGTTGGTTACTTCTGAGCGAGGAGCACTCGACGATATGAGATACCCCTAAGAGACGACACTTGGATCTGAGAAGAGCAGACACACTGGACACCCCTGGCAAGAAGATGATTAAGCTGTAGGCAGACAGGGTCGAAGGGTCACACAAAAAGAGCAGGCGATTGCACCTCGAGTCTCGAGACGACACATCGCCCGTTCATTGCATGTCGCATCGGAGTTTACGGCGTTATCTGGGCAATCTCCCAGCATGGGAAGGTGCTGGTCATACAGCAAGGAGTCATAATACGCAAGGTCCAAGTGAGAGATCCGGCAGATGCACAAAGAAAGCTTTTCGTTCCATCATGGTTGTGTGAAATTCTAAATGACAAGACACCAGTTCCTGTGATTCTATTAATCTAGCCTATCTTCTGCCCTTGCGCCTGACTGTACCGCTACTTTTGCTCGAGACTGGTACTCTTCTCAGCCCAAATCCTGGCTCGACTTCGATCCTAACCCCTTGCCCGCCAGAATCATCACTACTGCTTTCACTACTTGCCGGCCGTGCTCCTGGAACCACCTCGGCTTCCCTGTTCCCTCGAGCAAACGCCGGTTCAACGTTGTAGAGCGGCGATCCTTGCGGTGCTCGCCTCAGTTTTGCGTACGAAACATCAGACGAGGGTATGGGCCCTTGGCGAGACTGTGCACCAGACAAGGAAGAAGGTCCGAGCATATCGGGATATGCTACTCCTGGAGATGGTCGGCTTGAAGAAGCCCATGCGTTCTCATCGTAAAGAGCTCGATTAGAGGACGAAGAAGGTGCTCGCACATCAGCACCATAGCCGCGAGCAGAGTATGCTTCGTATGGCGGGGTGACATTGCGAGTACTATTCCCCGAAGGCCTTCTAGGCGGAGAAGGATAGTAATCAGTAGAAGCGTACATTGGCACACCATCAGAACCCCTGATCATGAATGCTGGTGGTGTCGAGCCCGACGCACGAGCAACCGGTTGCTGTTCATTTGATGGCTTCCTCGAGGTCTTTGGCGTTCGTGAACGAGAGTGCGATGGTGACGTACCGCCGAACAGGCCAATACTTGTTCTTCGTGGCCGGGTGTTGGTCAAGCTCGTGGTGCTACTAGACCGACTTCCTCTGGTCTTGTTCTTGTTCGGTGTACTTGGCTCGGACGTGTCCCTTGATTGAGTGCTGCTTCTTTCCAACGCTGCCATCTCTTCAACACTCAGACTGACGTTCGTCTTGCCTTTGACACGTGCTCTTCTGAGTTTCTCCTTGGCTGATTGAACCAGTATATTCTCTCGTGATGATCGTGTCAGCGCGTTGTCGTGATAGTAGTCGTCTTCCTGCGGACCTTGCGGCCTTCTCTCGTATGCAGTGTCATCCGCTCTTCTTTCTCCCCATGCAGAGCTCAAGTCATAACCAGTGAACAACAAATCGTCTCCAACGAAGTCCTCTCGCGGCAGTCGATCGGCGGACCTGGACTTGAAAGCAGCAGGATCAAGATGAACACGCTGGTATCCGTCATCGCTCTCGTCGCCAACGTCCAAGAACCTCCTTCGCCGAGCTTCGAACTCGTCCTTCCACATCTCTCCACTTCCCCCAATAGCTCCGGATGGTCTTCCCCAATGAGGCATATCGTACGGAGCCTGCGGCCGACCATTTAGACCGCCTCCTCTGAAAAAGCTGACTCGATGGGCTTTTCCATGAACGCTGCGTGACCGATAATGCTGACACCAGAGGCACCGATGAGCCAAAGAGCGGAGCCAAAGGGGTTGGAGAAGATGGCAAGAGGCACGGCGATGATAACCAGACCGGTGTAGAGCTGCGAGGTAGTGGCGCGGAAAGTACCAATCTCGATATCACGACCCTCGAGTTTGCCGATACCGTACATACCACCAACGACGAGGAGAATGACGAAAGTCAGGAGCCAGTTGGTGATCAAGGTGTAGATGCTCAGCATAACAAAGAGAACGGCATAGTTGCTAGAGAAGTAGCCAAGGTTGTAGTTGACACGGTTCTGAACCTCGCCAAAGTTCTGAGGCTTTGAGATTTGCTTGAAGTTGAAGAACTCGGAGAGGGGCTTCAGGTTGGCGAAGCGGGAGCTGACGGATTGGGAGCGAACATTGTCGAAGCGACCCTGGAGGTTGAGACGCGAAGTGATGGCGTCGAGTGGAAGGTTGATGGGCATTTTGACGGGAGTTGGCAAAGCAGAAGGAGTCAGAGAGTTGTTCGAGTCGACGAGGGTGAGGAGTGTTTCAAAGTTGGGTCTAAAAGGGGAAGTCAGCCGTAGTCAACAGAATTTCTTTGTTTGCATGTGAAGGCGGCCGCGAGCGTCGTGGGGACGGGAAGCAAAGGACTCGACGATGCGAACTGGGAAAGACTCACATGATGGAACTTGTGGAAGGAGGAACGACTGGCGAGTGAGTTGGCGAGGAGTAAGGATTCAACAAGAAGATAGAAAGGTAGTTATGTGATTACGCATGCAACGTGTTTATTTGAGCAGCTTCGTGGAATCAAGAGGCGCAGCTCGAGGGTTGAGCCACATCTCCAGTCAGCCACAATTCAAGCTTCAGGAGGAGCTGAGCCCCTGAAGTCGATTGAGAACTTGATTTCTCAAGTCGAAGCAGTAGGAGGCAAGAGAGGAACGAGATACAGAAATTGGGTTGACCTTTTCTTGAAACCGATTGAGAAGAACGAGGAAAGTCGTCGGGGACTATATAAGACTTAACAGGAAATAGTTGCAGAATACTATAAAGAGGACCAACGTGGTGGTGACACGACTTGTCTGGGGAAACTAGACCAGGCACTTTCTGCCGCTCCTGCAGCTCCATCACATTTCTTTGCAGCCCGACACTTTCATCCCAAACGCAACCATGGCCCGTCTACAGGGTTCTGTCCTGCTTTTGCTCTTGTGCTTGGTAGCCCTCGTCTGCGCTTGGTCGCCCGAAGGTAAGCCCAAGGCTTTTTGGCCTCGACTGCATCTCAATCATCAATGCTAATGACAGCTGGCAGACCATGAAATTTTCCGTCTCCAGGATGAGGTAGCTCAACACGAAGGCAGCAATGCTACCTTCTACTCTTTCCTTGGTGTAAAGGACTTTGCAAGCCGCGACGCCATCAATGCTGCATACAAGAAGAAGGCCCGTGTCTTGCACCCCGACAAGGCCCGTCAACGTTTCATCGCTTCCTACGACACCGCCCCACCAGTCAAGAAGTCCAACAAGGGCGACAAGCCCACTGTCCACGTCCACAAGAACAAGAAGCCTTCGCAAAAGGAGATCAATGCTTTCAGCAAGGAAGCCTCTGCTCGCTTCGCTCGTCTCGGCATAGTCACAAACATCCTCCGTGGCCCTGAGCGCCAGCGCTACGATCACTTCCTCAAGAATGGCTTCCCCAAATGGCGTGGTACCGGCTACTACTACCAGAGATTCCGCCCTGGTCTCGGCTCCGTCATGATCGGTCTGTTCGTCTTCCTTGGTGGTGGTGTTCACTACCTTACTCTCTACATGAACTGGATGAAGCACCGTGACTTTGTCGAGCGCTACATCCGTCAAGCTCGTCGTATTGCTTGGGGTGACGAAGTTCAAAACATTGCTGGTATTGGAAATGGTACACCTGCCCCCGCTGCTGTCCCTGAGCCCTCATCCGAGGAAGAACCTCAAGCCATGAACTGGAACAGAAAAGAGAAGCGTGCCGCCGAGCGTGAGAGCAGACGTGCTGCAAAGAAGCCAAAGTCGACCAGAGCTGCCATTGTTGAACAAGCAAAGACTTCTGGCGTCAGCACTCCTGTCGAGGCCGAGCTTACCAGCGGTCCTGTTGGCGCAAAGAAGCGCACTATCGCTGAGAACGGCAAGGTCCTCATTGTTGACAGTGTCGGCAATGTCTACCTTGAAGAGCGTACCGAGGAAGGTGAACTTCATGAGTTCTTGTTGGACGTGAGTATGACCTAAAACATAAGCTGTGACATGTGCTAACTTTCATCAGGTCGACGAGATCCAGAAACCTACCATTAGCGACACCTTCTTGGTTCGCCTGCCCATCTTCCTCTACAACAAGTCTGTCGGTACTCTTCTTGGTAAGAAGACAACTGAGGCTGAAATGGAGGAGTTGCTCGAGGGTACCGAAGAGGTTGAGGGCGTCGACGAAGTGACCGCCACACTCAAGTCTGCAGCTCAACCCAACGGCAATGCTGAAACTCGCAAGAGAAAAATCAAGCCCAGCAAGTCGAGAGCCAGCTAGATAAGTTAGATGATATATAAAAAGTGTTTTTGGTTCTTTCTACGCCCTGTTCGCACTTCTTTGCTGATTGTTATGAAACAAAGACTATCCTTCTTCGCTGATAACTCCCTAGAAGTGACAAAAGCAACGCGGTGTTATGTTGATGCCAGTCAGCTTTGCTTCCATCGAACTGGTGGAATGGCGCAGCGGTCGAGCTCACGCGTGTCTCCCGTCTAGTAGACCAGTGTCCACCGGTTCGATTCTCACTGAGGCCATTGAGAGGTCCCAGTAATCCTCGCACGACAAAAATCGAGATGAAAGCTTTGCTTTCTCTGCCCTCCCCAGCAACACGGCGGCTGGAGCGGTTTCTGTTTTGTCAAGGTTCTTTTTATATGATCAACTCAGGAAAGTGCACTCCCCCTCGTGTTGGTGATTGCTCTTTCTATCTCGTCTGCAAAAAAAACTCACGAACATATACGCTTTCCCTTCTCAAAGTTGTTCTCCCAAGACTTTTTCCGCGAACACTAAAGTTTTCGATTCACTTGCTGCGCCAGTCTCGGACAGGACCCAACGCTCTCACTTCCTTGCTTAGCCTTTCGATCTACCCATGTTCTAAAGTCTGCAACTTCCACTGTACTCCGCCTATAGCGACGAGCATAAGGCATACTGTAAAAAGGCACAACAGTTTTTAGAAAGCACAGGTATATACACAGAGAGTCGACAACTTGTTGCATCTCAGTGGACACCATCATCTTTCCTGTTACTATCGTGCAATTCGATAGCTATACGCGTTACATACTTTTGAACACGAGGAGGGTGCGCGGAGAAGGAACTAGGCTTGATGAATAGGTCGGAAGAGGAAAGAAGCAGCCAGATGTTAGCCAACATACAATAAAGCTCAGCTAGCAAAAAGGTCGAACAGATCAGGCAATGCGAAAAGGAATACCAAGTTCGAACGCTCTTTCCATCTGATATACGCCACTGATGACTTGACAGAACTAATGTATAAAGGTAGAGAAGAGACAGGCAAGAGGTGTAACATACACAAAAAGAGCCAAACAGATCGTTGAGATTTTCCGCCAAAACGCCAGAGCTATTTCTACAATGAAGTAATGTACAATATAATTAAGGAAAGGCGCAGATGGCTGGAGATCATTAACGGTACTTTGCCAAATCATCCTCCTGTTCTGCTGCTTCGAGCATTTCGTCATCGAGGCCTACTTCGTCACCAACAACGTCAACACATCTTCCACAAAGCGAGTCGGGCTCGTCGGAGGTAAATTGCCAGCATCTAATGCACTTCTCTCCGTTGGGAGGCAAGACGACAGCCTTTCCTGTAGCAGGTGCATTCTCGTCTCCGCATTCAAATTCACATTCGAATTTCCAAGCTGGCGGCTCTTCGGGTTCAAGAAGTGTGGCGCGAAGCTCCTCATCAGGTTCTTGTTCCGCAATCTTGCGGCGGAAGTCAGGATCGTCGGGAACCATGTCAGCTTCAGATACAACGAAGAGTTCGGCTAGTTCATCGGTGCTGCGTAGATCGGACAGCAAAGCCAAGCATACACTGCCTGTCTCACGAGGCATCCGTAATTCAACACGGCATGCCAGACCACTACCAAGTCTGCCTGCTCTACGTGCATTTTCTTGAGCGGCTTTGACGGCTGTTGAAACAGTGTTGAAGACTTTTATCACTTTCTCCATCGCACCCTCAGCTTTGAAGGAGTCAAATTCGGCACTGAATGGGTATTCCCATGTTCTTCGGTTGATGTTCATGACGTCGTATTGGTGCCACTCTTCAGGAATGTGTTGCCATACCTCTTCGATAAGGTGAGGCGTAATGGGGCCCAACATATGACAGAGCTCTTCCATGATGATGAAGAGCACCGTTTGCGTATGCCTACGAACCTCTTCGTCCTCGGCATACAATCTATCTTTTATGACCTCAAAGTAGAATCCGGAGAGATCTGCATTGATAAATTTGTTGAGAGCTTGTACGCCCTTGTGGAACTCGTAGGCGGCGTAGTGCTTCCAGACTTCTGCTGCAGTCTTGGATAGCTGGTGTAGGGCAACCTGGTCAGCGAAGTAAAGTTCTTTCATAAAGTCTTCAACAGGCAAAGGAGCAGGATAATCGTGCATGACTCCGAGTAGCCACTTGAACGTCGTGCGGTATTTGTGGAGTGATGAGTGTACAGCTTGGAGGACAGGCTGGCCAATGACAACATCCTTGGTATAGTCACTGCTTGCAACCCATAATCGTAGAGCATCGGGGCCCATGGGGTCTTTCTTGGTTTGAGTGGGGCGAGGGACAACCTTTGTTCCTTTCTTTGTCTTTGCAGGAGGGATGATAGTTCCGCTGATGATCTCCTCGGGCGAGATAACGTTGCCCAAAGACTTGCTCATCTTGCGACCGGCCTGATCAAGGGTGAAGCCGTGGGTAACAATGGCTCCAACAGGAGCATTTGCAGTATCAGTCTGACCAGAGAGATGAGTTAGGAGGAGAGATTGGAACCAACCACGATGTTGATCAGAACCCTCAAATATCATGTCTGCAACGGAGCCGTCTTCACGCTTGTGGAGTTGAGCCCAAGATGTTCCACTGTCGAACCAGACATCCATAGTATCTTTTCCGCGAACATATGAATCACGATCAAGTCCAGGTGCAATCCAAGCAGGATCGTCGGGGGTATCAGCCCACCAAGCATCAGTACCACGCTGTTGAATGGTCTTGATGATGTGCTCAATGCTCTTGACGGTGAGAAGTGCCTCGCCAGTCTCCTTATGGAACAAGGCTGGGATGGGTACACCCCAGCTTCGCTGACGGGAAATGCACCACTGACTACGGCCCTTCAAGAAACTCTCTAGGCGCGATTTGCCAGTGTCTGGAATGAACATGATGTCTTGAATAGCCTTGAGAGCGGATTCCTGGACGCTTCCGACATTGGCAAACCATTGGTCGGTAGCTCTGGTAATGACTGGTTGCTTTGTTCTCCAATCGATAGGATTCTTGTGTCTGAAGTTGTGGGTCTTGAAGACCAGAGAGGAACCGGACTTGAGCGAAGGCACGGAAAGCCTTGAGTGAGGGTTCCTGAGCAGGGCGACGACAGCCTTCGCGCCTTGCTTCTCGACAGGGAGGCCATGAAGATAGGAAGGATCTGAGGGGAAAGCCTTGGTGGTGTATTTTCCATGATCATCGACAGGGGCAAAAGCAGGACCAATGCCCAGCTTCATGCAAACATTGTAATCGTCCATACCATGACCAGGGGCGATATGCACGAGACCAGTACCCGAGGTAGCAGTGACGAAGTCGGCGTGGATGATTCTGTTGTGCTCAGCAGAGATGACGTTGATGTACTCGGTGTTCTCCAGGTCAGAACCAGAAATATTGTCGACAAGGACGTTGATGGCGGCGCCCTCTGGCAGATGAGTATGAAGGGATTCGACACGGTCCTTTGCAACAATCATTTGGCCTTGCAGGTCGTTGGGTAGGTCATTACCGGTGACCTGGAGCAGTACATAGTACATATCGGAACGCACGGCGATAGCCTTATTGGCAGGTAGAGTCCAGGGCGTTGTGGTCCAAATCAAGGCGCTGACCGAGTCGGCCTGGACGGCCGAGTTGTTGGCGAGTGCTGAGGGCAGCTCAAGCAGAGGGAACTTGACGAAAGCAGCGACAACACGGTGGTCCTCGTCATATTCGAGTTCGGCCTCGGCCAGGGCGGTTCTGGAGGAGGGCGACCAGTGGACGGGCTTGTTCTGGCGGTAGATCAGACCTGTCGGAGGAACAATCAGTATGGCACGCTACGGGCTGACATGGCTGACAGGGACGAACCTCACCTTTTGCGACCATGTCTTTGAAGACTTGCAGCTGCTTGATCTCGAAGTCGGCGTCCATGGTCTTGTATGGCTTGTCCCATTCGCCCATGACTCCCCAGGATCGGAAAGCCTCCATTTGCTCTGAGATGGTTTTTGTTGCCAGCTCCTTAGCAGCCTTGCGGATGTCCAATGGGCTGAGACCAGCACCATGGGCAACACTGGCCTCCTGCTTGGGATCATCTACCAGGCTTTTAGATTCTTTGTGCAGGCTCGATCGTTGATGCGCCTGAAGAGCCTTGAGCTCAATTGGCAAGCCATGACAGTCCCATCCTGGCCTGTATTCGACCCTGAAGCCTCTCTTTGCGTATGTTCTCAGGATGATGTCCTTGTTGATTTTGTTCAAAGCGTGCCCAACATGTACAGGGCCGTTTGCATATGGAGGACCATCGTGAAGGGTAAAGGTGTTGCGCTCGCCTCTCTCGTTCTCGCTCGGTCGGTTTTCCTTCTGCCAGGCATAAAAGTCGTCGGCGCATTGATTCCGGTATTTGAGAAGTTCCTGAGTGGAGGGTCTGGCGGGAAAAGTCGACTTGGGCAGGTGTAGCGTTTGCGACCAGGAGCCTGCCTCTGCTGCCGCTTGGAGTCCGCGTGTCAATCGGAACATGATGGTGCTTTCCTTCAGCCAGTCCGCATCTCGTTCCTTCTCTTGATTTGCTCACCACTCAATTGTGGCTGGCTCTTGCCTTTGCGGAAAAAAGTCGCCATAGCTCCTGGTGCTTCTGCGGAGAGCGGAAGTGCGCCTTGGCGTGACTTCCTCCATCTCCTCCACCTTTCTCCTCTTCCATCTCGCACGATACGTACCTATAAATCGTGCTTCTGCCTTGCGATACAAGCCAACGTGACCTTGAAATGTTACTTCGTCGGCGTGTCTCTGCTTACCACCCTCTTATCCAAACCTGCCTGAAACAAATCTCATCAACAAGGCGTACTCAACTTTGGAAGCTTATCAGCTATTGCACCATCTATTAATCGAGAAAATCTTTCTCTAACAAGACATCTCCTCCTGTGGGCAGTTAATATTTCGCCTACTGGTAGGGTCATTTGTGAGTCTCAACACCACTCGAGCCTTGCCCATGCATGCATGTTTGCCTTATCCACATCAACAACCAATCTTCTCGTGTATTTCCTTCGTTCGCTCGCCACGTTTCAGAAATGATCAAACATGCATGGCGTTGGTTGCTTTGCTCAAGTCTTTCGTCAAGGTCAATATTGGCCAATATATGAGCCTGCAAGATGCCCCAAGGATTGTCATACTGTCTCTGCTGTCCATCTCTAGCCACCTCAAACTTGCATGATCATGTCCATCCATACTGCTTTCTTCTGTGTCGGCTTGATGTTCGATGAGGTAGGCCATGTGTTAATCATCAATAGCTCCGCTACTGAGTGATTTTCTTCCTAGTGTGGTACTTGTCAAACAGTCGCTGAGCATTGGAATGATACTGCAACCATCGTAGCTTGGCTAAAGGTTGGTTGTCCCTGTCATCTTTCGAGACAAATTCTCACTGCCCTAGAATACCGCCGTTCTCAAACGCAAGGTTAACGGACAGAGGTCCTGGGAAGATAAACGTAGATGGACTCACAGGATCCTGTGCGACGCAGCTCTTGTCTTCCTAGGTTTCTGGCTGATGATTCACAGCATCGCTATACGCTCAACTTCTACGCCACCAAGTTCTTTGCAATTCGTCGACAAGACATTAACCAGGCGGCCTGTCTCTCTTGATACTCGCAACCTGCTATGTGAGCATATTCCTCGAGATCGTGTCAACCATATAGGAGCTCCTCTGCTCTATTTGAGACACGATTGCGATATATGCCAAGGTATGTGCCTCCTTTTTGGGCCAAAGTCATGTCCGCTAACAAACCTTTGAGTCGCTGTACTTCGTGCAGATGTACCAGAACCCGCTGACGTACCGCCGATACCATTCTCATGGCAAACGGCGATCTGGAAGCAACATAGATTGAGTGCATCAATCATCGATTGTTCCGACTTTCGCTTTGCAATGTTGAATAGCAGTCTCGAGCATCAGATTCGACATCTGTACGACTACAGAGCCCTTCCTTTTCTTATCTTGCAAATCTACATTGAGGAACTCTTGAGCAATATAGGGAGAGCGAAACGCTCTGAGTACCGCATCGATCCACCCCCAACGATGATCGAGAAGTTCAATCACCACATCAATCTCAAACGCCAATGTCTCGCATACATAACCTTTCTGTGCTGGCTCATTGACTTTGACGTCTTGATCGAGACCATGTTCGCCTGCGAGCCATGCCTCAGATCATGCCTCCTACACGATTTACCTATTATCCAAGCGATCCTGAAATACGCCGACCAAGAACTCAGCCACCTCAACCAACTCCTACAATTTCAACTCTGTTGCGAGCACCCTCACCTACCACCTCCACGTCCACCTACCCCGAAGCCACCGACTCCAAAACCATCAACACCTCATCCTCCACCCCCAGAGCCACCACACTGTTTTTGCTGTGACCACTGCACGCAAACAAAGCATACGACGTATCTACTATTGATCTTCCTCGTCCCTCTTGCAGTGGCACTCACCCTCTTCATTCTCTACATCCACAACAACTGGACATCAAGATGGCTCTTTTGCCTACTCGTCTTGGCATTGATCTGCCATTTACTCATTCGACACTATATCCGATCTTCTTTAAACTCCATCCGAGACACCTTCTCTGCATATGTGTCGGAAACCAAGAAAGCGATTGTTGCGGCTTTGGTCTTACTTACTGCATTCCTGGAATAGTAACCAAAGGTCTCTCTGCGTCCGCATTTCGTTTGTGGATCAAGGTATCGGCTATCTGGCGCATTTCGCGATCGGTTGATTTAGTTGTTAGAATCGCTGAGGACACTGAACGATTTGTACACTACAAAAATGCACAATGCTTTCCGGGGTTGATGAGTGTAAATCAAACAACTTATCGCTTCCTTGTGAGCACTGTCTCGTGCCGCAGTGATCGCACAGGGGTAGTGTAACGCGAACTGCAACGTACCTGCGCAAAATTATTTGACACCTGATTGTATAACCAGCACAAGGTAAAGCTCAAAGGGATTTGTCGATGTAGAGGATATGACGATACGAAACTCGAACATTCACACAGGCACGCGAGCGAGATATGAAGTAGAAAAATGTTGTACTGCTTTTTGTATAATGGGTATTACAGAATTTATGCTGGGACAAGTGTACAGACGTAGCGATTCGTAAAAGAAAAAGTCCTCCTCATCTCAACCAGATGCTGAAAGGCGTCATTTTGATGCGACGATTAAGGGTGTAGGTAGACGATTTGCTTAGATGAGGGCAGCGAAGCCAAGGGCGGCACCAAGGACACCACCGACAGCAGGTCCGTTGTAGGCAGCGGCACCAGTGCTGGTGGCAGAGGAAGCACCCGAAGAGGCACGCGAGGAGGCGGATGAGGCAGCCGAGGAACCGCTCTTGGAAGCAGAGGAGGCTTCTGAAGATGCACCCTTAGAGGCAGACGAGACTGCAGAAGAGACCTTCGAAGAAGCGGAGCTCAAAGCACTGCTACCAGAGCTGAGAGCAGACGAGGCCGAGGACTGCAGGGCAGCGGCTTCAGATGAGAGAGAGCTCTTGGCCGAGCCAGTGGCAGTAGACTGAGCAGCGGAGAGGGAGCTCAAGCGAGAGCTGATGTTGGCGCTCTCGGAGGCAAGCGCCATAGAAGCGGATGAAAGGCCAGATGAGGCACTGCCAGTAAGAGTGGTAAGGGCGCCAGCGGCTCCAGAAGAACCGGCGCTGACAAGAGAAGAGGCACCTGAAACAGCATCGCTAGCGACTGACGAAGCTCCAGAGACTGCAGCGGTAGCGACTGATGAGGCACCGGAAATACCCTGACCAACACCAGAGGTGGCATCGGAGAAGACTGAGTCGGCACCGCTAGTTGCAACAGAGACGATGGAGCCACCAACCGAGGTGATATCGGAGATGATTTGGGCAGAGGCCGAGGCGGCGAGGGCAGCGCAGACGAAAGAGTACTTCATTTTGATGGTTGTGTTGTGGTAGGTTGAGGTTTGATGTGAGGTGTGTAAGTTGTCTGTAGGTGACGAGAGGTTTGATGAGCAAAGGTGTAGATGAATTGTGAGTTCAGTATGAGTGAGCAGTGGCTTATATATGTTTGGAAAGGAAGGCGTGACTTGACTTCACTTGCATCACAACATCCGGCCACCAAATGACGGGGCAAGCATGAAACCCATCCTACCGCCGAGGAATCCGATACGGATCACATCTTTCCTTCCTCTAGCCATGTATTGAGGCTGATTCTGATTGGCCGAGGCCATTCTGTTTTGCCAATTTACCTTCCTGCTTTCCATGTTACGAGCAAAAGGAGGCTGATCCCCGTACACTTGGACAATTTCTGGCAGGTTCTAGCCTCCAATATGACGCAGTTGCGTACGAAAGCAGCTGTGCAGGACGTCACAAGCTTCCGGAGGCGAATTGTTCAGGGAGGCGTTGCCGTTGTTTCGACGTTCGAGGTTCAGGGGGCAGCTACGTAACGCGGGGAACCTTGGCTGGAGTGATCTGTTGGCTCCCGAGATTTTGCATAAAATATTCTATTTATGATCATGATCTTCCGGTTGGCTTGGTTGTTTTGATTTTCCAGGTTTTGTCACAGCCAATGATGCTCGGAAGGATGTTTTTTGGGCCGAGCAGCAACAGGGTGCAGACATGATCAAGATCGCTGCGGATTGCCAAACAACTTTTTGCGTTAGGGCTCGGGAGAAATTCACTTCTTTCAGGTACATAGTTTCGCCGCACATACCTTGGCGAATCTGTCATTCGATTCTGGAAGCCTCGCCGCTTGCCTGAGGATCTGAGAGATCATGATTTTGGCCACACTGTAGACATGACAACAGTGCAACCAGCGTCTCGGTGCTTGCTGGCAGCTGACTGTGTTGGTCCCTTCAGCACTGTCCCGTCGCAATCTGCACTGCCTTGATTCCGGTCAAGAGTAGCTATTAGCAGCTAGTCTTAAGCTCATAGTACTTTCTTAGCCTTTTTGCGCCGCCATGCTGTTGCATAAGCCTCAGAAATTCATCCGGAGTACGCGCGTCCGAAACCATGACAACATGTCTTGGCTTCTGACGATGTTCTCTCGCGACGACTCATGCACCATGGCTAAACACGATCATTGATCAGACGCGATACGACTTGCACACGATTGGTGGGCACATTGCTCGAAAACAGGTTCAATCATGTGCCCGACGTCCGCCCCCTGTTCCATCTTATTTGTTTTATTTTGTCCTTCTTTGTCCTTGTTGCCAGTATCACCCTGCTCAATTTGTGTACAATTCATCCTGGTCGCCACTACTTCGAACGAGCACTAAAACAACCATGAGGCTAGGTATGGTGCTTGAAGGAATAGCGTAACATTGTAAAGACGGTTGTGACTACGAATTGAGCTCATACTGACAAAGATCGTCGAGCGATGTTACAATTTTCACAAGCCATAGACGAAAGCCAAAGCAGCAACCTGGATCTTGACATCCAATTCGTCCATAGCATCATAAGCCTGCTTTGCGTATCCCCGACATCGATCATCAATCGCTACGTCCTCTGCCAGCGACCGAAATCGTCGCTTCTAAGAGTCCCATCTCCTCGGACAATATGTTCTTCCGCCCCATTGAGAGCTGACTGAATGTTGGTTGGCAGCTTCAGGAAGCTCCTCCATATAGCAAAGCTCACGAATCTTGCTTCCAGCAATTAGTATCCAAGTCGCTGCCGGTGGTATGTACATGCGCCACTCTTCTTGTGATTCTCGTGTATTGTCATACGGTCGATCTACACCCATTTCCATGGCGATGCTTGCTGGGAATGATACATCGAAGCTTCCTTCCGAGCGAGCCATTAGTGTTGCGGCAAAGACTGTAATGTTCAGCAGCTGGGGAGCTTGAGCATGCCATTCTGCATAATTTCCATCTGGAGGATCAAACTCTGGATAGACCGCGTCAACATGGTTCTCAGGAAAGCGGGTAGTTTCCAAGCACGTTGACCTACCGTACCCATATTCTCTAAATATCTGACCCCATCTTGGCAGGTCTCTCCAGTATACCAAGTTTTCGTATTTGACAACGTCCCCCACAAGAGAAATTATATCTGGTCTATCTCGGAGTGAGTTCACTAGTTGTGCAAGTCGTGCAGAAGCTGAGCTGTCGATTGATCTAGCTGCCTGGCAGATGTTCACCCACAGAACGGTGATATCGCTTCTGTGACTAGTCTCGAGACGTGGTTCGTAGATGCCCGCTATACGGTGTGCAGCTCTGAGAGTTGATTGTCCACCGTTCAAAAAGTTCTCGATAACATCTATGGCCCGAAGGTCGTCGATCATATTCTGGTCGTTCAACGGGTATTCCTTCATTTTCTCGCGAGCGGAAGAAGCCCAACCAGATATCTGTGACATGTTTGCAGAGTGGTCGTAGCATGAGGGATCGTATAGCTAGAAGTCTCAATTCTGAAGACACGACTCGCCGATGATAGATAGTTATAGTCCGCGAGGGCTAGGTCAATACTGGTTCACTGGTGGCTCAAAAAGGCAATGATCGACCACGAATGATATGAATCCTGCTACTGTACATGGTCTCCGAGAACACAGTTGGCAACGAGCCAGTCAATGGCACAAATACAGTATTCATACTCGATACATTATTGCGTTGTAGTCCGGATGCAATCAACCTGCCACCGACCATAGGCTTGGGACTTTGTTTGGGTCAGTACATCATACCAAGACTTTGGTAACTGACAACCCCCCGCTTCGAGTACGGAGTAATTTCAAACAATTTGTACCAGTTTACATCAGGTCAAAACCGAAGCAAAAGGATGAACGCTATAGGCTCTAGTCAAAGCAAAACAATTGACTCGTGTGGGGTTCGAACCCACGACCTTTCCCGAAGTTACACCACATACTCGAGAGCCTCTAGAGCTTCTAGAACTCAACGAAGTACCATAGAATGTAAAGGGAAAATCATAACCACTAGACTAACAAGCCGAATTATGCTGAAAAAGCGGTTCCAGAACATACCAATCATGATACCAGAAGACCAGGTAGAGGTTCGGGGGAGAAAGAACAGATACTTATAGCAAGACATGCAGATATGAGATCTGCCGCAACTTACAACGACCAGCTGCCTGCGGAGAGATGCTTTTCTCGAGGGTCCAAAGTGATATGCAAAGATTGTGGAGTTGCAGGCTTCGATGCGGACAGAATTTTCGTCCATCAGCCTGAAGCCTCCCCCCCGAGTATTAACCGTTCGCGAGTGCAAAGCATAAAACCTCTTGTCCAGCATAAATTCGGCTTGTTAGTCTAGTGGTTATGATTTTCCTTTAGATCACGGTGCTTCGTTGAGGCTCTAACGAGCCTCAATAGCGTGTTCTTTCTCGACGGCGAAGGGAAAACAACAGGGATATTTGAGGCAAAGAGAGACACGTAGAATAAAGATGCATAGATTTGGATGCCGAAGGTATGCAAAGCTTCCAGACCTGCTGTTTGACCTGCGTTCTCTAGAACAACCAGACTCGAGTACCATGGAAGACGGATTTAGTGATGCAAATATTTCTTTCTTTTCGAGTTCGAGAGAGGTAGACATATATAAATATGAGATTCTTTCTTACCTTACAACGGAAAAATGTATCGACTCTCCAAAGAACTATAGTCGCGTGGTTGATGAGGAATTAAAGCTTATATCAGAAAACTCTCAAGACAGGACGTCGTAAGCATCCGAACGCCGAACTCCGATGTTCCACCTCTGCACAAATGGAACCACTCTCATTGCGACTCCACCATATCTCATTTGCTGCTGATTATTCCTTAGGATCGGAAGGTTTTAATTCTTACTTCGATCAAAGGGAGAACATCAGTGGATAGTGATCATCGAGGATGGTAGAATCGAAATATGCCAGATAAACGAATCGTGCAGAGCAAGCGCCCATACAAACCACGAACGCGTACTGGCTGTATAACCTGCCGGTAGGCCCACTCGTCTCGTCAAAACTGACAGTCTTCGCTGATATGCCATTCTAGGAGTGAGTTTTGATGCTTCGTAGCAGTCTAATGACATATCTAATTATGACTAGTCAGGCGCATCAAGTGTGATGAAGCGCGACCAAGCTGCCAGAAATGTTCGTCGACCGGTCGAAAGTGCGATGGATACATTACGACTGGAGAATCAACACCAAAACGCACCCAAGAATTAAGTTTGAACGTGTACAAATCAGAAGAGGAAAGCAGCGCGATCGATTTTTTCCTCCGAGTCTCTATCCCACAATTTACAGGAAATTCGCCATCTGAGTTCTGGAATCGCCATGTTCTCCAACTAGCCCAGCAAGATGTCGGGACACGGCATGCTCTTGTCGCCCTTGCACATCTGCACAGAGACTTCACCAATCCTCAAAACGAGTCAAAGCACAACCAGCCAGCTTTGTATCATTACGATGCAGCCATTCGAAGTCATATCAGCTCGGTTTCTGGAGAAATGCAGGACATATTGAAGTCTAGCTCCGCAATGTCAACTGCTATCGTTTTCATGTGCATCGAGATTATGCAGGGTCATCTTGCATCTGCCGTCTCGCTTCTACAGCGCTCAGTTGCCATACTACCACGATCTAGAAACCAGTACGTCCCGCTATATGAAGAATTCATATCTCGGCTCAAGATCCATGCTCAGCGTGTAAGTCATCTGCCAGATGTCTCTTCTGAGACGCCTATACTGATGAAACCTCTAGCTAGTGGACAAGAATATGTTCGGATCAAGCCCCTTTGATCATGCCTCGAAAGAAGTTGTCATGAAATACCGACAGCCAGGCGATTGGCGTTCGTCCTGCAAGGAACTGCTTCGAGATTGTTCAGCAATCTTTGGAGAATTGTCTTTCGAAGAAAGAATCCAACGACTGTGTATCATGTCAGGAGCGCCAAAGATCGCACATAAAAACTCTCCAACTTCACGGGAAGCTGCTGCACATAATGCCTTGCACATGCGGAGACTTCTAGAAATCACCAACATATTTGACGAGGAAGCCGCCAACACAAGCGACAATGAGAGAGCCGCTTTGAACGACTCGTTGCTTCCTCTTTATCGAATCACGGTTTCCTTGGCAGAGGCAAATTTAGGCCTGGCCAACTCAGACTCGCAGGAAACAACCCCGCTTGCACCTTCTTTCGCTCTCGACATGGGTGTTATCGGCCCTCTTTATGAGGTTGCCCGTCGTTGTCGAGATCCAAATCTTCGCAGAAAAATCGTACATCTTTTGCGCATGTCAAACCGACACGAAGGACTGTTGAAGAGTTCCACCTATGCCAATATCGTGCAAACGATCATAGACATCGAAGAAGCTGGCCTGACAGATGTCAAATCGAGTTCAGATATCCCTCTGCGGTCGCGTATATCCCAGCATTGCCTCTCATTCGACCTGCAACGACTGAAGCATACCATATCTTACAAGCCATTGATCGGAGACTCTAAGGACTTCTATCATCGGGACATTCTAACTTGATGACGAACTCATCCCGACAGCCTCCAGAGTAGAGTCAGGCGCAACTTGGTTGTACAAGGACCGCTGCCGGATTCCATTGCATTGCTTCTCACAGTTCACGGTGTCTTCTTCACTACTGGAGAAGGAAGTCTTCAAGCAACACTGAGCCAAGAAAAGGATTTGCCATAATGTCATGAGTTGTATGACAGAGTTGTCATTGACCTGAAGTTCGGCCATGACGAACGTCTCGATTTCACGACACTTGTCTACCGCACATTGCAAGTACGAAAAGCCGATGGATCAAACCAACAGTCGAGGTGTCACAGCGTCCATCCTATTCGAGCCACAGCGGCAACACACATTGTCACGAAACCAAGAGGAGCATTCACGTGTGGTCGCTATCCCATACTCCTTACAGGCGGCGAAGAAACAGTCAGCTATGAGGACCGCGTCTTTTCTAAGGAGCTTGAACGGAAAGCTACAATCCCTTCTCCAGCAACTGCACCCTGCTCGTACCGATGAGGATTTCCAGCATTGAGCGATAGGCTACGGCACAGTATATCAGCCATCAAGCGGTATTATTTGCACAGGATGCATGTCTTGGATTGCAGAACCCGGCAACGTTTATCATAGCCGGCGTAGCATGTGGAAGTTTTAGAAGCATGTAGAATAATGTCTAGAAATCTAGTTTTGTTCTCTTGCATTGTAGTTGTGCTCTTATGTGTCCTCTTCTGGTTGGGGATAAGAGTTTCTATGATGTTGATTGTGGGATCAATTTCTCGATTAGAATGAAGTGTTTATTGGCATTGAGTCTATGACTAGTCAAGATGATTGATTCCTCACTAATTGGTTGCGTGGCCCAATGGCAAGGCGCTTGACTACGAATCAAGAGATTCCAGGTTCGACCCCTGGCGTGATCATTTTTTCTGTTCCTTTTTGTGCTTTTAAGCCACCAACACTATTCACTACTTCTGCATTGTTTTTTTTATGGTTTCCTCATCGCTTTTGCCGTGTGCTTGTTGGGGAGACTCAATGGAAGGACGGCTGTATTAAAAGAAGATATGGCCACAGAAATCGTAGGCTTCAGGCAACCGTACAGAACACAACCATACCATCTTGTCAAGGAGTCAAACGTATAAGTGACAGATTGAAGTTTATAACATTCAATAGTGTTTTTTCTAGGTAACCAAACAAGTAAGCTATACAAGAGCTTAATGCGGCGCATCCTCGTCCTGAGCAAAATGCTCTCTCGCAAACGGACTCTTCAATCTCAGCTTCTCGCCATAGTAGAACCACAACCAGGGAATTGGAATCATGATGATACTCAGGAAAGCCAATAAACTGCTTGCCCACTCGTAGCCCAGATTGTTGTACATCTGGTTTGCGAATAGAGGGAAGCCTGCGCCGACGACGTTGCGGATAAGGATCACACCGGCAAGTGCAGAGGCAGAGTAGGTTTGGTAGCTGTCGACGACGTAGTTGAGGATGGAGAGGATGACAATGTAGATTCCTAGACCGAAGAAGCCGGATGCGATGATAGGGACGATCCAGGGGACGCTGGGGTAGGATGTCCATGCAAACCTTTACGTTGTGTTAGTATCGAATTTGATCCGCTCAGGATTACTAAAAGACACTTACCAGAAGAGACTGATGGGGAGCAAGAAAGCACCGAATCTCGCAAGCCAAATACGTGCTTCAGGGACACCTTTGCCGTCGTTTCTGGCAACTTTGCGGAGGTAGTAGCGTTCTTGAATGGGATAAATCGCAACACCGACTACACTTCCCAAAGCCAAACCCAGGAAAGAGAGACCTTGCTCGCCAACGTTGAAGCCATGGTTGTCACCGAAGACCAGAGGGAAAGCCTCGTTAAAGAGATATACCAAGCCATAAATGAATCCGTTGTATGCAGCAGCGCCGATCGTGATGGGTTCGGTGAACAGGAAGCGGAAAGGTCGGGTCAAGGTGATAGCGAACAAGGTATGCAAGCTCTTAGCCTCGTCTGCATGTGCATCAAACACTCTTTGCGCGGACTTTTCGAGACCATCCTTCTTGAGTGCTTTGCGCACACGCTTTGCCTTTCTTTCGAGAATAGTGCTGTGACGGGTTTCGGGAAGGGTTGCCTTATTCGAAGTCAGTCCCATCGCTCGTACAAAACGAACAATTTACTCACCATCATGATAAGCCAGACACCACCAAAGATGGCCATGTAGACCCAGAACAACCAGCGCCAGCCCTTGTCCTGCGCAATGTATCCAGAAATGACCAGTGCCATGGGTGGACCGAAGGTTGACGAGAGGCCATAGATCGACATGGCAGGTCCACTGGCGTTTCTCTCCCAGACATCTGATACAGAGCCTCCGGTGTTTGTCAATGGTGCTGAACCACCGAATCCTGAGATCAAACGGCAGACAATGATCGTTCCAATGTTAGGGGCTAGCGCTAGAGGTAATTGAAAGATGAAGAGGATGAACCAGCTGCCGAAGTATACAGGATTTCTTCCGTAGTATTCGGAGAGGGGGGCGAGAAGCATGGGACTGTAGACGTTAGGCATAGGATCTATTGTTGTGATCGTGGCGGAGTCGACAACATACCCAATTGCGAAGCCCAAGATGTACATGGAAAGACCGACGGTACCAACTTCATCAGACACACCAAACTCTTCAACAAGTTGTCCAACACCCGAGGAGTAACCACCAGCAGCAAGACAAGTCAAGACGTTCAGTGAACTGGCGAAGCAGGTAATGTACCATCTCTTTGCTTTGCTCCAGTTGCGAGGGTTATCTTTGTCGCCTGGTGCGAACGTGATGAATATTTCTCGAGTCTCGTCTGGATGTGCTTTTGCATGTGCGTAGGCTTCATCTTCCGAGAGCCATAATCTTGAATGGATGTTTTCAATCTCTGATGGGGTACGTCCTGATGTCGATGACCTTTCAGAGTCGATCTTCTTCTCGATCTCTGCAGGGTCTTCTCTCTCAACCGCTTGCTCCATGATGGCAGTGGTGGACAAAAATGGGGAGGGCAAGAGACAGGTACGGGAAAGAGAGAGAAAGAGAGGAAGTACCAAGGAAAAGGTGGGATCGATTATGACCTACGAGGCTCTGTGGGATGTTTTACAATATTAATGGTCGTGTGCCGGAGGCCGGTCTCGCAAAGAGATAACAGAGTTTGGTGACGAAGACTGGAAACCCCATGCTACTCCGCGAGGATGTCTCCATTATTCTCCGCATTGCTTTCATCAATGGGTTGTCTTGATTGGTAGTGGCAATATTGCAGGGTTGTACGGGTCGTGTTTAGACTAGCGCCTCCGTCGTAACCGGTCACCAGTGGTGATGCTTGTCTTTGGCAATTTGTGCGTGCAAAGGCGTACCAAGCATTTTGGTGGCTTGCTTTTGCTTGAGGTTGCTTTTGAGGCTCGTCAGATGACTTAGTACACAGTTACACAGTGCCATCATTCTTGCTACTGGCATCAGTGATATGGCTGCATCTCTGTCAGTTTCGATAATAGCGCAAACGTGATATTGGGTTCCGACACGCGGAACAAGAGCAGTAAGTGGATCTCGATATTCTTGCCGAGATGCCCGGTAAGCTGGACACGGCAACCGTCAAGGTAGAGAATTCGGGAGTTCTCGTGATGATAGCCATGGAAGTCGGTTACTCTAGCCTCTGAACGTTCCGAGTGATGGACTGAATCTAAAACCCTGGCCGAACTTGTCGGGATCGGCACAGTCTTGGCATACCACGTCATACCCGTGTCAACCACCTTGACATTCTAAGCGATCCGTATCGACTTTCGTTAAGTCAACGTTAATTTGGATAAACAGTGGACAAGCTGAAGAGCTGAGTGAAGCACCAACCTGCTCCACCTTCTCGTCTAGAAGACGTTCCGCAAACCATGTCGCCAACAGTCGATCACCCACCCTCGCATTCAGCTCTCCAAACCGCAAAAACCAATCTTCAATTCCTCTACGACCCCAACTCTCCAAACGCACCTACGCGCCGCCGTACCCGCGCTCTCCTCCGCACCCTCCGCTACGCTCTGAAGTTTATTTTCTGGCGACTGGTGCGGTACGCAAAGTATGCCGCTGTGGGTGCCATCACCGCAGCCATCGCCGGCACAGCGATAGGCAGTGTAGCATCAGGTGCTGCGTTTGTGATTGCGCCGACTGGTATTGTTGGTGGAGCGGGTGCTGGTTTGCTTTGGGGTTTGGGCAAGTTTGGATGGAGGACATTGGCGAGGAAGATTAGGAGTGGTGAAGCGCATCATGCTGATGCGAGGGCAGACGAGAAAGAAGAAGGAGGAGATGTGGATCCTATCAAGCCGCCGAAGATGGCAGAGCCTTGGTGAAGGGGTCAGCACATGTTGCGTTGCAGCAGCAAAGACTTCATGAGCTTATAGGCTATCTTTATGCCTCAGCTCGCAACCATGCGCTTGACACGATCGCGGACCAAACAATACTTGGACGATTTTACGACAAATTAGAAGTGAAAACATGGCTCGAGGACACACATCATGGTCGATATCAATATAGTTCGAATTGGTCAGACGAAATGGATACCTAGGGCACACAGCCTACAACCTAGCCCAAGTATACCAACTGACCGTTCTCGTTGGTAATTCTTTCGTCCAGCTCAATCGAGGCATGCTCGTTCCAGCGACCACGTCCATCACCGACTACAGCACACAGAGCTCTTCCACCCTCGGCCAACCAGATCTTGCCCTCCTGGACGCTGCCTGTGAAGTTTCCATGTCTTTCCCAAACGAGTCTGCCGTCGCGGTTGCCAATGATCTCGTTGAGATGCAGATAAGATTCGTGCTCGGAGCCATCGGTGCGTCTACAGAAGGCTTTGAGAGCCATGGTGTTGTAGTCGAGTGAGATATCGCGCGAAGTTTCGCTGAAGTTGCCTCGTCTAGAAGACTGGTTAAATCCACGGTCGCGCGAGTTTGAGCGAGAGCGCTGTCATTGGTGTTAGCGATCCATTGTTACCACTCGCACTACTGATCACTTACTCTTCTACCGTGCTTCTTGCTATCGTCGCTGCTGGAGCTGGAACTGCTGTCTCTTCTGCCGGGTCTGCCGTAGTTACCGGGAGGTCCGTAGCCTTGATGTTGTTGTGCGTATTTCTCTTCCTCCTTCTTCTTATGATGTTCTTTGCCAAAGTCTTCGAGCTTGGAGCCAGCAAAGGCACCACCAATGGCACCAAGGAAGCCGTGATTCATCTTGTGGCCTCCATAGGCTCCAGCAGCACCGCCAGCAAGAGCACCCATCAAGCCACGGTCGCCTTCAACTCCAGGCTGGCCACCATACGAAGGTTGGTTTGGTGCATAAGGGGCAGATTCACCACCTTGGTAGGAAGTGTTGCCGCCGTAGCCGCCGTGTGTTTGAGAGGGGTATTCGTCGCGATCAGTCAAGGGTTGCTGAGGCTGACCATAGCCTTGTTGGTGGGATTGGTAGCCGCCCTGCTGTCCGTAGCCTTGGTCGTACTGGCCTTGCTGAGGACCACCGTATTGGTTGTTGTGTTGTTGATGACCGCCGTAGCGCTGGTCTTCACCATACTGGTTTGGTGGGGCTCCATAGCCCTGCTGCTGCTGGCCACCACCGTAGTAGCCTTGAGCTTCACCACCGTAGTTGTTGTTGTAGTTGTTGTATGACATGCTGCCGAGATATATGTATGTTGACAATCGAAAAGCAAAAGAAGGAGAAGTAGGAAACCTGAAGTTAGAATTTATAGTTGTAGATCAATCACGAAGGATGAGGGGCAACCTTCTACTCCCTTCTGTCGTAGGGTTACGTGTTTGTCGTATCAAACATCTCACCGACCTCATAGCGCATTAGGCAGGACCATTTGCTAGTCATGGCGCAACTCCAGATCTCGTTCGTCACTTTAGCATGCAATTGTCATATTACTCTATCCTTAGAACAAACTGTCAGTACCACAGCCACCTCACAGACTCTCGTAGAGGTGGCTGTGTGTAAACAGTGAGCTCCGCAGTTGAGCTTCTAGAGGCTGTGCTCGTGGCTGTTCTTTCAAAGGGTTCGCTCTCACCTGAGGTTGATGCTGCCTCGGCCTGAGCACTGGCCATCAATCTATTCTGGATTTCTCGGCCTTCGTCACTGCTAAGACCCGGCGCCCGCGTCTCCCGGGCATGCACAAAAAAATGATGTTCAAACCGTTGCAGAAAACATTACTGATTATTTCTGGATTTCTTTGTAGTGAAGCAAAAGACAAAGTGATCACGCCAGGGGTCGAACCTGGAATCTCTTGATTCGTAGTCAAGCGCCTTGCCATTGGGCCACGCAACCATTGATGTATGGACGAGCCCGCTAAGGCGTTATACCCTTGTTTTTTTGCACCATCTACAGATACTCGATATTCTGTCTGACCGATTCTTCGAGGCCAACAAAGCCATTCTGACCAAAATTCTTCTTCAAGATCTCCTCGGCACGAGCTCTAGGCAAGACCTTGCTCAGATCCTTGCTATTATCTTTGAGGTCTTCGGGAACCTTTGCATCAGGGCGAGCCTTGCGCATGGCGGCAAGGAGCGAGTTCCAGTTGTAAGGTTCGGCGAAGGCAAAGACGCGTTCGTTTGTGATGTCGGCGTCAATCAAAGCGGCAATGTGCAGGAGTGCGGTGTCGCGGACATTGACAAACCATTCTGCACGAGTCAGTATACACAAAGGTGGGTGGATGAGCGAGATGGCATACGAGGTGGGATTTGTTCGAGCTGAGGAGCAAAGCCCTTGGTGAAGATATCTCTGACCCATCCGGCAGTGCTTGCGTCCTGGCTCTTGTCGAGAATGGGACCAAAGTTTGCATTGGGCAGAATGGTGTTGCACTCAAAGTGAGGATTGTTTTCCTTGACATATTTCCAAACAGCCTGTTCTCCTTGAGTCTTGCTTGCGCCATAGACATTCCAAGCTCTGTCGGCCTCGGTGTAGGGTGGATCGGCCCAAGCCTTGTCAATGGCGAGCTGGTTCCACGAGTTCTCGTCGATGTTGAACTCTTTATCCGGCACGGGATTGGTGGCAGCAGTAGAGGACGAGGTGAAGACGAATCGCCTGACCGAGGGTTCTTTGTCGGCAGCCTCAAGAGTGTGTGTGACGCCAGCAATAACACTGGGAATGACATCGTTGGGGTTTTTGGAGAAGGAGATGTTGGAAGCGACATGAACAACTCCCTGGCAGCCTGTAGAGAGTCAGTTCTGTAGTGCAGCAAGGCACGAGATGGTCAATACCCTTGACGGCGTCATCGAAAGCTCCCTTGACCTCCATGGCAGGCACGACGACAAGGTCGAGATTGCCTTTACCATACTTGTTGTTAAAATAGTCTTGGACCCATTTGCCCTTTGCTTCGGTTCTTACGGTGCCACGGACCTTGTAGCCCAAGCGGATGAGCTGATCAACGATGTGGGAAGCGATGAAGCCATTGGCGCCAGTGACCAAGATGGTCGAGCCTTTCTCAATTGCAGGCATGGTGTGTAGTGGGCATGTGAAGATGGAAAGGATGTGGAGTAAGAGCAGCAGGGAATGACGGGATATAAGGAGAGCTATAAGGATTATCAATCACTTAGCCTATAGGGCAGAGGGTCATGCATTTCTAAGCAGCGATTGAAGGCAGGAGCTGTCCCACCAAGTAAACAGCTATAACACAACGGCGAGTTGAATTATCTTGTTAACTCTGCCGGGAGTCTCGAGCACGTAAGAGTCGTGCACACGGAGGAACTAGATCAAATATGAGAAGCGAGCGGGCAGCATACAAGGCCTCCAACGTGATGCTGGACGGTGGTTTAACGAGATGAAAGGAAGCACTGGATGATGACAGATGGACGGTTGAATGGGGAAATGCCGACGGCGTCAATCGGGCCGCAGGACCCCCCGCGTCTTGGGTGACGGCGCATAGCCCATCTGGGACGTTGAATGATGAGCAGGAGCAGGAGCCTGAGCCAGCGATCGCTTCCAACATTATCAAATTCTAACTCCTTGGGCATGGACACTGGACGTGCGTCTGTCTCGGTAGACAACAACTCGACCTGATCATGTTGTCATTCTCGACATACAACCTCTTTGTCGTAGATGCCGTGCCTTGTCCAGCCGCCGCCGACGCTGCTGTGCCATAACACGACGACCTTGCGACATGTCCACCATGGCATCCAACAGCGACCGCGCTTCGACCACCAGCTCGGCATATGCTGATTCGGGGAAATATCCATCCTGGGCCAGAAATAGCGATGCTGGCAGCCGAAGAGGAAAAGACAAGGAAGACGCCAACAACCTGACCATCTCGCGTCGTCGAGGTCGCAAGTCGGGAGGCTTCTTGATGGGCAATCTCTTTCAGCCTAGAGACAGCGAGGACGACAAGCCGGACTCACCGTTCAAGCAATCACCGCGAAAGCCCTCGCGACTCAGCCAGAATGTTTCTAGTCCGCCCGATAATGCCGACACAGCATCTTCGGCACCGCAAGCTTCTCTGGACCCAACCCAGCTGGTGCAAATGGCCCTCAGTCTGAGCGAAGGTCGACGCCGTCATGTCAGTGCTAACTTACAAGTCCCTGCTACTTCGACCGACAAGCGTCGAGTGCGTTCTAGTGGTGCTCCTGTCGTACATGTCTCTCCAGGCTCTCCTATGGGCAATGACCTCCTGCAACCCAATTCTCCCGGCGATTCTGGTTACCGCGCCTCCACCGAAGACGACGCTAGCTTCACCGCTGGAGATGAAATCACCTATGAATTCTCTCAAGCAACCCTCCACCGCGCCGAACGAGCACGCAAGTTTTTTGAGCTGTCCTCCGAGTACAGGCGCTTGTTGACAACACTTCCGCCTCTGAAGCCTGCCGTCTCTGCTTCGTCTCCTCGCTCTGGGGCCAGTCAGCAAGAGTTGGGAAGAGAGTACAATCCGCTGCAACTCCTGCGCAACCGCAAAGCCCGCCATCGCGAGCAACGTCCTCTTGATCCGCCAGTTGAAGCCTACGACAATCCATCCAAAGTCAAGAGCTATATCGACGAGATAGAACATGAAGCCAACGACCCCACCTACCGCTCCACCTTAGACACATCTCTCCTACCAAGTTTTCGCCGCCCCAGCCGCGGCCAGGATGATGCGCCTAACCAAGTTACTCGTTCGCACAAACGTACCGACACAGCTGCGACAAGAATCACACCCTCCGAAACTGGCTGGTCTTTTGGGCCTGCCGAGTTGTTGGCCGACGCTGTCTGGCTGCTACAACCTGCAAACAGAGCATGCATAGAGAACAGGCACGGTCACAGAGTATTCCCCCACCAACCTCGTTCGAGCTTCGAGAGCACGAGAAGCGGCAGGAGAAGTGGCGACAGCAGACCTTCCCTGACGCGTACCAACACTTGGGGCAGTACTGTAAAGAGTGATGATGAGACCGATCGAGGTCGCATAAGATCAAAATTCCTCTCTTTGCGACATGTTGACAACTCTGCTCGCAAACACTTGTTCAGGAATAGATCGCGCTCAAGCAGCATGTCCAGCGCTACTTCGGCGCGTCCCTCGAATCGTAAGAAGCAAATTCTGGGCCCGGGAGATGCTCCTGATCTTGACAACACTGGTCCATTGGAGCGTCAGATGAAGAAATTGATCGAAAAGGAGACTTTGGGCATTGAAGAAGATTCATCTGAGCTGATTTCGCCGGACAAGTGGGATAGAGGAAACGAACAGTCAAACGGAAAGACAAGCGCATCGCCAACTCTGGCTGATAGTCCGTCTGTAAACAATCACAAGCGAAACGATTCATCTAAGACCGATGAACCTGGCACGCACGACGATCGCGCTCGCTCCTCTTTCGATGACTCTACAGCTCCTAGTTCTCCAATTCTCGCCAATCACATCCCCTCATTTGGTATGAGTCTGTCGCCTCCTACGAGTCGTCAAAGTTCGCCAGAGAGGAGATTTGGTCTCTTCAAGACCAGCAGGAATGCTTCTGACGACAAAGTCCACCGCACGGATTTTGCTACCAATAGCCTAGCCAGTCTTGCCAACTCTCGTCATGTCAGCGACAATGTTGATCCGTCTCGCTCTAGCATCGACTCCCTACGTCCTCCAGCTCAAGGAATCAAACGTCACAAAACTTCAAACAGCATAACCAGTACATTATTGAGTCCAGGTCGCCGTATGTCCAAGGATGTTGGTGTTGGTCGGTTCTTCAAGGGTGGCCTCATCGGAGACTTGGTCCGCTCGGATAGTTCTCGTCAGAATGAGAAGTCTCGCAAGAAGGATCAACAGATCACCTCTGAAATGACTGACTCTGGCGCGGAGACTGACGAACAAGACGAGAATCGGCCACGTAAAATGCCATCTGTGCCCAGGTCGAATTCCATACTTGTTGGAGCTACTCCAAAACAGAAGGAAAAGGAGCGGCAGAAGTTAAATAATTCGAATCTGCCATCCTTCAAACCGGTCAATCGTATCGCGCAAAGCGATGTAGAGGACGACCACATTACCCGACAAAGCAAATTACACAGAGAGGAGAGCAGATCCTCCAGATTCGATAAATTGGCCCCTCCTCGTATCAATCTGCCTCGAGATGACTCCCCTTCGGTGTCACCAACCAGGAGAACACCCTTCTCACGTAACTCTAGCGACGGCGGCTATCACAGCGAACACGATATGTTGGGTCCCTTGCGCAAGGTCCGTGACCCGGGTGCTTTCGAAGTAAACCTACCAGCACACGAAGACGCATCCCGATCACGACACGAGTCGCCATCGAAACGTCATTGGAGCATCTCAGACCGTCATGGTGCCGAAAGTCAAGAAGCAGAGTCGATGGTGGTAACTTCTCTTGACATCGCCCGAATTCGGGCTCTCTACCTTAGCAGCGGCATTAAAGCTCATGAGATTGTCCATCGTGTCAACAGTGTCGCAGATCCGCCTTCGGAGTTTTTTGTTGCCGCAGCAAGGACGTCAAACCAAGGTGTTCATCCCGTGTGCGTTAAGGAAGAGTTCACAGTCGCTGCACGCATGCTCCACAAGACAATCAAAGATCAGACAACATCGCTCTCTAAGCAACTTTCATCTTTTCGCCAGAACGAACTTCCAGGTTTGCACGATAGGCTCGCAGACTTGCGCATCAAAGTAGACGAGAAGTTTACACCTCTTGTACATTCTACCGCCGACGAAGCAGACGCTTTCACCGTGGCGCTTACCACACAACACACTTTGGCTGTTAAACAAGTCAATGATGCCATCGATACCGTGCTCCGACGCCGCAGAAGAAATTTGATCTTCCTGCAGAAAGCCACTTTTACGGTGCTGGAATGGATTGTGCTAGGATTGTTATGGGGAGTATGGTTCGTGGTCATCATAATTCGCTTCTTCAGAGGCATATTCTCTGGCATTATTGGCGGGGTCAGGTGGATGCTTTTGCTATAGAGTCGCTGACCATGCCTTTCTGACGGGTCTCTCTTGCCCTTCCCTCCTTCCTTACATCTTTTAGAATGGAAGGAAGTGCTTTCTATTTACTTTTTCCCTTTCAAGCCTATTCTGGTTTCCTTTTGTCCCATTACATTCTTCTACTTCTTCTTCTCAGAAAATAGCAGTACTTGATTATCTTACCCTACCTTTTGACCATATTCGTTGAGATTTCACTCATGAATCTCTAGGTTATGCTCTTGCCTCGGAATTTAAACCATGATAAAGGGTTTCTTAACTCTAATCGATCGAAGTTGGTTAGTCTTTGCGGCTCAAAAGCTGTGGATGCTGTAACTGGAAAAAGACAACTTTCCATTGAGGAAAGGACGATGCCATACACTCAGGAGCAGCCATGACAGGACCACCGACGCTGCTCCGGGAAATTTCTGTCTCGTCATCTTCTGATTGTCAACAACGTGGCGCAAGAACAATGCTTGGTGACGACAGATCCATGCCCAATAACATCCTTGTCCATCAGAGTGTTACGAGAAACGCAACATCCGCTGGGAAAGCGCCTTAACCGCAGTTGCCGCAGAATCCAGTGTGGCAGATCCACATTGTTGCATCACTCCCAACTCAAGAATGTATCCTTGTGACTGGTTGAAAGTGCCCAAAAATCTCAGTAGAGATGACGTCTCGCGGCAACCTGGCGCAAGCGGCATGAACATGTATCGCACCATTCAGAATATCACAATACAAAAGCTGACTGGCCTCGCCAGGTAGGATATCCCAGTCTATTTTTCAGAGAATCGTCAGTCAGACCCACTGCACTCTCCTTCCACTTCCACTGTCAGTACCCATTAATCGAGCTTCAGACCCCGAACACAATGCCTCTTGTCAAGATCGATGTTTACAAAGGTGTCCGGTCCCCAGCGGAGCTACAAGTGCTCGCAGACACGATCCACGAAGCTTTGATGCACGCTTTCTCTGCTCCGCTCAAGGACAGGTTCCAGGCAAGTTTGTTCTTAAGCTATGATATTTGTGAAAATCCATCGACTGACGTGATCACAACAGGTCATCACACAACACGAGCCAGGGGAACTCATCATCCAGGACAATGGATTGGGATTCCAACGAACTAACAAGCTCGTTCTCATCCAAATCTTCCAACAGGGAAGAGACGTTGCGGCAAAGCAAGCTCTATACAACTCCCTTGCGATGCTTTTGGGAGAACGTTGTGGACTAGCTGGCACCGATTTGATGGTCAGTCTCTCGGAAAACAAGAAGGAGGATTGGAGTTTTGGTGATGGAAAAGCGCAGTTTTTGACCAACGAGCTGTAGTGAGAGATTGGCTGGTACCGACGGGAGCAGATCTAAAACCATTTTTCCGCTTTGATAATCTCTTTTGATTGTTTGCTTGCGTCTGGAAAGCATTACCCAAAATGCTAGAAATATTAATGCCAGAAGTCGAAGGTCGATCCGCAGTCTTCCACTTTGCTAGTTGTTGAGACTGCTTATCGTGTCCGGGTACGCACAATACTTTTGCCATGACAAGAGAGATTGGGAGAGTCCCTAGAGATTCGGGGGTACAAGAGGTAATAACAGGCTATTCTTGTTGATAGGTGTGCCTAGCTCTAACCTCCTGCGGGCGCGGCAGGTTCCATAGACTCGATCACATCCAGACTGACCTCTTTGTTCAGCAACCACCCGAATCCCTTCACAACGTCCAGACGTGCTGCTCTAGATGACTTTAGCTGAGGATACATTGAGAAGTGGACGTGGGGTACGCCGGGGTATACGTCAATTTTGGTCGTGTTTCCATGCTCTCGGAGGACAGCTTCGTATATCAAGCCATCATCGCGCAGCGGATCCATGCCACAGACCTGCAAGTACGCGGGTGGCATTCTCTGGTGAGGGCTCCGAGCATTGAAAGGAGACCAATCTGAACTGGTTATGTCTTGCTCCATTAGCGTGTCAAGAAAGTCGAGATCTTTCATGCTGAGGCCAGGTACTTCGGAGTTCTGCTCGCGTGAAACCAGAGCCGGCTTGTACTTTTCGGGCACGATAGACTCATGGAGAATGTTGGGGACGCAGATCCACATCCCACTGAGTGGTGGTGACACGTTCTCGTTGACCATCTTCTGTGCAGTTGTTGCCGTCATGCTTCCTCCCGCAGAGACTCCGCCCAGAATCCAACCAGCAGAGACATCAGCACCAAACGTAGAAGCGTTTTGACCCAGCCAGATGACGCTATCATAGACATCATTTTGAGCGATTGGAAATGGATGTTCGGGCGCCAATCGGTAAGAGAGGGTCACCACAGTGGCACCATACACTGCAGCCAGCGAACGTGCATATGGGATCTGTTGATAAGCAGTACCGATCGCCCAGCCTCCTCCAAAGATTAACGCAATGAGGGGACTTCCATCTGCTGGAGTCTCTGGAGGCGACGTAACAATGATCTCGCTTCCGTAACCATCCCTCATGAAGATAGTATGGACTGATTCTCTTGTGTTGTATGTGGGAGAATTCTCAGAAAGTTGCTTTTCCGCATCAGCGCGAGCCTTGCGCAGGTTTTTGTAATCCGCGAATGTTATTTGTGGACGTTGGTGAGTTTTCAGATACTGTCTATCTATCAGGATCGATATGCCATTGGGATATAAGGTTGCAACTGACTATTTCTAACTCTGGTGCTATCTTGCCGAGTTGTCTCTGTGGCAGAGGGTTGGCGGGATCAAGCATTATGGCGAATGTCAATAATTCAGGAAACCTGATAGTATCAAGAACCTGTGCTGCTTGGTCAGGTATTCAGAAGGTAGATATTAGACGCGTAGAATAACTCCGCCATCGTCATGATTTAAATACCTGGGAAAACACGAAATCAAAAGAAAATCTGGGCCCACGTGCTGATTTCTAACACAGATCGATTCAGATCAAGGCCCAACCGCAGATGCCGAAATTGCCGCAACAGGCGTGTATCGCTCCGAAGATGAGGCTCCATTCATGGCGGACTGGTTGCAGCAGCCCTGATAGTGTCTTACCAACGATATCCTGTACGCTGCAAAGCATTCATCAAGTTGTTTGGACTGTCCTCACATATAATTTCTGTAACAAGATTACATGAAGTATCTGTAGGTCATGTATTGATACTTTATCTATCTTTCCGCATCTCAAGAGCTTGCTGACCTACTTCTACTTCGGATGTATGCGCCATACTTGTAGAAGATGAATGGTATAGGGGCCATAAAAGCCGCCAGACAACCCAACAACGTCAGCGTCCAATGCACGCCCAGATCCTCATACATGGGGATTGAAACCACGACCATGACGCCAGCGGCTATGTATCTGGCCATCGTGGCACCGACCAAGGCACTCGCGGCATATCGCTCGAATGAATCGATCAGGTATAAGTAAGACGAAATAAAGACACACATCACGCCAAACCCAAAAACAATGCTTGAGATAAGACTAGACCAATAGCTTATGGAGTTATACGTTGTCCATGCCATCCAGAACAACGAAACTGGGAGACAAGGGGCGCCATAGATGGAAAACCAGAGACGCACTTCTTGAGGAAGCTCTGTCTGATCCCCCTTCTGTTCCTGTGCATGCCTCAATAAAGTGCTGTATTGCTTGTAGATAACGGGGGTGAAGGCGAGAGCAGAGAGGAAACCGATGTTCATAGCCAGATAGCATAAGCCTGTGCTGCCTTGAGAGAGCCCGTAGATGTCGGTGTAAATGTACTCGTAACCAGTCAGAAAGGTGAAAAGAACAATGTAGATGACAATCAAATACACGGTAAAAAGATCCACGATCGGCTCACGCAGCAACATGAGAATTGGTCGACCTATCCCGATGCGTAGTTTTCGAGATAAGGGCACGCGGTGATGTTCTATCGCCTCGTAGACTCGATCGTCGGCTGTCAGCTCCTTGACAATTTCTGCTTTCCACAAGACCAAGACTGGTGCGTACGACTCTGGCAGAAAGAGCAAGACTAGAGACAGAACCACGCCTGCCAACATCAACGTAGACCAGTCGACCCAATGCCAGTGTCCAGACTGTCCGATGTAAGCACCGACCAAAGGAGCCATGAACGGCCCCAGAAACGAAGACGCCGCATAGAATGGGAAGACGTAGGTCCTCTCGCGTTGATTCCACATGTCGGCGATACTGCCTCCAGCCGTGGTCAGCGGCGTAGAGCCAAACACTCCCGCGAGGAAGCGGAAAACCAATTGACCAGCAATCTGAGGGATCAGGGTTGATACAAGAATGCAAATCATAAACACAATGATCGTGGAGACATATATCGTGTTACGTCCATATGTCTCGGAAAGTGGTGCACTGAACAGGGACCCTATGCCGGTTCCAATGCAGTAGAGTCCAGTCGCCAACGACTCGGTCACTGTGCTGACCTTGTACTCGGATGCAGCCTGGTGGATTGCGCCTGAGTCGATTGAAGAGGCCCAGCCTACCAAGAAAGCGATCATGGTAACGATTGAAGTCGCAGACCATTTCTTTGTGGTTGACCAAGCAGTCGCCGAGAGATCTGTACGAGCATTTCGTAGATCCGAGAGATGAGCGTCGGGTTGGAGTATGGTAAATCTTGCGTCCAGCGAAGGGAACTGCTCGCCTTGACGTGACATCGAGGGGGTTTCTCGACGTTGCTGCGCTCCGTGTGCATCTTTTCTTAATTGTTGATATTGCCGATATGTTGGCCAAGTCAGAAGAATTGGTGGCATGCTCGATGTAACAGGTTCGACAGATTGTATCAGTCCTCTATAGCCCGATGAGTATGGCCACAATTTACTCGTTAGAAGCCTATATACCAGACTACATCCTGACTTTACCACATGCGCTTGCGGCGGCATTTGCGGATTCGAATTTGGAGATCTGCAAACACAAAGATTCACCTTCGCCATCCACTTCACCAGCCGCCTTCAGTCTCTTCCTTACATGCCTCGAAGGGATGGGTCGAGGATAAAGTCCATGGAACGTGACCTTGATCCAGATCAGACCTCGACGTTGTTGAGGCTGCTGCGGCATCGGCGGCTATTGCGCTTCGGAACGGCTTTTTTTACTTGTCTTCATTCACCATTCCCTCTCGCGACACAACATGCGAAAAAAAGAGGTTCGATGCCCTAAGTATGACGCAAGAATGGCATGCGTCGACTCAACGAGGTTGTCCCAGCCTCATTTGTACAGATTAGATGGATGTGTCTGCGTATCTGATGGTCCTCTTGCGAATCTCCTATCTCGTGCCAGGACCGCTTATATGGCACAACATCGTACTCGCGGGTCTGAATGTATCCACAGAAACGTCGAATATGCTTTGGTATGCCAATTGTAAATGGTAATGAGCTTGTTTTGGACGCTTGGTGTGTCCTTCAATGCTTGCTGAAAAGTGTCGTCGGAATAATTGGGCCACAAGGTTTGTCCATGTATTCTATGACGTGGGAAGGGCAGACCAGTAGGAATCGAGTGGCTCAATGTCAAGTGCTCGATGAGGACAGGCAACAGGAGAAGAAGGATGTCATGTTAGACGCATCTGAACTCGGTCCGAACTTTGAAGCGAGTGGCCCAAACCCTACCCACAAACCACACCTTGCAATCAGACTTGACGACCTCGTGCGAAAGCAACCTTCTAACTTGATCGGACATTTGCAAGATGAATACTCAGTCAAAGCGCAAACGAGCGAAACTTGCGTGTGCACCATGCAAAAGCCGAAAGCGCAGATGTGACGGTCAGTCGCCTTGTACTACTTGTACAGAGTTCGAATACGACTGTTATTATGAGCATCATCCTAGAAAGAAGAATGGAGCCATGGCGCAGACTACTATGGTTCCATCCCCTCAATCACCCGCTGCTATGCTAGCAGCCAGTGTCGACGATGTGCGGCCCGAGAGAAATTCTATCTTTGATGGTCCCGCGTCTCACTTACAGTCCATTGAGGCCAATTCCGGAGCCGCATTTACACGGAGCCTCGGTCTCAGGATGGATTCGATGGAGGCTCCTCGTCTACACATGTTTGCCTGGAATCTCGGACTCAGGGACGAACCCATAAAGACGTCTTCGTTTCGAGGTTCCATTGTCGACATTCTATCAAGCCAAGAAATGTCAGAGCTGGCGTCAGTCTATTTCGCTGAAGTCCATCCTGTCTATGGCTTCGTGGACCGCGTCAGTGTCGAAAGCATGATTACCTCAAGATGGACGCTTGATCTTCGTAGCGAGATTTCTGACACAATCCTTTGTGGAATCGGAGCATTAGGCTGCCTTTTCTCCCATAAAAGGAGTCATCTCGAAGCACAGCTGGTTCATATTGCACGTATGATGTTGGAGCATTCAACGAACTTCCCGAATCAGTCCGTACAACACGTTATCGGCTGGCTTTTGCGAGTCATCTATCTTCGATTGACCGCCTCACCTCATGCTACATGGATGGCGAGCTGTACGCTGATGCATACCATAGAAGCGACGCGACTCCATCTCGAACCTTCAATTGAATTTGTCCTGTCGCATCCGATCGAGGTCTGTGATCCAGAACTTAGGAGGAGACTATATACTGTGGCTTATCTGTTCAATACTTGGATTTCCTACGACAACGGGCGATCAAGAGTCGATTTGCATGGTGCTTCCTGCTCCTCCCCAACGGCTGATTCTAGCGGATGCTCCACTGACTTTCTCGACATCTGTCAGCTGTCTAAGTTTTTGGGTCCAGCGAAGATCAGGGACTCTTCGGAGTTGGAAAAGGCATTGTCCCGGGCGTATCTTCTTGCACCGACGCACCCCATGCTCAAGCTTGTGAAGTGTAACATAGTTTTATGCATCTACCGCAGACTGCGCGCTCCAGGATTCGCCATACCCACAAGAAGTCTAGAGCAGATATTGTCCGTGATAGACATGGGCCTCACGACCATCGAACAAATGATTCAGACCAAATCGCCATGGTGGCATGTTTCTAACGTGCCATTTCAAATTGTTTGTACTTTGCTTGCAATGGACACGAGCAAGTCTGTTTCACGTTTGCAGAGGAGCCTCAGAGCCTTGCATTCCGTCTATCAGACATACGGCACTAATGTCACTGAAGAGTCATACACTACTGCTCGCGTGCTGGTCCGCCTTCATCGTCGACAGAAGCAGGAAGATCTGGCCATGTTGGATGAGTGCCTGACAGATTCTGTGGAGCCGTTTATCAATCACAACGTTGGTGAAGAAACCACCCAGTTTGACGCCGGTAACTACCAATCTGAGAATGGCTGGCAGGATCTTAACAACGCGTTCCTCGCGTATTTTGATGAAGCGCACCTCGGCCATATGTACAATACAGAAGGCGCCATGCAATGACATCTACATTAGAGATCTACCGCGACACCAGATAACTTAAGAGTTCGACAGTGGACACCTCTTGGCCCGATCATCATCGAAATCGGTCATCCAGATGGTTTGATGGACAACTGTTCTTGGTTTGATTTGAAGTATGTCCATCGACCCAGAAAGACTGCTCTCAAAAGGTGATAACAGTTCTGAATCTCGACTTGCACTGGAGCATCCTTTCCATGGCGTAGTCGAACTTCTCGATGGGGTACTTTTCCACCATACAGTTGACACTCTTGTTCATGGCGAATTTGATCGCTTCTTCGGTTTCAAAAGCATAACCAGAGGACCAGCCGTGAATGGAAACACCCTTGATGACCAAGGGTATGAATTCAAATGTCGCCGTGGGAACAGCTAAGCAAAGCCGCTGGTCAGAACTAGAATTAAGAAAAAAGAAAAAGGACAGCAGATAAGGTACTTACGCGCGATGAGTATGAGTGTACCGCCAGGAGCGATACCCTGGGCAATCTTGCCAACGCTTGTACATTATCAGCTTGTGGATCTGTTACGATATCAACGAAGTCTTACAATTCGGGGTTCGGGGCTGTCATCAAGACTGCGTTGGCGCCTCCAATCTTGTTGAGAGCTTCAACGGGGTCCTCGTTGGATGTATTGATGAATCGTTGAGCACCAAGCTTAGTGGCAAGCTCACGCTTCTCCTCATGCTCTGAGATGGCAACAGTATTGTAGCCCATCTTGTGAGCATATTGAATAGCAAGGTGACCAAGACCACCCACACCACAGATGGCGACTGTGTCTCCTTGCAGGATCTTCATCTTTCTAATGCCATTGAAAGTTGTGACGCCGGCGCAAAGCAAAGGCGCGTAGTCTGCAGGGTCGACATCGTCAGGAACTCTGACCGCTGCTTCGCTTCGAAGGGTGCAATATTCGGCGACTATCACCATCAGTTATGCTTATCCTGCCTGAACAGCCACCCGATCTCAGATCACTCACGTCCGCCATCACGGCTAACACCGTTCACAAGCTCATTCTCGCACATCTGGAACATGCAACGATTGCAGGATCTGCAAGTGCCGTCATGACCACCATGCCAAGGGCCACCGGCACGATCTCCGATCTTCCACTTTTCTGCTCCCTCTCCAACGGCAATCACAGTGCCAATGACTTCATGCCCGGGGATGACTGGAAACTTGGCCCTTGGAGGTGTCAGCAATTGTATCCCTCTTACTCGAACATCTTGTCATACATGAAGTTGAACTCGCCTTCTCGAAGCGAAGCGTCCTATCAGTTGTCTTGTTAGATCGCTATGTGAAACCAAAATCCCATGAAGGCTCATCTTACACTGTGGCAGACACCGCAAGCCAGTGTCTTGATAAGAATCTCGCCTTTCTTAGGAGATGCCACAGGAACTTCTCTGAGCTCGAACTTGGCTCCTGGAGCATCTAGCACGATTGCTTTGCAGGTTTTTGGGATAGGGATTGCCATTTTTATGAATGTTAATAGTAGAAGTCTTTTGTGCGTAAGTGCCTTTGAAAATGATTGATTGTTGATGAATATCTCGAGGTCGAACACAAGAGCTTTATATAGGTTGATAGAAGGACGTCAAGGCAGAGTGACGTCGTGACAACTACATTCTATCCTGACATTCCACGTATGATGACGAGAGCTACCTTTGCGCAGCCAATTGACTGATGGTCGAGGCAATGATGTGGTAGAGATGGAACTAGACTTTTGGTGGGACAACTGGGGCGTGGACTGAAACAAGATCCGAAAGGCACAGTATAGGAAAACGGACCGTGTCGGCAGTATCTTGGTCGAACCAAAACCCGTGGAGCCCAAAGCTCGGTGCAGATTCATACAAGATGCTGATAGAGATTGTTTGTTCGAACGATTGGGTGACAAGGCTCAATCCGCAAGAACCGCACATGCCTTCTGCGGTCTTGACGGTTCTGGCGGGATCGACGGCTCTGGCGGTTTTGGCGGCTTGTGGTTGTAGAGACCTCTTTTGTGGTGCAATAACGCGTTTGCGTAATCTCAAATGGCAGCCCTGTACATGGCGCTTGTCGTATAGTCAAGCAAAGTTTGATACAAAGAGAGCTTCGAAACGGGTCTTCGAAGTGTTCGAGCAATCGTTTGTTACTTACTCTCGCACATCGAAAGGCCATACCTCTACACAATCGTCAAACCTGTGAAGCACGATGTCTGCTCATCCAATATCCTTTGCTTCTTTCCGCTGCCATTATCCTCAACTTTCCACACAGAACCTCCCAGGTCCGAAACATAGATGCAGTTGGCATCGATATCGACCTTCAATCCAATGGCTTCGTTGAAGTTCTGGGCCAAGACCTGAGGCTTCTCGGCTAGGGTACCTTGTTCAGTCAAAGCAGCCTTGTAGAGGCAATTTCCAAAAGGCACTTCGCCCCGGTCTGTCCAGTAGAGTGTATTTGTTTCGGCGATGTATTCGAGATCAATGCATTCAGGTAGCTTGTCGGCGACAAGTGAGACATCTGTACGTGTGGCGGCTGTACTGTTGTCTGGAAAGTTGATGGAAGCGCTGAAAATGCGGCCGCAGTTTCCTTTCGCAGGGCCCTTTTGAGTCCAGAAAATTTTCCCGAGGGAAGGTGCGATGGTGATGCCGATGCATTGATCCATGATATCCCCAGGAGTAGCATCGTCTTCATGAGAGTCTCTGGCTGAGTCGATGAGGACCTCGAGACCTGAGCCATCAGTATTGCAGTGCCAGATTTTGCAGCCCTCGCGATCAGCAATGTACAGTTTGTTTACAGTGGTATCAATGCTGAGTTGCTTTGGAGTGAATATCTTGCCTGGAGGCACGATGGTAGTAGGATTTGTGCCATCGAGATTGAGAGAGCATACACTGCCGTTGTTGAGGCTGGGCATACCCATGTTTGTGTAGTAAAGTTTGCCGTTGTGCGCTGCCACGCCGTCTGGCAGTGGAAGACCTTCGCTGAGGACACACCGTGCCTGATTATCGAGAGATACCTCTATCAAGCGTCCGCAGGAGATGATGTCTGCCGGTGCTTTACCAGCCAGGGGTTGACCTAGTCCCGTGTCGAGAACGATCAACTTCTTTTGTGGTGCCTGGGCAGCTAGAGGAGGCTGGGGCTTAGATGGCTGAGGGGCATATAACCCACCCTTGTCGCTCTTCATCCCTAGTTTTCCATGATCGAGGTAGTGCTCCTGCAGGAAGTCAACAGTTAATGCTGAGTTGAGGCCTCGCTCTTGGATATAGTGTTTCTCAATCAAGGCGACCGTATCAAGTCCGACACCTATAGAATAGAACAGTCAGTCTCCCTCGCTTCTCCGTGGCGGATTTTCCTCTGTCGCAATGCACAAAGGTAAACGACTTACTGTCCATCGACATGCACGGTCCAAAATTGCAGCCCAGTATCTCCATCCACGCCTTGTCGATCTGTTCAGGTGTTGAAACACCCTCGGCCATAACCATCAAGCACTCACGCTTAATGGCTGCCCAAATACTAAATAAAACTGTTAGTTTCCAAGCCCGAAATATTGATAAAGTCATACTCGCCGGTTAAATAAGAATCCAGTTGACTCCTTGACAGCGACATAAGGACTCAATCCGGCTTCCTTGTGTCTCTCTGCCAACCACTGCATCAATTCTGGGAAAGTATGGCCATCAGTCATAATCTCAACGACAAGATTCGTAGGCGGCATCATATAATGCGTATTCAAAATGCGGGTCTTGGTGTCCTGATCCACAACTTTGGCCAGCATGGCACTCGACTTGTAGGATGATGAATTGGATGCAAGAATGCAGTCTTTGGGTGCCAGCTTCTCGAGTTCGGCAAAGACATCAATCTTGAGATTGAGAATTTCAGGTACGCATTCGAATACAATCCATGCATCCTTGATTGCTACTTCCAAATCGAGTGTTGCGGAAGCCTTTCCGGGAGATCTGTAAGTAGTAGCTTTGGTTGCAAAGGTCGTTACATTATCTTTGATGTACTGCAGAGCAGCATCACATTGAGCTTGGTTCGTGTCGCGGATGACGGCATTGTAGCCTGCAGAACACCAGCAAGTTGCTGATCGTTTGTGTGAGTGTTTGGCACAATATCCGGCAGGAACGTGGGTCTGTAACCTACCTATGCGCCTTCCCAACACTCCACCACCCAGCACAACGACCTTTCTTGACTGGTAATTAACAGGAGCGGTCCATTGAGGGGGTTCGTTAATTGCAGGCATTTTTCGTGTAGAGTCAACTCGAAAGTGTCCCGGACGTAATCTTGGGCCAGAAGGACACCAGGGGCATGGCAATTTTTATGCACCGAAAAAGACAGCCCTGCAACAGTGGTGATCCATGGTCATCTCGGCTACCTACCTGCCATCAGAAGCCAAAAGTGTGGTTTTCTAGTCAGAGACCTTGTCTATCCTCGGGCCGGGAGGATAGTCGTCTTCAACAGGACATGCTGTCCATTCGACTCGGCTGCTATAGGTCCAACAGCACAAGTATAGAGGATTTTCTCTAGCATCCTGGTTTATTAAGCCATGCCACCTGTGGAGAGATGTTCAGGCCATCCGGGACGCGATCAAATGCTCGGACGTCTTGAAGGTCGGTGCTAGAGACTTCATATCAAGACTCGCTTAGCTATACGCAATCGCCAGGTCCAGAATCAAATGTCGTTGTATATCACGTAAGGCACTCTTCATGTATTAAAGAAAACTTGAACGCGTGTGAATATGAAAATTCACAAAACTATGCAGATTTCCACTAAGAAGTCACAGACTTTGGCATACTGGGAGGGCGCAAGGCCGAAAGGAAAAGAATGCTCGATATAAATGGTTTGCAGCGAGTCTTGGGAGATCGAGCAATGATTATGTATATCGGCGCTGCTATGTTGGTATGGAAAGCTAAAGTTGTTCATCATCGACCCTCAACTGGTCATGCGTGTGTAATTTCACTTCTTCCTGCGTCTGAAGCGAGTACTACTCTCTTCGTCATCCTCGTCCTCAGAAACTTCGTCTGGGCTAGGCTTTCTCTGCACTCTTTTCCTCGGCTGTGATATCTCATCCACAACACCCTTGGCTGTCCTTTTGCCTGGCTGTGTTCTTACAGATGCACTACACTTCGCTTGTCTGGCTGCATCTGCAATATCTTGGTCACGAGCCGTACCTGCAATTTCTTCAGGCAATATAGCTTCTAGACGCGAGGCTTCGGCATCTTGGGCTCGAGAGGTTGCGATACGGCGGCGGAAGCGTGCGGCGTTGTCTTCGTCTTCTGAAGAATCGTTCTGTTCACTGTCCGAGACAAGAGAGATACTCTTGTTTGTGTTGTTCGATTGGCGTTGTGAGGGCGTACCATTCACAGTGGCAGAGGAAGGCGTTCCAGTGACTTCGACATCCATACTGTCTTGTGTCTGCTGCGATCGTTTCGCCTTCTTCTGAGCGTTTTTCGAACGAGGTTCCAGAAAATAGTCGTCTTGCGCACCGTACGCCTTGGGCTCGACTTCTTCGAGGGAAACGAAAACACGAGCTCGAGTTTGTGTGTTGGCTGCGGTGCCCTGTCTGCGGAAACGTTTGAAGTTCTTGCGGCCATTCCATCGATCATCCCAGCGATCGTCGTGTCCAGCCTCGGCATCGTATCTTGAGCGAGGTGGAGGCTCACGACGAATCTCCATGACCTCAATCTGTGCTAGGTTCTGCATATCGGCCACCTCCATGCCCTCGAGTTGATTGCGGAGTTTCTCTTCATCTTCGAGACGCCTTTCCTCCTCTGCTTGTTGACGCTCTGCCAGTATGGCTCGTACATCAACTTCCTTGTCCTTGCGCTTTTTAGCTTTCTTGACTGCGGGTGCTGGCGTGGGTTCTTCAGCTGGTGCTTCGTTAGGCGATGCAGAAGCCTCGATTCCTGCATCGATACGACGTTTTTTCATCTTTGCAGCACCTTGCAACATGTCGGCCATCATGTCATGGTGTGTTTCTTCTTCCACTGGCGGTGGCCTCTTCCTGGTTGAACGTTGGGTGTGCTGGCTTGGTGCTGGATGAGAACTCTCGACGTGCTCATCCTCGTCCATAAAGTCTGGTGAGGGAGCTCGGCTCGCTTGGTATGAAGGAGGCTGCGAGGGAGATGGAGAACGGTATTTTGGCAAGTCGTTGATATCGATCTCGTCAAAGCCTTTGAACTTTGTTTGCGTCAGAGGTCTGCGTCCGCGACGTCTGCCTGTCGTTGCTACCTCCTGCTGAGAGGCTGCGGAGGTGCCATCCTCTGGAGTTGCAGATGGGATTTCTGTAGCGACCCTGTTCGATTGTCGACGCACAGAAGGAGATTGTGATGGTGGGTGGATTGATGATGGCTGTGTTCCATTATGCATGACTATGTCCTCTGCTGGTTGGACAACTTCGGCAGGTCTCTTCAACTTGGAAGCATCGGCATCAAGGATGACTTCCAGCAATTCATTCTGCTCGATGCTGCTTTGACCCAGAGAAGAATCAACTTGATCATAGAACCAAGGCCTCTCTTGTTTGTAGCCACCAATACGGACCAAGATTATGCCACCTTTTGTCTTTGGTTGTTGGCCGAGATTGAAGGCTTTGTCCGATTTCTTGCCAGCAACTTCTCGAACATAGCTCAACAGGTCTTGAGGGTCTGGATTCTCGTTGTCAACAGGATGGCACAAAGCCTTTCCGCCGCCACCGGTGATGGTGGGCATGAGGTTGGCGTGCTGTCCAGGATCGCTGAATATAAAAGTGTACTGCGAGAAGATTTCGGAACGAGCTGGGTTGGGAAGAAAATCGGGCGACTTGTCTGGGCGAGGGTTTGGCTCGTTTGCGGGTGGAGGGGAGTAGGGTTCTTCGCTCGGCCAATTTGCTTTGAAGTCTTGTTCGAGAGCATCGAGTGATACGAGTTGGATTTGGTCGACATAATCGTCAGTGACAATGTAGCGAGCATTGACAAGAGCTTGGAGAGTGGTGGGGGTGTTGCGCTTCTTTGCGACGAGATGAGTGGTGAATTGAGCAATGTAATCAACAATGCACTTGATTCCTAGAGGCTCGAGGATGTGACGTTGGTCTACGAGTGGATCTTCGAGTTGACGATAGGCGCGAGGGAGCGAGGGAAAGGAAAAGACGATGGGTTGCCATTTGATATGGAAGTGGTGTTCGTAATTGCCCAACTTGATCTTGTTGTCGTTCCTGTCCAGATGTTTCGCGGTACCTTTTTCCAGGCGGTCGCTGTTGAGCCAGGAGCCAACCTTTGAATTGTCGATGAGTTGCAGCTTTGTCTTTGCGTGGAGGTGCTTGCTCTCTCCAGGCTCGACTTTGGCGACGTCGACAGTCAAGTGTTTGCGAGAGACGGACGAGTTTTCGATGTATCGCATACCTTTTTGACATCAGTGAGAATTCGGGACTGAGCACGGCAGCCATGTTGGACGTACGCTGGCCTGGCTCTGGCTTGGATGTGCGGCCGAGAACCAGCTTGGTGCCTGGTCGCAGCCAGATGCGCTTGTCTGTAGAGAGTCAGTGGTCATGTTTTCTTTATTTTGTGGGTTGAGCATACTCTCGAACAAGTCGCCATCACACTCCAGGAACCACATGTTGGCCGGTCGAGCGCATCGAAAGAAAAGAGAGAAAATGTTCACATGGAAGGCGATGGTTGTTTCTGGGAAGACGCGACTGCCTGGCCGAGGCTGCTGCTGTTTCGCGCCCGCGACATGTCCGTGCCCAAACTGCTTCTCGTCAATCGTCAAGTCCCTTGGCCTTTCCACTTAATCAATTAATCCTCCTGCGCCACCGACCAACCAACAAAGAGTGCTCGATCCATCATCATCATCATCATCATCATCATCATCATCATCATCCACTCTTCCACATACGCTGCCTGCACAATATGTACACAACACCATTGGAATGCCGTTTCATGCATCAACAAGTCGCCTGCATCCTTAGTGTCAGTCGAGTGTTAATCACTACTCCGCTTCGTCTCTTCAATTACTGTACCAATCCTGCGCCAAGGATTCTTGAACCATCACTACTGTATCTATATTGCCTCCATGCACTACATCGCCTCCATGTCTCGTTGTGGACTTCTGCCCAAGCCTGCAAAGCGTTGATCGGTAAGCTGCATCATGCTGCCATCAAGTATAAATCCTTCCGATCGTCAGTGAATGGTTTTTCTAGCCTTTTCAACACACCTTGAATACCAATCCGCTATCATGGTCTTGACAATTCCAGAAATTCTTGCTTTTCTTGCTTTTATCTTACTTCTTATGAAGGCACTGACCATAGGCCGCCGCCATAAACACTACCCTCCCGGACCACCCACCTTGCCTATACTTGGCAACATCCACCAGGTCCATCCATCTGTACCCACTTCGTGCGAGAACGTATACTTAGCCTCATTCAGATGCCCAAGAGAGATGCACACCTTCAGTTCCAGAAATGGGCCTACAAGTACGGTCCCATCTATAGTCTGATGCTTGGCACCAGAGTCCTTATAGTTCTGTCCAGCGATCAAGCAGTCAAAGATCTCCTCGACAAACGCAGTGCAATTTACTCCGCACGTGAAGACATGTACGTCGGCCAGACGCTCTGCAGCGGAGGCTTGCGTTTCCTGATGATGGTCGGTTCTCCCAGTCTTCCTAAAAGTACTATACTAAACTTTTGAAGGAATATGGGCCAACATGGCGCTACTTTCGCAAAATGTGCTACATATTACTGAATGTTAATGTTGCTAAGACTTATGTCCCTTACCAGCTCCTGGAGAATAAGCAAATGCTGTACGAAATGCTCGTGTCTCCAGACCGTTGTCTGCAGAACATTCGTCGTTATTCAAATGCTTTAACAACAACCATGGTCTTTGGCTGGCGGACTCCTACTTATGAAGATGATGCTATGAAGCAACTCTACGAAGGCTTCTCTGAATTTGTGCAGATCAACCAGACTGGAACGGCTGCACTACTCGATTCCTTTCCTCTTTTGCGGAAGCTTCCGGACCGGATGTTTCCTCTGCAAGCGAGAGCGAAGGAGGCATTCAAGAAAGAAAGACAGCTCTATGTCGGTCATTGGCTCACAGCGAAGAAGGCGATGGAAGCTGGTACCATCCAACCTTGCTTCTGCGTCGGCATGGCACAAGCTCAGCGAGAAGCAGGCTTCTCAGACGATCAAGCAGCTTACATTACAGGAACTCTACTAGAGGCTGGTAGTGATACTACTGCAAGCACGCTTTATGCTTTTGTGCAGGCCATGCTGCTCTTTCCTGCAGTCCAAAAGAAGGCGCAGGAAGAGATCGATCGTGTTGTCGGCAAAGATCGTCTGCCGACAATGGAAGATGAGCCCAGTTTGCAGTATATCCGAGGCTGTGTGAAGGAAAGTCTTCGATGGATGCCGACAACAATTCTTGGCGCAGTTCCACATGCTGTGATCCGAGATGATACTTATATGGGCTACAAGATACCGAAAGGCGCAGGTGTAATGAACAATGTATGGGCGATCCATATGGATTCTAACCGCTCTCCTGAACCACGACGCTTTGATCCAGACAGATTCAAGGACGACTTCCTGAATTGTGCGGATTCAGCAACGCAGCCAGATGCTTCGAAAAGAGATGCGTTCACTTTCGGAGCAGGCAGAAGGATCTGTCAAGGTATGCATGTCGCTGAGCGTAGCCTCTTCCTTGGCATATCTAGAATGTTGTGGGCGTTTGACATCAAACCTGTCATTGATTCCGCTACAGGAGAGGCGATTTTGCCTGATCCTGACAAATTGACGCAAGGCATCTTGGTAATGCCTGAAGAGTACAAGGTCAAAATTACACCCAGGGATGAAATCAGAGCAGACCTCATCAGGAAGGAATGGCAAGAAGCAGAAGAATTGCTTGATCCCGTAACCAAGCAGTGGAAGCAGACGCCAGAAGGTATGGTGTTGCCGAGCTTGTAGCTAGTAACAACTAGACCACAGCTCATGGTATGGAGACAAATGTCCGCATTTGGACACACCTGTGCATTCTGGCAGCTTGATATATCATGTGTACGTTGCATGAAGAGTGATCGCTTAAGATCAAGCTGCCTACCAGTATACAACTTCACAACGTGAGTCGTAACTCGCGTGCTCCACCATGACAACATTGGCTTGGCAGCACGTCTTGCACAAGACGTCGGCAACTCACCACTCAACCACAACCACTAAAGTCTAGATAGCCAAACATGACTCTTGAACCAAGCTTCGTACCGATCACTGTTCGGGGCCGCTATCTCTGGAGGGGAGATGAAAGAGTAAGTCTAGCTCATCCATGAAGCTTGGATCAACCTCCCTAATTACGAACAAGTTCTTCGTTCGAGGAGTTGTCTATTACCCGAAAGACAATCGGCACAACCCCATCTTCAATGATCCTATAGCAGACGACTGTATATCCATGCTAGAACAGAATGTTGTACTGTTCAAGGAACTTGGAATCAACACCTTGTATATATGTTTGTCGTCTACAAGCAACAAAATGAGCATCACTAAAACGACCAGACTCTGTCGACAACACGAAGCAGCACGACAAAGCCATGAAGTTGCTCCAAGAAGCGGGAATTTATGTTGTGGTGGTGAGCAAGCCGCTGGTTTATGGGAACAGAGCTGGACTGACATAACAACAAACAGGGCGTCTCGACTCCATCTTGCTGCATCAACCGATCCGATCCTTACGAGTCATACAACACTGCTAACGTCTCTTATTTTCTCAAAACGGCGGGTGTCATGGCTGGTTATGCAAACACCCTGGGCATTGTCGCAACCTATCACATGGCTGGTTTTCGTGATTCGCTTCACGCATTCCCTGTATTAAAAGCTGTCATTCGGGATCTCAAGAGATTCCTACTTGCCAGCCACAAGAGCAAGGGAACACGAGTACTTCCTGTAGGCTATTCGCAACCAACTGCTGTACACATCAAGCGTTCAGAGTTCCTGGAGTATCTGTACCTCGGCGACCAAGAAAGCGCGATCGACTTCCTAGCGGCAAGTTACCGTTTGAAACGTGTTGCAGGTTCTAGGATGCTGACTACTCACAGCTACCGAACTATGGATGGGCGGGGATAAAATCGAACATGCAAATGTCTGGCTGGAACGCTCTCGTAAGTTTGTCCTGCCTCCCCGTGTGCTCAAGTCTGTGGCTCCAATTGTACTCCGTCTATGGCAAGGAGCAAATTTCACACCGAAGAAAGGCACGATCATTCTGAGACGCAGAAATGTGTCCACAGAGAGTCGATTAGTTGTCTTCTCTCGGTGGCAACTGTCCTGTTTCCTGGTGGTGTTGTACATTTCTACAGCTGTACACGTCGAGTCAGCATACGGAGAGATGCAATCCAAGAAGCAGGCATGAAGTGAATTAACCATCTAGCAGATCGATCGATATGAGAATTTCGCCATTCCTGCGTTCCTTTCGGAGTATGGTGTGAACACATACCAACCTCGGCAATTTTTAGAAACCTCAGCACTCTACTCTGACCCCATGACCAGAGTGTTTTCTGGCGGCTGTGTATACGATTTTACGGACACGCCTAACAACTTCGGCCTAGTAGCAATGCCGGGTGCAGATAAAGAAAGGTGGTTCCAGAACTTCAGAGGCAACGAGAAAAAGGTTAACGAGGTACGACAAACCGACCAGGGCAATCTCTACATTTATCACGACTTCGTCAATTACAAAAAAGCCCTTGCTGAACCCACTGGTTACGACCCGAGTTGGGACATTATGGAGAGCCAGGCAGTGGAAAGACATAACATTGACACGACCCAAATGACCTGGCCATGGGACCCCCGGTATCAAATGCCTGCTACATGCATAGATTGGGATAGTATCGAGGAGGTTGTGAGGCGTTAGCAGGGGATTGGTTCACACCACACCTCATGGAACTCCAGGACTCAAACTCAAGAACTCATCTACTACTTGACCTCGAACCTCGGGAAGATCAAGACGGCTCGATTGGTATATCAAATTGCAACACTGAAGTTTCACGAAGCATTGCCAAGTCCGTCCGACTGTTTTTGTGCCGAAGGACTCTCGGACGTAACAACAGGCGCCAGGCGAATCACAAACAAGAGATGCTCACACAAAAAGGGCCATAGTTAACGACGACGAGTCACGCTGACAACTTTATGTGCTTACGTGCGGAGTGCAGTCGACCTTGGTCGATTTTGGAAGGTAGCTTTCTTCACAGGCCCCGAAGAAGGTCGGGCGCCCTGTACATCACCGCACATCTTTCCCTTATAGATTGACACCTTCACGAAAGCAGCAAATCAGAAAATAGAGATTAGTCCGAGGCAAGTCGCCAAAGGTATAAAAACGCCACATTGCGGAGGAGGCGTGGATCCCGTCCATGAAGCTTAACCGTTAAGCTTCACCACTCTCCATGTTTATGTCGATCCCCTTTACCCTACTCCACAGACCGAGGCATGGCGCCGCATGGCTGGCGAACAGTACAACCGGGTGATGCTTGATTGGTCAGTGGTGATGGTTAGTAGACCGCTTCGCTGCATGCTCACGCTGAGTGCTGCAGATCAACAAGGCAAACCTCCTCTTTCCCCAATGATCAGCAATACACCTTCCTTACGCCATCAATATGACCCGGAGATTCAGACCATCCCCGCAAAGCATACTGTGGTCACGCCCAGAAATGTGAGACTTGGCTGAAGTGCCAAAGGGCTATATAAACAGCATCAAAATCGCACGATGAATCCTTCTTCTCCTCAAGTCAATCTTCAAACATCACAATCATCACTATGAAGAACATCGCTATTGCCTCTCTCTTTGTTGCTTCGGCATCAGCCTTCCCTTGGGTTGTTGACCAGCCTGGCGTTGACAGCTCTCTGCTTGGACGCAAGGTCAGACGTCAGCAGCCTGGCGGATACCAAAATGGTGGTGCTGCCACTTGCCCTTTCAACTCAGACCACAAGGGTGCTGCACCATACAACTCCAAGTACCCCTACAACGGTGCTCAGAACGGCTTACCTGGAAAGGGTGTCGGTGGCTACCAAGTGCCTGCTCCTGGTGATACCGCACACCAGTATGTGGCTCCTGGCAAGAACGACATTCGTGGCCCCTGCCCTGGTCTTAACGCAGCTGCCAACCACAACGTGAGTTCATCGATTTCTTTTCACAAGATCCTTACTGACTCTTACAGTTCCTTTCTCACGATGGTATCACTACCTTCAACGAGCTTGTAGATGCTCAGCAGAACGTTTACAACGTTGGATATGACCTGGCCACGCTTCTCGCAGCCCTTGGTCTTACCCTTACCGATGGTGATCTTGTCACCGAGAAGCTTTCCATTGGATGTGATGCCACAACCAGAACCTCGTTCAGCCCTGTGCTCACAGGATCCGAGCCTGGTCTCGACGGCCACAACAAGTTCGAAGCCGACTCATCTCTTACCAGAGACGACTACTTCCTTGCTGATGGAGACAACTACTCCTTCAACGGCACACTCTTCGGCATGATGCAAGACACTTGCCAGGGCAACTTCAACCGCGAGAACTTGTCCAAGTACCGCCTGCAGCGCCACACTCAATCACTTGAGGAGAACCCCAACTTCTTCTTTGGTCCTTTGACTCTTCTTCTCTACGGAGCTGCTTCCTTCTTGTACGAGCTTATGCCTAACGGCAACCACAACTACGCTCCTGACCTCGAGACCATCTCTTCCTTCTTCGGTGCCGAGAAGAAGGATGACGGTACCTGGGGCTTCACTGGCGGCGAGCGCATCCCCGACAACTGGACCAACCGTGTTACCCCCTACTCCAACCTCGACGTCACCACCGAGATTGTTACCATGTACCTTGAGAACCCCGTCTTGTTCGGTGGCAACACTGCCGATGGCAGCTTCGACGCCATCAACTTTGGCGCTATCAAGAACGGTACCCTTACGGCTTCAGTCAATGGCCCAGACACTGCTTGTCTGCTGTACCAGCTTGTCACTGGTCAGGTGCCTAGCTACCTCAATGGCTTGATCACTCCTACTGTTGATGCGCTTAACTTTATCTCTAGCAAGGTCGCGCCTTCCTTCAAGAACTTGGGATGTCCCATTGCTCTTACCTAAATTGGGAAGCACAAGCCTACGACAAGATGAGGGTTATGGAAAATATGAGATTAATGCTCCTGGAGGGTGTTTCTTCATGGCTCAGATTGAATACAGGACACTGGTTGTTACATATGAATGATAATGAAAGAACACTCGAACTCTTTACACTGCTTTTCCATTCCATCGTTGTACCTCGATTGTTTGCTTGATTGTCTCGGCGATGGTGTCAGGTTCTAGCTATTCGGACTGGCTGCTTTGATGAACACGTTTTGTGAAGATGCAAAAGAGGTTATAGCAGATCTGTGTGCCACCTAGGAGAGGATGATTTCGGGAGCTTCTAACCATCAAGAATCTTGAGCATCTCCTGCACCGAATGGCACTTTTCTCGTTCCTTACCCTTGGCTTGTCCTCTTCTCTTTTCTTCTTTGTCTATCTTTAGCCAGTCGTCCCAAGTGATGCTTCTTATGCCGCGCTTCTCTGCTTCTTTCTTTACTTCATTCCAGCCTGCTTTTGGCTCATCGCTAGAGCCGATGAACTTCACGCCGTCCGCCCAGTCTTTTGCGACAATGTCGGCGCTAGTGAATGCATCTTGCATGGTACTTGCGATCACGCCGGTGGGACCCCTCTTGACCCAGCCTGCTGCGTACATACCAGGCACATGTCCTGCACCAAGCGCGCCTGGCCCACTGTCGGGACTTAACACTCTGCCGTGCAGATCATTGGGAATGATGCCTAGTTTGCGATCGAAGGGTATGCCTAGCTCTTCAAATCCTTCTAGAGGTTCTGACTGGTAGCCGACAGACCGAAAGGCAAGATTTGTACTAAGCACTTCCTGTTTGCCGTTTTCTTTCTTTTTGACACGCATGCTCCGTAGAGCATCTAGATCGCTCAATGGAACGGAAGCTGGGTCTTGAGTGAATTCCATCTCGTCGACGCGGACACCACCTAGAGTGCCGGCATTGGAAGAACACTCCTCGAAAGCGACTGGACTGCGCATGTAGAGCAGTTCCCACTGCCGCGCGGCTTCGGCTACAGCAGTGGAAGAGCCTTTCTCGATGACTTGAGCAATGCGCATAAGGGGACGAGGCAACTTCTTAGTCTCTGCGGGGAAGAGAGAACGATCAGGAGTGTTGAAGGCAACACCGGGGAGTTGCATCAATTCGCGAACTTCCTTGATGGTATATGGGGCTTGCAGAGGCCCTCTTCTACCGACGACTCTGACTCTGCGTACTCTGCTCTTGGAGAGGGTTTCCAAGGCGTTTTCGGTCATGTCTGTGTGTCTGAGCCTGTCTAGTGGGGAAAGAAGGACTCTGGCTACGTCCAAGGCGACATTTCCCTGACCAATGACAACAGCTTCGTCGCTGCTATCGAGGGCAGGATTTAGATCTGCATATTCCGGTAGGCCATTGTACCATCCAACAAAGGCACGAGCAGACACGACACCACTCAGATCTTCTCCAGCAATTCCCAGCTTGCGATCTTGCGAGGCACCATACGAGAAGAGAAGGGCGTTGTAGTGAGGAGCGATGGACGAGAGAGGCAGAGAGGAGGGAGCGGAGCCAATGGTGGTGTTACCAACGAAGGTAAAGGAGGGATGGGAGGCGACTTCGACAAACTTATCTATGCAATTCTTGGGCAGATGGTCAGATTGAGTCATGAGAATACTGAGCAAACGACAGGACGGTACCTTTACTTCTGGATGGTCTGGAGCAACACCAAAGCGGACCAGACCGTAGGGAGAGGGCAGGGCCTCATACATGTCGACGCGCGCATTTGGCATCTTCTGCAGCATGCGATAGGCAGCGTAGAAGCCTGCCGGGCCTGATCCTATCACGGCGCATCTGAATAGTCGCTCGCTATCCGCTGTGGAGTATAGTCGGCCGCCATTATACCTGCCTCGAGAGGTGGCGCTTGGTCGTACCTGCCTGGCACAGCTCAGTCGTCGCAGCAAAGTTGCCATGTTTGTGGCAGGAGCGGCTGTCTCCCAGCCACTCTTTGTGTCCCTTGGTTCAGGCTGGTTGAGGCTGGTGCTGCTTTTCCGGCGGCTCCCCGCACGTCATGTCGCCGCACAGGCGATCCGGGAGCTGATCCGATGCTCGTTATCGCTCTTATCGACCGTCCCCGCAGCAACCATGTGTTTGGCTGACCAAGTACACAGAGAATATATGGCCGCAATCGTAGCCGTTTCATTCCTCGTTCCTCTTCCTTGTGCAGATTCTTTTCGGGGTACGCGCTTGGGTTTCGAATTGGTCACAGCCGTCAGGCATACCACTCATTCCACCATGGTCGGCATCACTCCGCCTTACCTGTTCTCGCCAGTCAATCAGCAGGACAGGGATCCGAGCTACGACTTTGACCCAAAGGCCGTTACGCGTGCCAGCTACTGCTCAATCGCTTCTTCAACGTCGACTCCTAAGCCCAAGCAGGAGGGTCCACTGATCGACTTCAACAGACACCCTGATAGCTACATCATCGTTTCCTCAGCCCGTCCCAATGTCCCGCCTATGCATCCAAACACAAAGCAGAGGATCAACACGGCCCGATGGATTCAGTTTGCTCTTCGTTTGCTCCAGCTCGCTGCTGCTCTGGGCGCCCTGATATGTGTCATCATTATCAGAGGGGTCAACGATGTTCAGGGTTGGATACTCAGGATCCCTGTGAGCATCATCCCAAGTCTCCTCCTACTTCTTATCATTGCTGACTCGTCAATGACAGCCTGCTGTGGATGCTGTAGTCTGCACCTATGCCCTCTACAACCTTCAGCGCTCGCCGAGAAGACGTCCTCCAACATCTTCGGCTAGTTACAATGCCTTCTCTTTCTTTGCCGACATTGCCCTGTTACCTTTCTATGTCTTCATTGCTTTCTACACGGCTACCAACTGGACAATGGCACCTGATGCTGATGGTCGTTGGTCTACTTTCTTCCACTCCTCGTCCAAGGATGGCAAGGTGCTCGAATCTGCCTTCCTCATCGGTACTGTGGCAGGTGCTTTGCATCTGTTCAGTACTCCCATTGACATCTACTTGTTCTCGACCTTCAAGAAGATTTCTCAGTACCCTCCCGACATGAACCCCCTGGAGGATAATCTCACCAGCAGGATCAATCGTAAGCATACTTACAAGAGTAGTGATGCATCGGCAGCCATGTCCGAGCAAAGACTGGCCATGTTGAGTGGCAGCTCCTTGAGTCTCAGCAGCCCTGCCCGTGTCTCAAACATGGATAAGCTCATCCCTGAGGCCAATGTCCGACCCATGTCCTTCTACCAATCACGCACCAACCTGGACCCTAGCTACTCTGGTCATACTCAGGAATCTGCTCGCCAATCCAGATTTGAATATCAGCAACCGGCTTCTGCTTATGTATCGCAAACCAGCCTGCACCGCACCTCGCAGTCTCATGAGCGTGAACGTTCCCGTTCGCGATCCTCTCGACCTCAGTCATTCCAGCGTTACGCAAACCAAAGACCTACTACTCGTGATTCCGTCCATGATCCCATGCCAACCCGCCCACTGTCTTTCATCACTGCTTCAGAGAATTTGAGCCGCACTGGCACTCCTCAATCTGGCCGCGGATCTCAGAAGGATCCAAGTGCACAAGCGTTGCTCAATGACAACTGGTTCGTCCTCGCTGATGACGATGCCGATTTGTCTTCTCCTCGCCGTACTCCCGTTCCCGAACTCGTGTCCGACCGCGACTCCAGTCCCGAGGCCCACGAGCCGAATGTCACTCAGCTTCGTTTCGCCAGCGAGGAGTACAACGAACTTCTGCCCAAGCCTCTTCGCATGCATCCTCCTACTCCTCCAGAGCGCTCGTTTGATGCTGCCGATTTCTACTTTAATGACATGCCCAATGGTACTCTCGAACTCGACGACTACTCTCTACATCAGATTCAATCCAACACAAGCATTGGACGTGCTTTGAGCCCTCCGGCTACCGAAGCTGCTGCGGTGTCCGCCAAGTCATCATTGTATTCTCAGAGCCCCGATGATACCAGCCGCTCGAGTACACCTAAGGTCAAGCGCTATGGCAACTTGACTCCCGCCATCAAGGACCTCCAGGAACAGACCGTGCCTAGAGGCCAAGGTCGTGTCGTCAGCAGGACTGGCGTCGACATAGCTGATGCAAGCGTACTTTACTTCTCATCTGATGATTCTCATAGCGCCCGCGCGCGCAATGTGAGTGGCAAGGTCGCTGAAGAAGGTCTTGGCGGAGCATGGGCTAGGAAGAGACATGTTAGCGGAAAGGCATGACATCCTGCTCTGGGAGCAAGGGACTCAGTACACTGATTGTGTCAAGCAAGCGTAGAGCAAGTATAGATAGATGTTGGATGGGCGTTTCAAGAGCATGATTACGATGAGTTTTGTTACACGATGGAATGGTTGGAATATGCAACGAGGCACGATTTCGGTATCAGAAGTGTCCATAATACAGATATGACCGACGGACAGCAGGCTATGTAGTCGAAACACAGATCAATGATTACTCCCAACGACCACTATCCCACTCAATCAAGCCTTCTCCATTCGAGGTATAAGGTTTTTTTTACAAGCCGTAAAAATGTATGAGTGTAATCAGAATATGAGTATGCCATTGAAGAAGCCTTTAATAGGGGTTTCTCTGTGGAGACAACATTTTTTCGCGAAAATATTGTACATTTCTATAGCTACATTGTGACTGTCTTCTGCCCACGTGGATGTATACATGTTTAAGATACCTCTCATCGATACAGCAATCGATAAACCTCCTCGGCGATCGCCAAACTACTTGTCAGCCCGGGACTCTCGATACCCAACAAATTCACGAATCCATTATAGCCCTCCTCTTTCTTGATATAAAAGTCTTGGAAGCCCTTTCCCGCACCTACAGCACCCAACTTGCCTAGCTTTGGTCTTATGCCCGCATAATCAAGCGCAACGGCAGACTCATCGATGCCTGGTAGGTACTTTTTAATATCTGCAATTGCGGCACGGAAGCGCGCGGGGTCAGATGTGGGTGTGTAGTCGCTGGGACTGTCTACCCACTCGACGTCGGGGCCGAAACGGACTCGTCCTGCCATGTCTAGCGTTAGATGGGTGCCTAGACCGCCTTGACCGGGCACGGGAGCTGGATAGACCAAGACGCTTGGTTTGGGATGGCCAGCTGCGTAGGAGAAGTAGTTTCCTTTTGCGTAGAAAGGTTGCATGTGTCTCTCCTTTGGCAAGATCATGTTGCTGATTTCGCAGGCATATAGGCCTGCAGAGTTGATGACGATCTCTGCAGTTATGGGTTCGGTTTCCGCAGTGCTGTCTTGAGGGTCTGCCGTGTAAATTTTCCAGTCCGGTGATGCTTGAGTGGGTGATTCTATGCGTGTTACTTTTGCGCTCAGAGCTGTGTCGCCACCAGCGTCTTCGAAACTGCCGTGGAGAAACGTCATGTAGGCGTGGCTGTCGAGGATACCCGTTGTGGGTGATTCTAATACTGCAGCTTTGGCCTGAACATCGGGTTCTCTGCGCTGCGCCTCTTCTTTACTCAAGAACCGCGTAGGCACACCAATACTACTCGCAAAGCTATGCACTTTTTCGATTGCTTCGGCTTGGGTGGCATCCTGTGCAACAACCCACTTGCCACAGTTTCTGTATGGGATATCGTGTTTGGCGCAAAGCTCATACAACATCTCCTTGCCTTGCACACATAACTTTGTCTTTAGCGAGCCGTGGCCGTAGTAGATTCCTGCGTGAATGACTTCGCTGTTGCGACTGCTGGTCTCCGTGCCCACGCCTTTGTGCTGCTCGATCAGGACTGTGGAGGCTGAAGGAGAGTGTTGTTGCAGGCGGCGGGCGATTGCTAGCCCCACTGCTCCACCACCAATGACTGCGTGTGTGAAATCTGCTTGTGCTCGGCTAGTGTTGCTGAAGTATCGTGCTCCTTGTCGTAGTATAGATGGTCTTGCAACATGTTGTATTGCTTTTCGGTGATAGATTGGATTCATCTTTGTTGGAGTTTTCTTCGCCGCGTGGTTTCATGCAGTGGCGGTTTCCGACCAAGTAGCCACTTGCCTCAGGTGTTCAAGGTCTTGGTGCGTGATGTAACGCTCTTTCCCGGCTGAGTGTTTCGCCCCAAGAATCTTGCTGCACCTCACACTTGGCAATCGGACGATGCAGTGGAGTAGGCTATAAATCCTGGCCCCTTCGACGCTGTCCTGAGCGATAAAGCACACTGGGAAAAGATGTCTTTTCGCTTGTTGATATTGAGCAAGGTCTCTGGTATCGCCGTTGTCCAAAAGTTGATGGAGGTCTAGTGGCGTGCTCACCAGCCACACTTCTTGGCTGCGCAGTTTCCGAAAATGATGCCATCATCATGATTGTCTATGACATTTATGATATAGGGCAGCGGTTTTCACGGACTCGACAGTTTTCATATAACTTCTTGGCTATTGATTAAAAGGGCCTGAGTTTACGCAAGCATCTATGTGTTACCATCCAATCCAAGAGAGCCCCGAATGCCTAGAGACCCATCCGAACAAACGCCAGAATTCATAAAACCCAAGATTTCGAGAGCACCCCCAATCACATACAATTCATGATGGTACACCTTCATAATCCCAACCTCCTTCGCCGCGCTTGAGTCGTCGTCTAGTGTTCCGTCTGTTGGCAGCACACTTGACAAGGATCGTCAATATCGCCAAAAGCAACACAATAACACCCGCAACCGTGGGAATGACAACTTTAGGCTTGCTCCCATCTCTGTCTTCATGGCGGTAAGGGCAGACCGCGTCCACACCGCTGACCCAACAGTTCTTGGTATCGATATCGTTGATACTAAGCCAGGCGACCGGGGGGCCGTCCAAATCAGTCTGTCGAGACAGCCAATCTCGCGCAGCTGCAATCATGTAGCGATTTTCCAGTGCAGTACGAGGGACAGCAAAGCTAGAATTTTGGTCGCACGCTTCGTCTCCCTGGTAGTAAAGCGCCTTGTCGTCGCTAACGCTGAACTCGTAAGGAGAGTTGTTGCGGCGACAGATGAAGTGGTTCTCATCGGTGCAGTCGGCTACTTCCCAAAGTCCGTCGTTGCTCAGATTTGTTATTGCGCAATGTCGACCGGTGGTCCCCGTCGTCAGACTGTCGCCAGGCTGATCTTCGCCCCAGCCCCAAAGAGAGTCGCGTACATACGTGTAATATGTTGTGCTATTACCTATTGCCAAGCTGCCCAAAAGTGGTTTGTTCAGTATCGGTGAGATACCACACGATGAAAGATTCAGAGCAGCATCGGCAGTCGTATTCAGAGATGTCATGTTGGGAAGGTTGCTGGAGATGGCCCATGAAGAGTTCGATGCAGAAAGTGTGGTGTTGCCAGGTTGGTAAAAGCATCCACTTGTGACTGTACCATTGGAAGATATCGTCGTACCAATATTGTTAGAGATGTATCCAGGAAGAAACATGGTTTCGGCATCTGCGTTGAAATCATACTGTTGCATCTGCGAATCGACTGATCCAATACCCGCTATAATACGCAGTGCATGCAGAAACATGATAATACTCTCACTGGGCCATCCATCTGGCGTATATAGCGCGGAGCCATTACCCAGTGGTATCGTCGTCATGTACTCCACTATTGGAGGGTTTTGAATGTCGTGTGCGAACCAGGATGAATTGAGATTGGCTCTCTCGGACCGAAGAGCAGCTGGCGTATAGATATATGAAGAGAGAGATGAGTTAATAAGATCGCTAATGTAGTTTCCAAAGGTGGGCAACCTTTGAGGATCGGCTGGGCTCGACGTGTCCGTCGGATCATCAAATGGGGCAGCTAGTCGCACGTTGAATTCAAGGTACTTGAAAGTCGCGTTAAGGTTGTTCTCAGTCGCTTCGAAATAGTCCGCTAGTACGTCGGTCAAGGTGGAGATACCAATGCTCTCGGTACATGAGTAACTGCCAATCTGAAGTCCAGTTTGCGATGGTTGAGCAGTTGAGGAAGTCTGCGACATTGCTGCAGAGCTGCCTCCGCTGGTCAGACTGAGACTGCTCGCATCGCTTGCAAGTGTAGCGGCCGTCAATGCTGCGTTGGTGATAGATGCAGCAGCAGCAGACTCGGAGGAAAATTCGGATGTTTGTCGGGCATGGATTTCCCCCCACTGGTGCACATCATCATTCGCACTGATCAAGGAGCTGCGGAGAATGTGCCGCTTTGAGGGCTCGACGGTATCTCCAGCAACTCTGGCTTCTGTCAGAGTAGCTGATGGGCTTGTGGAAGAAGACGATGTAGAGAGACTGCTGGGAAAGCCTCCAGTATTGATAGGCGTGGTCGAGTTTCCTTGACTGCTGAGTTCGACGGGGCACAGACTCCATGTTTGCCGGCTTTGGTCCCAGTACAAGTCGACAATCAGCCTATGGAAGCCAAGTGCAAGGAGGTTTGACAAGCACTGCTGTGCAGCAGCATCTTCGTATCGCCGGTCCGAAAAACAGACGGGGGTCAGGTCAACTCCTGGTGCTGTGACATAGTTGATTGGAATCCTGCTGGCTACATCTCTTTGTGACTATAGAATATGCCTAGTAAGCCACACATACGCTATGCCGTATCGCTCGAACCTCTCCTTACCAGTAGCGCGGTATAGAGTGTAAGGGAAAGCGCGGTCGAGAGGTCGGGGGCGTAGCTCGAATTCATGGCGCGCAGCACTCAGACTGGCCGGTGGAATGTCACAATCTCCATACGATACGAAGCAGGTTTTCCAAAGTCTCGCTCTCTGCTCAGTAGCCCCCGATCTTCGCTGTTGAGTCTTGACAGGTTTGACAGGACACGCGGTGGATCAGTACGTCTGCAGTCATTGCGCCCAGCCGAAGCCGCTCTTAGGCCGAAACAGGCATAGTCGCTTGGCGTAGACAGCGAAAATGGCCAGGGCCAACAGATCATCGTGTCTCTTTTTGGTCTAAGGGCCAATCCCAGTCTATACCGGGACAAGTAGCGGGCGAGAGCTGCATATCACGCGGTCTCGTCGCTTCGTTTTCCTTGCTGAAGATGACTGACTCTTTGCAGTACCGATAGTGCATTACCGGATGCTTCTTCCATGATCCCCTGGGGGCCATGGCTAAACATTCAGCCATGGGATCAGGAGATACTTGCTCCCGTGCGGGAGCTTGAGAGGTTCCGTAGTCAAAAGCAGGCGCTGCATGGCCTCCTCGGGAACAAGAAGCATACCACAGTGAGTTGCCTAAATTGGGATGGCAGCGTGGAGCAAAAGCCACACTATCCTAACACGAGCACAGGCACCTCCTTTTGAGCGTCTGTGGTACCTTTTGTGTAGGGCGATGCGGCATGCCGAAGTGCAGCAACCGCGAAATGTGACAGTGCTGGGGCTCTGCTGAAGAACGGTTGAGGACGGGAGCAGTCGCTTGCTGGGTCACGAACATAACGCGACATTCACTACGGGCCCACAGCCTTCTCCCCTATCAGCATGTCAGTACCTATGTGAGTTACCTCGCTAAGCAATGCTCGGATCTGGAGACATGCCTAAAGGTCTCTGACAGCGTCTGCAGCACTGCAAGGACTTCCAGATTTGTCAATTATCAAGCCATCAGCATTCACTACCAAGGGACCCTGTGAGATGGTATACCCCAGTGTCTCTCATCTAACCCACATGTAAGCCACGTGAAAAGTGCTTCCGATACTGCCAGCCAAGATGACTGAAGTGGCTTTGCGCGTCTACCAGTCGATGCTGGCCGCGAAACCGAGGTTGGAATATCTCAGCCACCTGCTGTGGCACTTTGATCGCAACGGCGAAGGATAAAAGCATATCCCAGGCCCGAGCGGCTATACCATTCCAGATACTTGAAATGTTTCAGAATTGGAGATTTATGTTTGTGGTCAGGCTTGCACAGTGCATACCCTTTGACGAGTTGGCGCTTTTCTGTGGTAAGCTCTCTGGCGTTGATTAACTCTGTCTCGTCAAATTCTTGGTGCGAGAAAAACTTTGGCCAAGGAGTTCATGGAGAAAAGCAAACGGTCGGACCGCGGCGACTTGCCGGCAAGGTCATCGGGATTCGAGAGTTCCTGCCTCCTGGATGATTATGTACGAGTTTGCAAAATTTGGCTTTGACAACTCGTATGCTGGAGCTCTTCTTGCGGAGAGTTTCGCACTGCGCAGGACCAGAACCTGATCAGCCCCCAAGCGAATTGTGATCGGTCAGATCTTGATCATCTGACAGGACAAGCTTGAATGATCGCTCTTCTGATAACACTCAAAGATATGAACCATGCCGCTTACGCGCACAGGATGGGAAAGCATGTCACATTGGCACAGCGTCCCACTTCAAAGCAAGGTGCATGAGGAACTTAGGACAAGTCAGTCGCCAAGCAGGGTTTGGAGCAAGCATAGGCTGCATAGCGCGTAGGGTGGATACCGAATGTACATGTTTTGTTCTTTCTGCACGGAAGTGTGGCCCCTGGATGACAGCTAGAGCGAGAAGCACGGCTGAAGGTCAAGGAAGTTGTACACGTACGAGTTCCGCAAAGAATTCTTAGCATCATCATGGTTGCGTGTTGCAACGTTGAGCCCCCCCGAAGGCCAATCTCACAAAGTGGGAAACGTCTGGTGAGCTGAATCTCTCCTGTCGCCAAAGTCGTTGTACCGCTTCCGTGGCCGGTGAGAACTGTATGCGTTGCCACTGTTATGGCAGTTTGTGCTGTTATTTCGTTTCTGATGAGATGGAAACGTCGGTGGCAGTTGTGCTGTCCCTGTAACGACAGAACGTCTTTCGTACATAACGGTGAGACTGGAGTGAATAAGATTAATGTAATCAGAACATGAACGGTTCATGCAAACAAACAAAGGACTGGATGTCAATGTAAACATAAACATGAGCGGAAAGGGGACACAGACGCCTGTGAAAGTGTCTGACTGTACAGGCACACACATTTCAGTATGGAAAGCGCAAGAGCTCGAGAAATTTGAGGACAGTAAACTGTTTGTCGTATGGATCTACCCGACAACGTAATCGTGATAGAGATGTCTGCAGTTTCTTGTCTCAGAATAAAGTGCACTGTGTGCGTTTGCAGCACCAGTGAGAGGAGGTTTGACAGTGGACGGCACCGATGAAGAAGATATACCGCTCTGAGAACGGTATGCAGCTGTTGAATCTTAGGGCTGGAAGCTATAAGGCAGTCTCAAGAGCAGTAGGGAAAATGGCAAACAAGTAATTGGAAAATAAGTGTAATGATAGCGAATGTTCATAATACTCGAATGCAATTGAAGCAAAAACAAGTTGGGTATACACAATCCACCGTCCCAGGCCCCATGCATAGATTACAAACGCCATGAAATGTAGTAAACAGAGAAACCAAGACGCCTCATCCCTCATTATGTACATGCAATCCCGATGCTGTCGTCGATAAATCTTTAGTTGGCAACAATGGCAGACAATCTCATCTTCTCCTTGGGGCTCTCCTTGCCGTCACCGCCGTCCTGAGCGAGCTCGGGATCAAGCGAGTGGTGCTGAGCAGGGCCGGCCATGTGAGGAGGCATGTGTGAGAAGTGGTGCTGAGGAGCCATCTGTTGGTAGACGTGGGGAAGAGGTGCTTGGTGAGGGTATTGCATCTGAGGGTACTCCTGGGCCTGGCGGTACATCATAGCAGCTTGGGGGTTGAAGGCCTCCTGGAGCATCTGAGGACGCTTGGTGCCGTCTTCTGAGCGAGACATTTGCATGGGAATTTGGTAGCCCTCCTGGCCAGGAACGACCAGGCGCTGCTGCATGTACGAGCTAGAAGGGCGACGGTCGACGTATCGCGGATCTTGCTGGCTGAGAGGAGGGAGCTCGACGGGGGATGTGCCGTGGGGAGAGCGCTGGGAGTAGGAGGAAGCGTCTGAAACTAGGGAAGGAGCGCCGTCTGCCGAAACTTGAGAGTAAGCACCAGGTGAAGGTAAAGGACTCTCGAAAGGAGACGCACGAAGAGTGCGGCCGAACTGAGGTACACCCAGGTTCTGAGGGTAGTGGCCGTGCTGCGTGGCAATGTGTGCCTGTTGCTGGTAGATGGCGGGCAACTGGTTCTGGTCGAAGTACTGGGGTCTTTGCATGGCAGAGTTGAAGTACATGGCCTGGTCAGGCAGATGCTGCTGGACGATTTGGCCAGACATCTGCTGCTGAACGTGCTGTTGCTGTTGGCGGGTCTCCATCTCGGCGCGGCGCTGAGCGTTGCGTCTGCGGCGGTTCATGCCACCATTCCACCAGTTCTTGACAGCATTGTCGCTGCGACCACGCAGGCGACGAGCGATCTCGGCCCAGCGCTTGCCCATCTCAGCGACCATCTGCTCAATCAACTCACCCTCCTCGGGAGTGATGGGGTCATGGTTGAGGTTAGGCTTCAGGTTCTGGTGATATCTCTCACGGCACTGCTTGGGAGAGCGAGTGCCCATCATGCTCGAGATGCGGACCCAGTTGTGGGCGCCCTGAGAGTGGACAAGGCTCATGAGGATGTGATCCTCCTGCTGGGACCAGGGACCTCTCTTGTGTGCAGGCATTTTGAAGGTTCAAAAGACTGAAAAGAATGTAGAACAGTTGGAACTGGAAAGTCTGTTAGGGATGGTTCGTGGTCAAGCGGTGGTTTGAGGTGGTAAGAAGGCACGACGTCGCAACGTGGAGACTTGGCATGTATGTGGATTGATGGAATGGTATGATGCTTACCTTAGTCGAGCTTGAAGCTTTGAAAGGAATGTGGTGAAGAGGAGAATGTCTGAGACGATGAAGATGGAGACAAAGTAAGACAACGGGGAGGGACAACGAGGTCGTTATAAAGTCGATGCAAGACCAGTTGGGATGTTGGATGGCTGTTGATGTTGCGACGAGATCGTTGTATTTGTATCAAGCACTGTGTTTAACGGTCCAGGAGGAGGGTTTCCGAATCGGTCACAACGATGGGCCTAAATGGACAGCGGGGCAGGTGCGTCAACTCCTGTTGATGCTCTGAGAGGGGCAGAATTTGGGTCTGGCTGATGTCGATAGTTCTCACAAGACAGTTGGCGGCCGTTGTGGAAAAGCAGGAGACGGACGGTTATATAACGGTTGCAGGCCTGGTCCTGAAGAGGAGGAAGCATGTCAAAAGAAGGGGATCTAGGGCTCAAATGTACTTGGCTCGTCCCGCTAACGTCAGAGTCGAACTCTATCCAGATCGCTGGGTGATGCGCGATGTGCAGCAGGGATGCTCAGCATGGTTCTGGCAGAGGCTTGCACCAAACGCGACGGCGCCGGCGCGGGCCCCTTGCTTGCTCGCTCCCTCGCTCCCTCGACCAAAAAAATCCAACCGCACGCCCATGGCTTTTTTGCTCTGCGCCTACTGCAGGTCATCGGTCGCCGTTGCAGGATCTTCGCTGTTTGACTCTTGCCAGCCCCCCCTGTGCGCGTGTAGTAGCCTCCAAGACTTGCGACCGTTGACAAACAAACCTGGGCCGTACCGAGCTTGGGAAGGCGTCATTCATCACGCCCGTTCGATGCTGAAGCCGTTTGGAATCATTCGAAACAGTCAACAGCCAGTAGTCGCTGAGGATCAATAACAATAAAATCTGTGTTCACTATCCTCACTTGGCCTGTCGAACGATCGCCTTGTTGAGCATTATCTGAGTCAACTATGCAGATTTTGTGCGCTGCCTTTGCCTCTCTGCCATGGAGATGCTTGCG